CGGGATCGGGTGGTCAGGCTCGCTAATTTGTTTGATACATGTCATCATATCCCATTTGCGTTGATAGATGTTCATGATGTCAATCACTGGATTGTGTGGTCCAGACTCGATTATTTTACAGACCGCCGTCATATAGCTGTAATATTACTGAGTGCGGCGTTAAACAATAAACAAACAAACAAACAAACACACAATTAGAATGAGATTCTCACAATGTGTTGTGACCTAAGTGACCACGGTGACCTGGTCTCAGTATACGTCGTGGCGTCCAGCGTGGTACTGTGAATGTTTAAGCCGTATTTGTGTATACCGTGTGCCTTGCTGTCTTCCTGACAGTCAGTCAGTATATGGCACAGCCGCACGTTATTTGTGTGAACATATGCACGTATTGTACAGACAGAACTAATCTAGCTTGTATTGTGTGTGCTGTCTGTCCTCATTAAATTTTTATCCATGCATATACATGAATTGTTTGATAGGCATCACTTAGTTGACGGATAACAAAGTAGACACAATTTATGGATAACAACTTCTTTAATACTGTAAAGGCGACGTTTCGGTGGAGAGATCCTTATACCGTTATCAAGCAAGACTGACTGCTCTACGTCACCTTTACAGTATTAAAGAAGTTGTTATCCATTAATTGTGTCTACTGTGTCATGCATATACATGTAGTTTCTTCTAGTCAACATAGTATTTGTGAGGTTTATATATACAGCATTAAGCAACAGAGCAACAAATATCTCCTATATTTGTCAGCACGGAATATGTGAACAGTGTACATGTCAAACCGCACGTTGTTGAGGTCTACACAGTGAAATAGACACATTACGTGTTTATCATTAATGTATGTCTTTATTAAAAGTGGTATGGTTTTTTTTTCAATTGCTGTAAGCTGTACAACACCGACACTATTTGTGTCCATCTGTAATGAACAAGTGTTTATTTTCGACATACTTAAAACAGGACATGACACTTTTCATTCATCGGGGGGTACGGGTGGCCCAGTCGCCAAGGGCGCCGCAATTCGCTGTGCAGAGTTGTGTCCCTTAGGCACACCAGGAATCTATGACTGTGGGTTCGAATCCCGATTCGCCCTCATTATGTTTCTAGGTTTGTCAGTCTGAGACCTGCATTACTTCGGGATTTCCTCCCACATTAAGCTGACACGCCGTGATATAACTGGAATACTGTTAAAAGCGGCGTGAAACCCAACTCACTCACTCACTTTTCATGCATCAAATATACATGTACGGATATATATGCTTCGTTTCATGCTTGATAATGGAACATTTAATGAAGTATGTAGATGCATATAATATCTTCAACGACCTGTATATCTAAATAACTATTGCCAGTCGCAGGTATGACGTATACATACATGTATAAACATTCCAAAGAGTTTGTTCGTGACGAGTCAAACTGTTGATTTGTCTTTTCTCATTAAGTTAAGAAAGCCAACAGACTCGAATTTTGTTGTGATTTACGAAAATGTTTCATGTTTTAAATACTAATTATAAACGATTCCGTTTTATAAGTGCCTGTGTATATATGTGTAGGTAATGTTTAAACATTGATGTTTTGTGACTTTTACAATAAACATTTATTAACCATTCCTCATCGTTATTTCACTTCTGTTGAGAATGTGTGAGGCGCCCCTGGAACCATATCACAACTTACACAGGACAAAATGTCCAGCTATGCACGCTTGTATATGCTTTGTATTGATGAGATACCCAAAGCCAAAACAATTTTGTAAATATATGATATACAAAGTAAAAACAATTTAAACTTTGTAAAGATGATGTTTACAGAATTTTTTTTTTTTTGTATTACCCATGGGGTTAGAAATAATTGAGTTCATAAAAACCGAATGTGCAGAGGGGCAAATATGACTTCTCGCGCACCAGTGCATTGTGTACGTCATCCGAACGGCCTTGTTGACGTCATTCGATTCTTATTGTGATGTTTTAGCCAACGGAGCGGATTGCATGGGCGGTGAAAGATTTTATAAATTATTATAATCACTTGAAAGTGTTGCATATTGTTTGTGATGAGCTGTCGGTTTAACGGTATGTGTGAATAGATATCATATTCCGGTGCAATCGCCGTGGAATTTCGCTTATTACTACTTCATCACAACATTAAAATCAAGTTGAGCTCAGCTTAATACTGTTCGTATAGTAACAAGCTACGACTGTAAATTGATTGTACAACAGACATAAGAAAATAAATAAAAATGTTACAAATATAAATTATTAACAAGGGGAATTTGAAGACTTATACTTTTAAATACACTTTTTAGAACAAGAAATTGACTCATTGACATAATAAGATTTTATTGATATTTGTTACTTTTGTAAATGCAACATGTTGTTTTATATTTCCTTATCTACATGCCAAACAATTTCACAAACCACAAAACTTGCTTAAGGTTTAAAACAAATTCCCGATCTCTATGGTGAGATGCTCTGGTTATTGTACTAAGATGAAGCCAGTACCAATCCAAGTGAACAGTATGCAACCAAAAACATTATAATGGAACTGATGTTAGGCAAAGCAATCATATAAAACGTCTAAACTGATGGTTATTAAGAATCTGACCGGTTGTCAACATAATGACGATATCAGTTGGCACACCCGTGGTATTTGAAGAATGAAAGTGGAATGTTCATACTTCAAAATGAACAGTTATTTTACAGATACAAGTTTACAAAAGGGACAGGGCGTCCACCGTTCAGAAACTTTGTTTGTAAACAGTAGCCGATAATCCCCGAGCTTCCTCCGCTCTGTTCGCCTTTCTTATTGTTCCCGTGCAGGCTTATCACGTGACCGGACCTTTCTCTTGATTGTAAATAAACGCACTTATTCTTAAATATTCTGAACAGACATGAGACAGACTTATTTTATTAACGTGTAACGTGTTACAAAAGCGAGATATAAACATGTTCTTTGGCATATTAAAAAGTAACACCCAGCCATTAGGCTTATGAGACACAATAAAACATTAATTTATATACATTATATATGCAAGCCCTCCAGTGCGCTTTACATATTGTTTTTTTGCATAATTATATAGATATACCATAGCGAGGTGCATGGCAATATAGCATTACACATCAGAGCGACCGTATCACGAGCTGTCCGTCGTATTTTAATTAGCCAAGGTGAGATATGGAATGTTACCTTTGTTTGTCGAGAAAGGTAGATATTCCAAACCTTCCCTACCACTAGTGTAGAGGTTATGTAAATATTGTGATGGTGGTTTTGTGGAAGATAAACGTCACTTTTTGCTCTTACGATAGGTGTTATATTTCTTGGGGGATATCATGTTTGCCTTGTATCGCCCCCTTATGTCTGTTATGTACACACAAGCGGTGATATAAGGTTTCTCCACTCCACACTATCTACACAAAAGGGCTGATATATGGCAAACCACGAGCCCCATAATGCCTGCAAGAGGATATATTGTGTAACTGCACATGCGGCAGTGGTGTGTGTATATATTTGTGAAGCTGCCAGCATTCGTTCAAGCGTATCACGTCTTTCTGTAAGTAATCAAGTCTTAACCAAAACCAAACAGTTGTTGATACAATGGTCCATGAATGACATTCACTGTCGGAGTACAGTGACACACACTCAGATTGGTCATACAGCTCTAACCTTGTTCGTACTGTGGTAAACGCGATGTATAAGTAGTATTTTTTTCTCGTGTATAGATAGGGTTTCTGGTCGTGCCCTGATTCAATGACACTGTTATCTTTGTTGACGTGTGTTTAAGAAGGTATTATTCTTCCACTTGGCTATATATTACCCGACCAACGGAAACACAATCTTTCAATTAATCGCATTGTTATCTCCTTGTGAGTGTTTTCTTTTTTCGCCATGTTCGCATTTGGAAACAAGGTTTTTTTAAGAGAGGGCGGTCGTGCGAAGGTGCAGGGTCTCACACGACGCTCTTACATCTTAACTACTGGACCTCGACGCTGGTGCGTGACTCTAATAGCAAGTTGCAAGGTCGTCTTCATGTAGAGATTGCTACACGCATGTCTGATACCATTTGCCTTACAATACATGTATGTTGCTTACAAAAAACCGTTTGACAGAAAAGGTATGTGACAGACGCGAGCACAGTACCCGTTTCTTACACCCGCACCAGTTTAGCAACGAGTCGACGCATATTATATCTCTATGTACGATCGCAGAGACGCATTTATACATAACCCAACGGTCAAGAGTCATTTCATCCGGCTAACCGCTTACAATCTATACCTGGTGGGACCCTCCATGAAAAGGTTCCACCTCTATATGTGGATTATTAAGGCGATGGTGATAATGCAAACTACATAAGATTTAGTGAGCACCCTAAAGCCACAGAGTTTCGATTCTGACGCAGTTGAAAACGGCTGAAACACGCGAAACGTATCAATGAATTACAATCAGCAAAGTAGTCCGTTAAAATCTGACCTCTGTTCACCATGGAGTAGCCAATCACGGACCTGATATTCGATCTCACACATGTTTGATACCAGTCATCTCAAATGGGTTTCTCACCCACAGGTGTGTAAGAATTCAAAATAACAATAACAACTTGTGAACGTGACAGCTGCAAGGTCATCCTCGTATCATAATAACAATTACACGTGACGGTGACAGCTGCACCGTCGAAAAAAATGTCTCTTTTTCGTGTCACAATTGTTTCGAGTGAGTGAGTGAGTACGCTGCTTTTAACAATATCACGGCGGGGGACACCAGAAATAGGCTTCACACATTGCACCCTTGTCTGGAATCGAATCCGGGTCTTCGTCGTGACGAGCGAAAGCCTTAACCACAAGGCCACAAGACTGAAAGTGTGAGGTACGGCGTTGGGAACATCCACTAATAAGTACTGAACAGATCGTAACGTGGTAAGTACCAAGCTGAAACGCGAAGGGTAACCAAGACATCGGTACTTACAAAACTAAATTGTGAAATAAGTAAATAATTACACAAGATCAGTGAACAGCAAACAAATTATTTGGAAACATAGATGATTAGGTCTACACTCATAAAAGGCAACACAATGGCTCAAATACGTTGGCATCAATAAAGGGCCATATTACACAAACGCTAAAGTGGCCATGTGGCGCGTGCTCCGTTCTTCAAATCAGGAAACAGTGATGGACTGGAGTTGGGTTTAACGCCGCTTGTCAGTATTCCAGTTATATCGCGGCGTGTCAGCTTAATGTGGAAGGAAAGCCCGAAGTGATGCAGGTCTCAGAAGTTTACCACTTCGGTGAAACCCACGAGCACGGGAATGGAAACAGGCAGAACAGTTGATGGTGTCCGACAGGTACCCCGTACCCGTCCGCACTGTGCAAGTAGATTAGTCAGGTAGTAAATGGAGGCAGCGAATCGCTCTCTTCTCTCTCAAAAATAGGCACAGGCAGTCTTCTAGCTAGAAACTGCTACCTTACTGTTGGAGATTTAACGTGCGCTTTCCGACATAATGCGTATTTCGCACAAGGTCGTCAACCTTTTTTTATTATTAATTTCTTTTATCGTCAAGCGTCTCACTGCAGATCTCTTTAGAAATACTGGGAGGGTAACGAAGGTGTCAATGCACAACTAAGGGAAGTCACTCTATATCACTAGCTGCCGTGGACATACAACTAATAAAAGCCGTCACAACAGCTGACGGCATTCTGTAGGTGTTTGAGTTGCTGCCACTCACATTCATCAGAAGCAAATTTACAATACATACCGCCACATAACCAGAATCATTACACATGTTTGTTTACCTCACACTGCTGATACAGTTTTGTGAAATCCCAATTAGTTGTAAGACGTCTGTGTCCCTCACATGGGCTGTTAACTCGTCGGTAACCTTGGAAACATATGTGACCCGCCAAGAGAAAAGGGTCCTTGTGGGTGCTACTGTGAAGTCAAAAAGAAAAACAAGACGTTTGACGTCAACTTACTTCCGTAAATTTCGCCACGTGTGCGGACTGTACAAAAAACCTTCTTATTTTAGACCATACGGTTCCTTCCTCATCTCATGGTGGGTCACATATATTATAATTGGTAACGAATAACTCGTACAATATGCGTAGTGGTAGATGTAACTACACGAGAAACAGACCAAAGACGTTAGAAAGTGGAGAACCCCATGTGTCTATGTTTCCAGGGACACTTGACTGCACGGTGAGTCTGGTGTGTGGGTCAAGATAGAACGTTGCCCCCAGGGTACTGCTCAAGTAGGTGAGATGGCCCCTCCTGATGGAAGGGGTAGACAGGAGGTTCCTCAGCAGTGGGGTGGGAGCTTCACCCAGCTCGGCCATCCTCTGTTTCAACACGGTATGCAGGACCCGCCCACACGCCAGCTCCCTGACCCCTTCACCTCGGTACAGGATCTGATAAAACCAACATGCACTTCTTTAACTGCATTGTCTTTCTCGAAATCATTAATTAGCGAAATCTCACAGTAGCGTAAACACGGGAGTAATGATAAAAAATTGTTTTTGTTTTTTTCTTTAACGCCGCACTCAGCAATATTCCAACTTATATGACCTTGGTCTAGATCTGTAATCTAGTGATAGACATCATGAGCATCGATCCACGCAATTGGTATACGATGACATGCATTTACCAAATCAGCGAGCCTGACTACCCTGAGTCGCGTCTTACAACAAGCGTAGTCGCCTTTTACGGCAACATGGGTTGCTGAAGACTTTTTCTGAACCGGATCTTCACAATTGTAATGATAATAGTGAGTGAATGAGTATGGTTTTATGCCGCTGTTACAAATGCTCCAACAATGCGGCGAATATGCACAAAATACACGAATCACTAACTTACATCTGGAATAATACCGTTAGGAAGGCACGACACTAAGAACCGAGGATGCACAATAAATATCCTCTATATGTTCTAAGGGCACAGGATTCGCAGTGGCATATGGCGAAGCAATTTGACCACTGTGCACTGCATGCATTAGCCTCACAAGCGTCCGTTGATCATAGGTTCGAATCCCGAACACGTCCCAATAATGGTCCATGTTTTGTCAGCACCATGCTTTTGTTTCACATGAAAGAGTGAGTGAGTATGGTTCTACACCGCTTTTAGCATTTTTCCAGCAATATCACGGCGGGGGACACCGGAAAATGGGCTTCACACATTGTACCCATGTCAGGAATCGAACCCAGGTCCTCGGCTACCCCACCGCCCCCTTTCCATATAAAGCTGACACGTCGTGATATAATTGAAATACTGCCATAGCGACGTCTATTCCTGCTCATACACCACTACATCTTGTAATAACTGTACCTGGCTGTAGATGAAGTAGTAGCCACCGTGCGTCACCGTGAGGCTTCCATCGTCGTGTCCGACGTTGTTGCCGACGAAGGTGTTGTTGATGTCGTCTCTCCAGTTCAAAACAGGATCTGTATCTGTCGGTCCAGGTACTTAATGGTAAATATATGAATGTATTGCCACTGCCTTGGTACATATCAAATGATTTTATGTTGTTGTTTTGTGAGTTTGGGTTATTTATTTATGTCTTCATTAATTATTTAAATACGCTCTTACAAACACAGCACCTACCCAGAAAAGTACACACTCTGTTCCTTATTATGGAATTTAATCATGCAGTGTACGCTTAAACTGAACTGTCACTATGCCCCACTGAATTATACAACGTACATTTAAACTGATCAAGAGTTACCATACACCACCCGTTCACAGAACTTGCTTACATGATACCTATTGTGAAACTGCAGTCAAACTCAGGATTAAATCATGCCAATGGTCTCTTTCGCATTATTTTTATCAATTAAAACAAATTTTGGTTTAGTTTATTCCTCAATATACACTATGTCCATACCTGTGTAGTTTGTGCGGGGATCAATGACCAGATGTGCAGCTGCCTCCCCTAAACTGCCCTCCACGTCTGGAGATGCCGCCAGCCCCCGCGGATAGATGCTGCCTAGGGAGCAGAGACACACAGTATACACAACTCATAATAATAGGCCATATTTATTGTGCATTTCCACACCACACAGGGGCATCAGTGTGCACTTAACAATCATTCTCAGTTCCTTGAAGAGAATGCAACCCAAGCTGCCTGTTAGGCGGTTTTAGGTTAACATCACATCCTACCGGGTACCCATTCACTGATAGGTGAATAGAAGCACACTTCGAACAGAGGAGACACCACGTGTGTTACTAGTGCTTCAGTGTGGGGGCAGGACCAATGCCAAGAAAATCCCAGGAGCCAAGCAGCCGAAACGCGGTCACCCATCCAAGGACTCTCCGCGACGGACGTTGCTTGAGTTCACCTGATTTGTGATCTGTGCGCTGTCTCTAGGACCACGTGCCACCAGTCATGCAGACTCATCCAAACATCCCAAGAGGAATGGAGTGCGGGTAAATGTCACAGCGAATAGATATACACAGTAACCGAAATAGAATAAGAAAGGTACGTACGGGTAACCAATTGAATTATTTAAATGAAGGAAACGATCAATTTTACAAACCTGAATCTGTCTCCACAAACAGGGCATGAAGCTACAAATAAAGACGAAAATCATATTATCAAAGGTGAAGGTCACATTCATGTTATGGCTGGACAATATGCACATGTATTCTCCGTTTTGTCTGCTATGTATTATTCACATAAAAAAAAATGCAGTTCCCGGTATCCAGATACCTCCCGGATACCTCCGGACACTTACCCAAAACCCAGATAATGAACACAATATAACACGTAGTCGTATTTTCAGCATGGCAATAGCATATGCCCAAACCTTCTGTCACCTCCGTTTGTTTTCTACAGACCTCATATTGCTGCTTCATCACACATGCATATCGATCGCTTTCGCCACACTATTACCTCATATATTGTTAATATTTCCAGAATATACAGCTTAATTAACTCGAAAGGATGCTAATTACAGTCCAGTGTACATGTTATCATCTACAGCGGTGCCCTACCTGTGCATCAATGACGTCAGAGGGTGTTCGTGTCGAGATGTTCCTCCCAGTCCGTGTGTAGAATACCAAGATGGCGACCGCAGCAGAAAGCAGGCAGACATTTGTAACCCCCAGTGCTGTCGCCACTCTAATGCCGTTCCTAAACATGGCGCATCCGACATGCACACAGTACAGCTATATGTCCGTAACGGTGTGTAGCATCACCGCCTAGAAAAGAAAGAGAAAGCGAAAGCTCCAACATTCCAGGTGCTGAAGTCACGTAAAATATAGTTGTGCGAATACTTCGATTATTCTCACGTAATTTCGATTACTCTCACGTTATTTCAATTTTGTTTTAAAAAAATATAAATTTTGATATTTTTTATAGTTCTTGCATTATTATTTTCCGAAATTTCGATTATTTTTCATTATTTCAATATTATTTTAAAAAGTCAAAATTTCACAAATATTTTTCGCTGCTTCTCGTGATTTCTCTTAATTTGAGTTTTAAAATAAAATCGAAATTACGAGAAAAAATCCACATTTAATTTTTTTTTAAATTACATTGTAATAACAAGAAAATAATCGAAATTCTGAAAATAAAGTCGAAGTTACGAAACATCTAAAAGATATACAAGTCATTGAATTAACGCGAAATTTCGATCAGAAAAAAATATATTTATGCTATAAAATTGCAACCATTAGGTGTCGTACAAGAATACGTTTTCAGGTACCATACAAATCCTTGAAGTGTGGGAATCTATTACTCAGCTCTTCAATAGGTTGGTGACGAATGTTTAAATTGGCCAGACGGAAATTATATTTACCACATACATTTATGACCATAATATTCATAACTCTTTTTTTTGTCGCAAGTATCGCTATGTGCAAAGTGGGGCGGTCGGGTAGCCTAGTGGTTAAAGCGTTCGCTCGTCACGCCGAAGACCCGGGTTCGATTCCCGACATGGGTACATTGTGTGAAGCCCATTTCTGGTGTCCCCCGCCTGATATTGAGGGAATATTGCTAAAAGCGGCGTAAAACCATACTCACTCACTCACTCACTATGTGCAAAATACTGTGCTGTGAGTGGGTGACCGTGGAGGTTATAAAACGGTAATTATTCAATTAAAAAAACAAACTTCAGTAACCGAGTGAGACATTATTAAGGGACCATTTATTTACATATCTGTGTCTAAATGTTAGTATATTTCATAGACGTTTCTGCATTGTATTGCAGTCAATCAAGCCGCCAGCTCTACCTCAGTATTTGTGGCAATGGCACCCTGCAACTAGAACAAGTGTTAGAATATGAAACTAAGAACTAGAATATACTAGTCGTCCTCAATCCTCGAAACGAACAATAATCATTTTAACTCGGAACCTTTATTAAGATCCGGTATTGACAGTAATTCGGATTAGTAAGAGTCCGGTTTTGACAGATTTCACGAAGGTATAACGACTGTCAAGTAAATCAAGATGAGAGCGACGTACCTCTACATGAGTGAACGTCCGTCAGTATTACAGGTTTGAACACACCCGAGGAGTTATAAATTACTTAAACTGTAGCTGACATCAGACACGTTACGCAATGTCACAAATAGATGTAGTAAGAATCTTTAATAGACTCATGTGACATGTGGTGACATTGCACAAACCTTTGTGAAATTACGTGTACTTCAAATCTTTCTTCCATTTGTACAACTTCAAAGGTTTGAATGTGAAGTTGTTAAATTGTTATCGTTTATTTCAGATAACCATTTATCGGATCCTTCAAGGGTATAATACGATTGCCTAACAAGCGAACACACACACAACTGGTGTTGGTCGATGACGATCAATCACTACAATTGTACTGTTACAATCAGAAAAGGGGGCCTCATGGCCTGGTTTTCGGAGCAGGACATAACTGAACTTAACCCGCTAGGTCCGCAGCACTGAATATACGGAGAACGTTCTCCCTGTATCCACAAAGTGAATCTAAGACCATATTGCCAATTTGCGATATCAGTTCCTCGCACGAGCTTGGCAATCTAAGGGAGACAACTCTTTGAATATTGTAAACAATGATCACTGCAATCCGCATGAGGACAAAAGTCACATAATTTTGTTGGTTGTACCACGCATGCGCTGTGAACCTACACTGACGGGCAGAAGAAACTTTACCACATTAACAACGAAATTTCAAAAAAAGTAAAAACACAAGTACAAACTAAATCAATACAAAACACTTCGTCTAAACTCTATACAGGTTGTGTGATACACGTCCACGGCACATATTTATGTAAAAAATGCTAAAAAGGGAAAAACACGTGTCGCATGGGAAACCGAAACAGCACGTGCATTCAGGGTACATAAGTGATACTTAGGGCGTATCTTCGCCCTATGAAGACCGGTACTTGCGTACTTTGAATGTCCGGAATCGATTCCTGACAGTGACGTCATCAGCGAGGAATCTCTTTAGGCATATGGCCAGGCGACTCAGGGCTCAAGGAATTAGGGCTAACATATCTTACAGAGGACAAGTATGGACAGCGCAGGATCGTCGACTGAGATTGAGATGGGCCCGTATTGTATGTCGTTGGCAGCGAAGTGACTCGCAGAGGATCGTCTGCACTGATGAAAGCCGGTTCTGTCTGCTCAGAGCTGATTCAAGACAACGTGTTAAACCGAAGGCGAGAACGAAAGGCGGCATGTTGCGTTCAGAAGTTCGTGCCGTAAGGTGGAGGGGGTGTTCTTGTGTGGGGAGTGTGTGGGCAGGAGAGAAAGCCGCTGGTCATCGTTATTGGTAATTTGACAGCTCAGCGGTACATGGATGACTATCTGTGTCCGATTGCCCTACCATTTCTACAACAGCATGACAATCAGCATGCCAACGCCAGACCCAAAACAGCCCGAATCGTACAGAACTTCCTTGCAGCCATCAACGTCAACGCGTTGTCGTTTCGATCCCAAGACATGTCCCCCATGGAACACTTCTGGGATGTCATGGATCTTCGTGTTCGACAGCGACCACATCCTCCAGCCAATCCACAAGAACGGACCCAGGCGCTCCAATAAAAAAGGCGACGAATACCACGTGACGTGATCAGACGACTGACCTTTTCCTGTGCGCCGGGAAGTTTCTGTTGTGTTGTCGCAGGGGGTGGTCTACACGCTACTAATGTGACGTGTCACTGAACGTGAGCGATTTTAGATATGTGTACCCTTTGTCCATGACGTTGAAAGCTTAGTAGCCCACCATGGCAACTATCATGCCAGTATCGGATACTGTATGGCTGTTACTTTAGATATTGACATAGTAGACACAATTTTATGGATAACAACTTCTTTAATACTGTAAGAAGCGACGTTTCGGTACAGCAAGACTGAATGATTATTGCTTATACCTATCAGTATCCTGTACATTGTGCACCATGGGGTGGTGGGATGGGAGAAAGGAGGCCGGTGGCGCTACTACCTATCAGTGTCCTGTACATTGTACACCATGGGGTGGTGGGATGGGAGAAAGGAGGCCGGTGGTGCTACTACCTATCAGTGTCCTGTACATTGTACACCATGGGGTGGTGGGATGGGAGAAAGGAGGCGGGGGGTGCTACTACCTATCAGTGTCCTGTACATTGTACACCATGGGGTGGTGGGATGGGAGAAAGGAGGCGGGGGGTGCTACTACCTATCAGTGTCCTGTACATTGTACACCATGGGGTGGTGGGATGGGAGAAAGGAGGCCGGTGGTGCTACTACCTATCAGTGTCCTGTACATTGTACACCATGGGGTGGTGGGATGGGAGAAAGGAGGCGGGGGGTGCTACTACCTATCAGTGTCCTGTACATTGTACACCATGGGGTGGTGGGATGGGAGAAAGGAGGCGGGGGGTGCTACTACCTATCAGTGTCCTGTACATTGTACACCATGGGGTGGTAGGGGTGGGAGAGAGGAGGCCGGGGGTGCTACTACCTATCAGTGTCCTGTACATTGTACACCATGGGGTGGTGGGGGTGGGAGGGAGGAGGCGGAGGGTGCTGCTATCAGTGTCCTGTACATTGTACACCATGGGGGGGGGGGACGGGGGTGGGAGGGAGGAGGCGGAGGGTGCTACTATCAGTGTCCTGTACATTGTACACCAGGGGGGTGGGGGTGGGAGGGAGGAGGCGGAGGGTGCTGCTATCAGTGTCCTGTACATTGTACACCATGGGGTGGTGGGGGTGGGAGAAAGGAGGCCGGGGGTGCTACTACCTATCAGTGGCCTGTACATTGTACACCATGGGGTGGTGGGGGTGGGAGAAAGGAGGCGGGGGGTGCTACTACCTATCAGTGTCCTGTACATTGTACACCATGGGGTGGTGGGGGTGGGAGGGAGGAGGCGGGGGGTGCTACTATCAGTGTCCTGTACATTGTACACCATGGGGGATGGGGGTGGGAGGGAGGGTAGGGTGTTGGGTGACATTACACCGGGTACACGAAATGCTTTTACTCGTATGCTTGAGGCTCTTCATACATCTGGGACGTCATGTACCGTCATGTACGGCAATGTACCCACATGTACCCTCATGTACCGTCGTGTAGTCTCAGGTACCGTTATGTACCCTCATATACCGTCCTGGAGCCTAGTATAGCCTCATGTACCGCCATGCGCCCTCATGTACCGCCATGTGCCCTCACGTACTGTCATATACGCTCATGTTCCTTTATGTGCCGCCACGTAACCTCACGTATACGTATCGTCATGTACCGAAATGTAACCTAATGTACCATCACCTACCGTCATGTACCGAAATGTAACCTTAAATACCCTCACCTACCGCCGTGTACCGAAATGTAACCTTATGTACCCTCACCTACCGTCATGTACCGAAATGTAACCTTAAATACCCTCACCTACCGCCGTGTACCGAAATGTAACCTTATGTACCCTCACCTACCGCCGTGTACCGAAATGTAACCTTATGTACCCTCACCTACCGCTTTGTACCGAAATTTAACATTATGTACCCTCACCTACCGTCATGTACCGAAATGTAACCTTATGTACCCTCACCTACCGCCGTGTACCGAAATGTAACCTTATGTACCCTCACCTACCGTCATGTACCGAAATGTAACCTTAAATACCCTCACCTACCGCTGTGAACCGAAATGTAACCTTATGTACCCTCACCTACCGCCGTGTACCGAAATTTAACCTTATGTACCCTCACCTACCGCTTTGTACCGAAATGTAACCTTATGTACCCTCAACTACCGTCATGTGCCGAAATGTAACCTTATGTACCCTCACATTCCGTCATGTACCTCCCTGTACCCTTGTGTACCGTCAAGCAGCCTCATGTACCGTCATGTATCCTTGTGTACCGTCATGCAGCTTCATGTACCGCCATGTACCCTTGTGTACCCTCATCTGCGGTCATGTACCGCCACGTACCGTCACATAAATCAGTTCGTGTGGAATGATTCGCATTGCCCAGATCGTACTGAATTTGACTTAAGGGAAACTATTCTGAACCCACTTAAGTCAGGTGTACGTTGAGAATGTGTATGAGTTGGTTTATGTTTCAGTGAGAGATTAACATTTGTGTTTTGAGATATAGATTGCCCATACCACGATAATTCTGAATTTGAGTAGTGAGTTAAGTAAATAATGTTCACATCCCTTTTGATTTAACACAACGTGTCGACAAGTACTAGTAGATTGTGATAGCACACATACATGCAGCATCAAGAACACTTATGTCTTCCAAGGAATAACGTGAGTGTTATGAATTGTTGATTTTGGATATGAGATTGATTTTCCTCCTGTTGTTTTGTGACATGAAATAGAAATAATCACAACAGCAACACCCCACAGTGCAACCAACTGTGACAAGGGTATTCTGAGATATGTTTTAAAGTTTAGTTAATCAAAATACCAAATAGGACGCGCATTGTGAGAATACCTATACACATATCTGCAATATTTGTGATTTGGTTTTCTGTTGGTTTAACCGTTCCCCCTCATACAGGGGCAACTCACAACGGTTGTACAATGTATACACTAGGGTGTGATGGTTCGGGTACAAGAAGGTGTAAAACAATACTCACTCGCACTCTCACACAGGTATCAGGGTCTAAGGAGAAGAGTTTAATTACTTCAGTGTCCACTATGTGTCTACCTGTAAGGTGTGTAGAGGGGTATTCGATACTTTTAATAGACTATAACAGAGTAGATGATATATAAGCTACAGGTATCACAGACAGGTTTTTCCCTGCTTCAAATAAAACAATTAAGTACACATATATAAAATATATGTCATGTACATTTCAGTCAGTCATAAAACGTAGCATGCATTGATTTATTTTCTCTGTAGGAACATCTGTTACAATGCATGAGTTTGTTTAGTTTTCATTAATATATACAAAACAATCAATATACAGGTGCAAGAAGTGCAACCAAAATGCAACCACATTTTGCATATGTAATCATTGTGCCTCAAGGCAGTAGTACGAATTTCACATCCTCAAAGTCTGCCTCAAACTCAGAGAAGTGTACGGCTGAGCCGTGTGCCGTAATTTGTCCTTGTGCTGGTGTACACATCACGACGTGGCTTGATTCCATTGATCACGAGATCACTTCTTCCAATCCGGTATCATCCGGACATTGACGGGCTTCTTTCTTGTGAAGTCAGTTTTAAGAAGGTAAAGCACAACACACCACATGTTGTCCACTTAGAACGCCAGTGTGACAAACGTTAACACAAACTGCCTGGCGACGTCACTCCATTGTCTTGAACGTGCAGGCCGGCCTTCAGATCTGCCATGGATGCCGAATAGACGCTCTCGGACACAATGGCACACTGTCTGTCTGTTGCAGACTTCGAGTATCTGTCTGACTGACGTCACTTGATCTGTCATTGACTCCTGGTAGACGCTCTCGGACACAGTGTCACACTGTCTGATCTGATGCAGACGTTGGGTATCTGTCTGACTGACGTCACTTGATCTGTTGTCCCTATTGAGTGACGTCACACTTTAGCCACTGGGTTGTAGGCATGGCATCTAGATTTGTCATGCACGACGTGGCAGTATTCTATAAGTGCACAGATTATTGCTAACAGCAGCACACAACACAGGAAGATAACGAACCCTACAGTCACGGGGTCGCTGAATGACAACATCCTGCAAAAATCAAATCATCAGAATTATAACATTGTACAAGGAGGGAAGTAAATGGCCTGATGTAATCATGCAAGCACTTTAAAATAACTGTTAAAAAGTAAGTCCATGTGTGTATATCATCATATCAGTTAGCTTATATTTACATGAAATACATTATTTTACATAAATATACAGAACACTGAAATAGTGAGTGAGTTTGGTCTTACGTCATCTTTAGCTCTATTTCAGTCATGTCAAGGTGGGGGGACATAAATGGTCTTCACATATTGTATGTGTATATGTGGGGAATCGAACCCGGGTCTCTGGCGTGACGGGCGAACACCATAACCACTACGCTAGCAATACGTCTAAATATGAAATAAACTTAGCAGCACAGGTATGGTACAAGCATGACAAGCTACCAGTATCAGGTCAAGTCGAACTCCTACTCTTCATATTGAAGCTCTATTTTCAAAAAGAGAGTTGCGTCCCCTGAGCATGCCAGTAACCTATGATCGTAGGTTCAGTTCCCGGTCCGCCCAAATATGTTTCTGGGTTTGTCAGTACCATACGCGTGCTCGTGAGTTTTACCAAAGTAGTAAGCATCTAAGACCTGCATCAGTTCGGGCTTTTCTCCCACATCAAGCTGACACACCGTAATATGACTGGTATACCGTCCCAAGCGGCACTAAACCAAACTCACTATTTCCAGACGATGGACTGTGGGGTGGTATTACGACCAGTGTTCTCACATACTGGTGTATGACGATAAGGTTGTAGTTGGGGTTGAACTGGAAATGGGTGGACGATATGTAGATGTTTTAACACTACAAGTTATAATACCGCCAGTGTTTACCCTTCTGATTCATTGCTGCCTACATTATATATCCAACTGTTAAACTGTTAGCACGACTTGATATCAAGATGAATTTAACTGTTTACAAAATTAGCAAACGAAAAATATGCATTTTAGACCGATCTCGTTGAAATGGAAATTCGTGACTTTCATTTTTTTTTTTTTTTAAAGCCGCACCCATCAATATTCATACTCATAGGGTGGCATGTAAATAATCGAATATTATCCAGATAAACCAACGTTCCGCGCTGTCTGGTTACGACGCCATGCAATCAACCATATCAGTGACCCACTTGGGCGACTCTCTCGACAGGTATATGTCGCTGGGGAAGTATCCGGGAATCACCCGAGGGTGTCACTGTCAGATTAAATTGTAAATATTCTTTCGCTTTCCCAATCTAACATTAGGTATTTTTATAAATCGACCTACCTGTGTCTGCCAGCTATGGTACTTCCAGGAACATCTCACAGCAATCCATGCAGTACCCTCGAACAGCCACTGGTATATAGTACAGCCTGCTGAAATATAAGTGCTCATTTATGACTCTTAACATCTCCACAAGACACCCAGGCGAAGGTGGTATTTGTGACACACGTAATGAATACCAGAGGTTATATTCAACCTCAAGGTCATCCGGGTTTCCGAAAATGGACTGCTCAAATATCATGACATCCATCCCACGTGACCAGGCATTAGGGATGCAATGTTACAGAGAACGGCATATCATCAGAAAATAGCAAACATTGTTTTCAATGAGTCATGCTTTAGACAATATGAGACCCCTTACCTGTTGTGCTGGAGCGAATAAGCAACGCCAGGGACAAGATCGTGAGGGAACAGGCTGGAGTAGGTAGTGCACTCGCTGGTCTATCACAGAGTCCTGTAAATATACATACAGGTGACGTTAAGTAACACTATAAAGATTTAAATAGCATCTACGAACATATATCAACAGGTTTATAGCTATTGTTAGGACGCGCAGCCTCACCTTGTAAGACATTGACGTACATCTATCGGCAGCGTCTCGTTCAATAACGAGTGTAGTAATCTCAAGGTTGGATCACTGATAAATATGTTGACATTCCTCTTGCCTGCCCGCTGGCCGGGGCCTGTTAATTAGCTGTCCAAACAAGGTCAGACTGGACCACGCGTACGACACCCCTGGCAGGTTGCTATGTAAGGTCTGTTTTATTACGTCAGCATCTATATGCGGAAGTGTGTAAGCTGTATTGGAAAACTGTTACTGTCTGATACTGCGACCCAGAAAACGGCCATTGAAGGCAAGCACAATGGGCTTTGGAAATAATTCTGACAGCTGTTTTTGATTATGATATTGAGCGGACAATCGCAGATCGTAAATATCTCGCCAGACAATACAGCTACGTGATAACTCGACATTACTGAATCATAATGTTTATGAAATTGAATTATATTTAGTGTGCGTCCATGTTGACTTACATACATTTCTCCAGTGCGTATCACCTGACCCCTGCCAGTATCAACACTACAAGTATAATAAGAGATAACAGCGAACCAATGAAAGTATGTCTACATGGACGCTTTTCTAACTTGTTATGCAAATTCAAATGCTAAATGTTAAAAATACAACAATTCGAACTAATATTTATCGATTGTTTGTAGTCTTACATTAATGATGCTTATGATGTCATTCACTGGATTGTCTGGTCCAGACTCGATTATTTACAGACCGCTGTCATATAGCTGTAATATTGATGAGTGCGGCGTTAACAACAAACAAACAAACAAGCATAGGTCGACAGCACTTCGCCACACTACGATATCCGTAACAGTGGACTTATGGACGTCAACGTTTTTCATTTCGGTACATGTGTAGTTTATTAATCAAGCAAGTGACATAATACTCTAGCTTTCAAAATGATAAGATAAGGTACTACAATCCCCAGCTATGTATATAGACACACTCTGTTTACAGAGTTAGATGGGTAGATGTAGGTAGGTAGACGGTGTAAATAACCAACGCAACTAGAGCGCGGCGATATCAGTGTGTGTAACAAACCCGACTCACCGATATCTCCGACGCGTTGATGGATGTGACTGCGATGCTGAAACTGCGTCGTTAAGTTACATGTGTTGTTTAAAGGAGAACGGGTCTTAACACGTACATGTTGTTTTCACATCAAACAGTGTAGTTAGTTCCTCTTACATGTACTGCGTCAAGAAAAGGTTAATACCTACACATGCACGTTACGAATATCACAGAAACATAACGACTGCATCCATGTCTCTGTCATCAACTGTTTTGTGAATGTTTTATATTTCGGTCGTGACTGTATGTTTCGTCTTGAAACGTGACTGAGATGTTTGGAAATAACTTATATTACTCCGCACCTGGACCCTTGCACTTTGTGTTGACGTGTGTGTTATCAGCATGTGCAGGGCCTCGGCAGACATATCATAACTGGTGAAAACACTTCAACATATAGACTTGCGAGTCTAGGTTTCCAGATTGTTCGTAGCGAAGGACGACTTTCTTCATTCAACACGCTCATCTTGTGTTCGGATAATATCATTCCCGATACCGTTTAGCTAGTCTACAGATACTACGTTGCGAGTCTTAAGACGTGATACAGGTAATACGTTGCGAGTCGTACGACGTGACACAGATACTACGTTGCGAGTCTTACGACGTGATACATGTTATACGTTGCGAGTCGTACGACGTGACACATGTATTACGTTGCGAGTCTTACGACGTGACACAGGTAATACGTTGCGAGTTTTACGAGGTGACACAGATACTACGTTGCGAGTCTTACGACGTGACACATGTATTACGTTGCGAGTCTTACGATGTGACACAGGTAATACGTTGCGAGTCTTACGACGTGACACAGGTAAAACGTTGCGAGTCTTACGAAGTGACACAGGTAATACGTTGCGAGTCTTACGACGTGACAAAGATAATACGTTGCGGATCTTACGACGTGATACAGGTTATACGTTGCGGGTCGTACGACGTGGCACAGGTAATACGTTGAGAGTCTTACGACGTGATACATGTTATACGTTGCGAATCGTACGACGTGACACAGATAATACGTTGCGAGTCTTACGACGTGATACATGTTATACGTTGCGAGTCTTACGACGTGACAAAGATAATACGTTCGAGACTTATGACTTGACACAGGTAATACGTTGCGGATCTTACGACGTGATACAGGTTATACGTTGCGAGTCGTACGACGTGATACATGTTATACGTTGCGAGTTGTACGACGTGACACATGTATTACGTTGCGAGTCTTACGACGTGACACAGGTAATACGTTGCGAGTCTTATGAAGTGACACAGGTAATACGTTGCGAGTCTTACGACGTGACACAGATAATACGTTGCGAGACTTACGACTTGACACAGGTAATACGTTGCGGATCTTACGACGTGATACAGGTAATACGTTGCGAGTCGTACGACGTGACACAGGTAATACGTTGCGGATCTAACGACGAGGCACAGATAATACGTTGCGGGTCTTACGACGTGACACAGGTAATACGTTGCGGGTTTTACGACGTGACACAGGTAATACGTAGCGGGTCTTACGACGTGACACAGGTTATACGTTGCGAGTCTTACGACGTGATACAGGTAATACGTTGCGAGTCTTACGACGTGATACAGGTAATACGTTGCGAGTCGTACGACGTGACACAGGTAATACGTTGCGGATCTAACGACGAGGCACAGATAATACGTTGCGAGTCTTACGACGTGACACAGGTAATACGTTGCGGGTTTTACGACGTGACACAGGTAATACGTAGCGGGTCTTACGACGTGACACAGGTTATACGTTGCGAGTCTTACGACGTGATACAGGTAATACGTTGCGAGTCTTACGACGTGATACAGGTAATACGTTGCGAGTCGTACGACGTGACACAGGTAATACGTAGCGGGTCTTACGACGTGATACAGGTAATACGTTGCGAGTCTTACGACGTGATACAGGTAATACGTTGCGAGTCGTACGACGTAACATAGGTAATACGTTGCGAGTCGTACGACGTGACACAGATAATACGTTGCGAGTCTTACGAAGTGACACAGGTAATACTTTGCGAGTCTTACGATGTGACACAGGTAATACGTTGCGAGACTTACGACTTGACACAGGTAATACGTTGCGGATCTTACGACGTGATACAGGTAATACGTTGCGAGTCTTACGACGTGACACAGGTAATACGTTGCGAGTCTTACGACGTGACACAGGTAATACGTTGCGGATCTTACGACGTGATACAGGTAATACGTTGCGAGTCTTACGACGTGACACAGGTAATACGTTGCGGGTTTTACGACGTGACACAGATACTTCTTTGTGAGTCCCATGGTTTGGCTCTGATAACTCATTGTGAATGTTACATGCATATCGTGTGTAGGGGACAGGAAAACATACCTTACAGGATCACATTTTCTTTGACCGTCTTGTAACTGACGGTTCCCCCGTGTTTGGCAGCTCGTCTGTTGGCAGCCCACATGCACGCCCATATAGTCAGCAATATGGCAGCCAAGCCGACGATGACCGCGACGATAATAGCGATCTCTAGTGGTGACATCGTCCTGCAGCGGAACACATTGCCACTGGTTGGAGTGAGGTATTGTAGGGTTATGTAGATGGATAGTGACGAGGAACTGTGGATAGATGCAGAGACGAGGAAAGGTGGGTGGACAAGTTAAACGTGGGCAGAGATCCTGAAGTGATGCATGTCTCAGACGTTTACCACTTTGGTGAAACCCACGAGAACGGTTATGATGCTGACAAACCTAGAAACATAATCGGGGCGAACTGGGATTCGAACCCACAATCATAGGTTCCTGGCGTGCCCAAGGACTCTGCACAGCGAATAGCGGCTCCTAAGACGACTGGGCCACCCGTGCCCCTCAGTGACAAAGTGACGAGGACCTGTGGATGGATGCAGTGACGAGGAGCTTTGGATAGATGCAGATACGAGGAGCTGTGGATAGATGGGGTGACTAGGAACTGTGGACAGACGGAGTGACGAAGAACTGGATAGATGGGGTGACTAGGAACTGTGGACAGACGGAGTGACGAGGAACTGGATAGATGGGGGGACTAGGAACTGTGGATAGACGGAATGTGGATAGATGTAGTGACGTAGCACCGCGGATAGATGCAGCGACGAGGAGCTTTGGATAGATGCAGATACGAGGAGCTGTGGACAGACGAAGGGGGCGTGGCAGACAGATAGCGACGTTTAGCGAAAAGGCGAGCGAATGATGTGAAACGAGCTGACAACGGCAGAAGGGAGGAGAACGAAGGCGACAGCTAGGCAATCACAGCTATAGGCACGTCTACACTGAAACAGTGCGAGGTTTGTATACACAGCCAGATATTACAGATGCGTTACTGTCCTGTTAAGAACTATCATGTACAAATGCAATCTCGATCTCATCGCCACATAACAGTAAAGTAACAGTGTCTCACGAGGCACTAACTACTCGTGTGACCTGATTACAGGAGGCACCAGAATGTATATAATCAGTGAGACATATGCACACCTACCTGTAAGCTGATCACATCCTGCAGGACCCCGCGGTATTCAAGGTTCGACAGCCTTCCACATTTACACTGAAGAAATAGCAAGTTTATTTTTACTCAGCTTGCAGTTGTTTGTCCTGCTGTGAAATCACTCAGGTGTGTACGAGGACGTCAGTTGACCTATTTGGATGTGGTCGGTATTCTCGATCACAAAGACTGACTACAGGACGCATAACTCGGTGGCTTCCGCGTATCAAATAAACATAAAGGTTTTAAGGATGTGTCAGTGTTGAACGCTGGAAGGAAACAGTGATGAACTTTTGCACTTAGAATACTCCAGACCTGCTAATCTGTCAGTGAAGTGCATTTACATGAAGCGTCGCCAGAAAACACGTAGATACGAGGTGTCTTAGCCAATGGGAAAACGCTTGTTATTCATCTCAAGGTATCTAATGGCGAGAGGTCTGTCAGTTTTGTCTACCCATTGCGAGTGAATATAAATACCGCCTGTGTTTCTACTGAGAGTTTCACCCTTGAGAAATGGCTGGGATTTGATTAGACCTGTCGGAACGCGTTTCGGTTACGTAGCAATCAGAATGGCATGTCATTAACAGATAAGGCGTGCTAAATGCCCGTGTTCCCTTTGCAGTTTCTGATGTTTGGTATGAGCTATAGTTGCCGAAATGTGCCAGATTACGTCGATATACCATGCACGTCGTGAGGTTAATTGTCCTACTAGTGTCACGCTGCCTTCACACAGCAGCCCCAGTCATATAGCTGGAATATATATAACTACAGACTAAGAGGATTCTGTTATCTGATGATTCAGCTCCGTGTATCTGTGCACGTCTCGCCCAGACTGGAGGGTCAATGAGTTAAGGTTTGTTTGTTTGGTGGGTTGGTTGTTGTTTAACGCCGCACTTAGCAATATTACAGCTATATGACGGCAGTCTGTAAATAATCGAGTCTGGACCAGACAATCCATTAATCGATATCATGAGCATCGATCCACACAATTGGGTAACGATTACATGCATCAACCAAATCAACGAGCCTGACAACCCGATCCCGTTAGTCGCCTCTTCCGACAAGCATCGTCGCTTTTTCTAGCAAGCATTGGTTGCTGAAGACTCATTCTAACCCGGATCTTCACAGATTAGAGGGGCGGTCGAGTAGCCGAGTGGTTAAAGCGTTCGTTCGTCACACCGAGGACCCGGGTTTGATTCCCGACATGGGTACAATGTGTGAAGCCCATTTCTGGTGTCCCCCGCCGTGATATTGCTGGAATATTGCTTCAGCTCATCTCTAACCAACAAACAACAAAGCTACTGACGACTTTTACGTAACTATTTACACTATTCCCCATAAGTTTGAAATAGAGAATTTACCCTGTGTCTTTTGACATCGACCGCCTCAGTGGTCTAGTGGTATAACTATTTTTTTAGTTTATAAATTGGAATAACCAGAGGTGACACCTTGTAGCGGGCTGCACGGTTGGAACGTCAGAACACCCTAAACGATTAGCAATCGCACACAAGTAGCTGTAAAACACCGAGCGTCTCTTGATTGTATCTGCAAGTCGCAAGCCCTCGTCCAATCAAATTTACAAAGTTCAGAGTCCATCTTATGCGACCACGAATATCCCGAATTACCCGAATAGGAAATTGTTCATGTTCATAGATAAATCACATCATTTCTTGAAGTTCTAAAATGAATCTTATTTGTTTTCCCAAACATTCGTACAGTTCGCGGGAGGTCGTCGAATCGGGGAGAAAGTTTTTGTTTGTCAAAGACTTTCGTGGAAGGGTCCCCGAATTGCAATTTCTTGACTGAATCGTTATCCAGTCGTTTCTAAATTTTTATATTCCGTAACAGCTTCGAAATCGATTTTTTGCATTCTTGGCTACACTTAGCGATTCGTGGCTCCCAAAATCTATTGTCCTCAACCCTAAACATCCCGAAACAGCATGAATATTCCGACTCAACTACGAATCATGTAAGACTTAAGTAAGAACAACACGATTCCCCAAGGACCAGGACCAGAGCAACACGTGCTCTCCGTTGAACTTCCATGGTGGAAATGATGGGTTGGCCAGTCTTTCAGGACCCAAGAACATCCTGAAGTGTCAGGAAAAGTACCGATTTTCGTAAACTATTCGTAAATATGTCGTATTAGTCGTATCGTATTCGTTGCCATCGTTCTGCATTCGTATACACCCTCGGCATATTCGTAACTTAGTCGTAGGTGATTCTTACAATTCGTGAATGATCCGTACATGAATCTTGTTATTCGGACATGTCGTACATTCTTAACCCATTCCCGGGATTCTTCATAGTTTTCAGCCCGATAAGCCACGAGTTTTCGTAACGCCATCGTACGTTTATCGTAACTGCTTCGTAGCTCCTACCGATTCTCCACGAAAGTTTGCATTATAGGCCGAATCATCACAAATTTCGGAAAGTTTCCGATTCGGGGTGATGCGGGATATTCGTGGTCGTAGTGAAAGGGGGCATTAGAGTGACGTCCCTTTCCGTGTGTTGACATCGGAGCCTGGGGAAACTTGATCTTACAGACAAGAAGCTGAACGGTTAACTAGTGTTAGTGTGTTTTATGTGCTTGATGTAGTTCCGGTTTTATTCGACTTCAAATTGATTGACGCGCAAGGATAAATATATCAGTTGCCTGGTAAAAGACCCATGTTTGACGGTGGAAAAAATGAAACACGAAATGGTAAGGTGATGGTGATGTATTCGACACCTGTAGCATATGGTTGTGTTTTGGACCTTAAGATTGCAGTGTATAGTTGACTGTTTCAGCATTGTGGCGTGTTGATAACGTTATTATTTTTGGACCAAATCAAAGTTTCAAGAGATTACTTCCCCGCAGTTCATGTCCATGTGGCGTTCAGAGATTTAAAAGATTCTGACATACTTTCATACTTACCACATATCGATGCCGAAACATATTTGCTTATGGTCATGTGCACGAATACTGTTAATGAAAGCGTATTCATAAAAAGCAGCTAAAAACAGAGTCGATTGTACTTACTATTGTATCAGCATTTGGTGATGAATCACTATAAAATAGTGATGGTACCAAATGGTTGTGAAACGATGAGTATATCCTGCCCCGCCGCAAACACATGCAAAGGCAAGACAATTTTTTCCGCTGGAAAACAACCACATGGTAACATATGGAACAATTCAAATTAGGGAATTGTTTCAGACATCTTTGATTTTTATCTTTTCTTAATGATTGTAATTGTTGTTTGTAATTTAAAATTGTTGTGACTTGATTATATACACATGTACTCTGGGCTGGAGGCCTTTAATACAGAATAAAAGAGAGAGGGAGATTGTTATTGATGCGTCAATTTGGAAATGTCCTCCACGTGTCTACTATATCGCTTTTTGGGAGCTATGCTGAGGCCTGGGAGCTTTGATCAAACAATTCTTGGGCACTCTTTGAAATCGTTGTAGAAAGAGAATGCTAGATTATATCTCAAAAGTTATGAAATGAAGACTGGAGGCTGGAGCTGCAGGAATATTGCTCGACGTAAAGGGAAAGGTGACACGCACGCACATATGATCTCTCAATGTGTATAAACAAACTATCACATGGTGATAACATTTCAATTTGTGTTTATTTCGTGTACATATAATACGATCACAAAAACAAAAGCATACGCGACATGTTGAATATATATTGATAACATTAACATAATAAGTTGTCAACACGTAAACACGCGGTCACAAAGCTCACAAGGTCAGACACATCAAGTCATATTCATAATGCCAAGAGTACTGTGAATGTATTGTCACGTTGCGCGGGTACTATCAGATGATGTCCGGGCACCATAAGTCTCCTACAGCACCAACCGAATATCATCTATTTGGGACTGATGCCCTGTGAGAATGAAGCAATCGTATGACGTACACATGAACCATAGTATAGACTGTTGTTAAGATGAAAGTGGCGCTTTGACATAGCCTGACACCCTGCTCCAAACGTAATGCTACTATCATGATATGTCTGTATGAAATATGGGATATACGACCGCCTTGTCACTGTGACTTTATTTTAGTCTCAGCCGTCTCGCCCTTCTGAGTATTCCTAGAAATATTCGGATTCACCAGGGACCTAATTGTAAAATGAAACTACAGTAAACTCCGGTTATAACGAACACGCTTATAACGAACTGACGGATATAACGAACTAACTTTTTAGTCCCGACTATTTGCTGTAGTTATGCTGTATATATGCTTATAACGAACTACGGTTATAACGAACTAAAAATAGTAGTCCCTTTGAGTTCGTTATAACCGTAGTTTACTGTAGTTATAGAACTTGATGAGCACACTAAACCTAAAATACAAGTAGTAATCCGTAGATCAAAGGTGACATGGAAGACACGGAGTGCCATATCAATGTCTGTAGTACAATGTACGCATGTGGTATAAAAGTTCTCATCATCCCAAACTGACGTCCACAGTAGATATCGCTAGGGTGAAAAATGGCATCACAATGCGTTGCAGATCACTGTTTTTTTAAACTACTACTGGAAAGAAACTGTCAAAAGTAGTAAAATGATAGTAAATGGCATCGCACCCTCGGGGCTTTTAATATCAAATATATCCACACTCCTAGGCATTATATTTTTATATCAATATATATTCTATATTCATGCGATCAACGCATTAACGGAGTTTCACGTACATGACTATCATGGAATGTTGAACTGTATATGTATTGCTGAGAATAGTTTCAAGTGCCTGTTGGAAAGAGCGAGCATGTTCTGCATAGTTCTGGTGCAATGTTTATAAGGCACACGTCAAACAGTCTTCACACTGACTAAGTTCATGGTGGCGGTTATGTTCTCGTTATAGAGAGGGCCGTATTGGCTGCTTTCTTTGCCGTGACATTTCTTGCAGCGGGGTATCACCACCAGGAACAGCACCCCCATTAAGGCCACGCCCAGGAACATCACAGCTGTCATCGCAATGCCTCCCAGCAACCTTTCTACAAATGAGGACAATGCTATTAGGGAAGCATTTATACACAGAAGAACTGTTATCATAATTGCTGATGTAGTTAATAGTTTAGAAGCATCTGGCATGAACCATAGTGCTAGTGCGAAAAGGGAAACGAGACGGACCCCATTAGGTTTTCTGAATCTCATTTTAGTACATTTTGAAAAATAAATCAAATTTAACTCTGTGTAACAGTGTCCGTATATTGTATAAACATTAGCGTACATATGGCGTCATAGAGGTGACAGAGGATTGATAATCTACAAAGTCCATGCTGTCATAAATATTATCTACATTTAGTTCTGAATAAATTCATATATATAATAAGACAATGATATAATACACTCTTAAAAAAAGAAACGCATAGGTATATTTTAACTAAATTTATTGTACCTAATAAAGTCGATATATTTAATTTTATATCATAGATACAAAAATGAAATTTTGCAATCTCCTTAAAATCAGATCTGAGTTGTCGCTGCCGCTAAACAAAGATCTGAGGACATCCCCTTACGGGTCACGTCAGAACGTTCTTTCGCGAACTTTGACCGACCACTGAAACGAATAACAAGAAGTCGATATCAGTCAATAAGAAAGCAGCTTTCTCGAGCTTTAAGGCACTCGTTTCAACCTGGCGACTTCCATTTCAGACTACGCTTGAAAAATATGTTGACATAGTTCTCGATTATAATTTTTAAAACTGAACAAACCAACATTCCGGAATGATTAATATATGGTTGCGATTGTATGGCAGTGCTTCCCACGTACTGTGCAACGCCTCCTCCGTTCAAATCTTTATCCCACGGAAGCGAGGGACACTTGGAGGAATCAGTCCTACGGGCCGTAACTGTCGTTCGGGATACCCCGTGTTAAGGTGTTCGAGGTTGCATGATCAGAAAACTCATTCCGACTGTCACTTTCATGATCTGGTAAGCGACGCTTTGATTGGTCGGATGAAAGGTCGTTCTGACGTGACCCGTAATGGGATGTCCTCAGATCTTTGTTTAGCGATAGCGAGAACTTAGATCTGATTTTAATGAGATTGGAAATTTTGGAGCTCGATAGTCACATGTTGTCGTTGTACAAGGTTGCGCTGAACTCGTTTGACCGCCCCTGACAGCAATCACGGCTCTGCATCTCCTCGGCACTGACTTGATAAGTGTACGAATCTGTCCTGCGGAATTTTGCGCCATTCTGTTTGTAACGCGTTGGCCAGTTGTGGGAGTGTCTCTGGCGTGTTCTGACGTTGACGTACACGTCGATCGAGTTCATCCCAGAGGTGTTCAATTGAGTTAAGATCTTGAGATCTCGACGGCCACGGCAAAACGTTGATGTTGGCATTATGAAGGTAGTCTACCGTGACACGAGCTGTGTGATATGGAACGTTGTCCTGTTGAAACAGCACCATCTGGCGGTCAATGATTGGAAGAAGGTGATGCTGAAGAATTTTGACTCATGTAACGATTTGCTGTCAAATGTCCCTGAACCACAACCAAGTCATAGCTCGTGGTGTTGGATATGGCCCCCGACACATTGACACTTCCGCCACCGTAATTGTACAACGACAAGATATGACTATCGATCTCCAACATTTCATATTTGTATCGATCATATTAAATTAGATATATCGACTTTATTAGGTGCAATAAATTAACTAAAAATCTACCTGTGCGTTTCTTTTTTTTGAAGAGTGTATGTGATAATTTTGCATTTAGAAATTTGACACACCCATCCCATCCCCCCTTACTCCCGTCAATCTTTTTCCTATCCTCGAGGCGGTGGGGTAGTCTAGTGGCTAAGTTATATGCTCGTTACGACAAAGGACGGGGTGGATTCCCCCCATGGGTACAATGTGTGTAGCCCATTTCTTGTGTGCCCAAGTCGTGATATTGTTGGAATATTGTTGAAGGTGGCGTTAAACAATACTCACTCACTATTCCTATCCTCAATTAAATATCGACAAAGACGTTACATTTTTGTGTGTATGACGTGACCTTCAACCGTAAGTAATTGTGACAATTATTTTTAGAGTGTATACACAATCTGCTCAGCATACTGTTCTAGCAATATGTCCACCTAGCTTTGTCAAACGTAGTTTGTTTAAGAATACATGTAGGTTATATTCATTATGGCACGAGGGAACAGCGTATTCCACCCATTCCTACCACAAGAAGCAAAACACCCGGGGCTCCTGGCAGAGGCATACTGGATGATACTGGAAGATGTAGACGGGGAAGATACTCACGACCAGGGTTGTCGGCGTCGGCAATGTGGTGGAAGTTGAAAGGGCCTTTCAAAACAGACGCATCCAGATGCTGAGAAAAACAATGGCATTACGTCACATTTTATGGATATTATGGGCTTAGATTTCATTGAGGGTGAGTGCATGAGTTTATATAGTTTCACGTCGTAATCAGAAACATTCAAGTTCTATACATAATACAATTTGGACCAGCAGAGCAGTGACTGAAAACATCAGCAGAAATGTACACCATCGAGACACGGTGACAGGTAATTTACAGAGTCTGACCACCACCGGTTACCTTCTTAACCCCGCTATCCTGACGGGACATAGGAAGGTATACGAAGCTTTTGTTGATCACATCAGAAAATTGACCTACTGTTGTACGATGGACACTGGCCAGAAGGGTTACAATCAGTGTTACAAAGACTACTGGCCGTCTCTGACCATGGACACTCGCCAGAACGGTTACAGTCAGTGTTACAAAGACTACTGGCCGTCTCAGACCATGGACACTCGCACACGGCTACAGTCAGTGTTTCGAAGACTAGTAGCCTTCCCTGACCATGGGCACTCGCCAGCACAGTTACAGTCAGTGTTACAAAGACTACTGGCCGTCTCTGACCATGGACACTCGCCAGAACGGTTACAGTCAGTGTTACAAAGGCTACTAGCCTCCCCTGACCATGGGCACTCGCCAGCATGGTTACAGTCAGTGTTACAAAGACTACTAGCCTCCCCTGACCATGGGCACTCGCCAGCACAGTTACAGTCAGTGTTACAAAGGCTACTAGCCTCCCCTGACCATGGGCACTCGCCAGCATGGTTACAGTCAGTGTTACAAAGACTACTAGCCTCCCCTGACCATGGGCACTCGCCAGCATGGTTACAGTCAGTGTTACGAAGACTACTAGCCTCCCCTGACCATGGCCACTCGCCAGCACAGTTACAGTCAGTGTTACAAAGGCTACTGGCCGTCTCTGACCATGGACGCTCGCCAGCATGGTTACAGTCAGTGTTACAAAGACTACTGGCCTACCCTGACTATGAACACTCGCCAGCACGGTTACAGTCAGTGTTACAAAGACATACATGTCTGCTCGAGACACGGGCTATTTTATGACGATCGTAAGAAAGTATACCGAATTGTTTCTTGAAGACAACTTGCAATGCACTTGAAACATGATATCGGTTCACATAAGAGTAATAGTGTTAGTGAATAGTAATAGTGAACGGTGGCATGGCAAACAGTAAACATCAGTCAACAATAAAATACCCGAGAACATGGCAGGGATGACCGCTGGATAATGAGGGGGTGCAACTGGTGTGGTGCAGTTGGGGGCAAGAATCATGCACTGTACGAAAACGACCATCGCCAAGTGGATGCATCGTCACAGATTGACAGAACTGCAGACAAGCCATGAAAAGGTAGACCCCGCGTCACAACCGCCATTGAGAAACCTCTATCTCTGCAACTTGAATCTACGAAGAGATTCCTCACGTCATCTGCGCTGACTGCGCTTGGACGTGTATTCCAGAGCATGCTATCAGGGCCTATCAACCATTCAGAGGAATGACGTTGACGGGTCAACATCGGCTGAGACGTTTACGTTGAGCAAGCAACGTTGACAATATCGTAACTGGCAAGGTGTGTGATCCTCTGACGGGAGCAGGTTCCAGCTGTTCCCACCTGTTCAGTGTGTAAATAAACAAGTCTGGACAATCCAAACAATCCGGTGATTGACATCACGAGCATCGATCCACTCAGTAAAGATACCATGACGTGCATCAACCAAGTCAGCGAGTCTGACCACCCGATCCCGTTAGTCGCCTCTTACGACAAGCATAGTCACCTTTTAGGCAAGCATGGGTTGCTGAATACCTATTCTACCCCGGATCTTCACGGGTCTAAGCCTATATGAAGACCAGGGATGGGAAACTGCCATGTTAAATGTACCTGTGTGGTATTGTGCCCCTCCATGTCCGCATAATCACCGTAGACGATGCCGGTACGCAATGCATCAATGAACACGAGGATGACGAATGCTTGGACCAGATCCGTGGAAACGCTGAAAGCCATCTCTGCAAAGTAGGGATCAGATTACAGGACAAAAAGAAGTCGGTTGACGCCAAGTATTTATTGCCTGACGCCACACAGCAGTACTCCGGCTATGCGACGGCGGTCTGTACAGAAACCAGCTAAACAAGTGATCGATTGATCAGAAACGTCAGTACATTAACTGATTTTGTTGAAACTAGTATCAATGTTTTGATGATTTTGAAATACGCCTGGCAGCAAGGGCAAATATTAAGCAGGTTGCGATGAAATTATATACATGAAGGGTCATTGCATCATTATATTTTGAAAAAAACTATGTATTTTGTAACCATTATTTTGAATTTTCCAAGAATATATGTAATCTTGAACGTGAGTAATATTGCTTACGTTCGTCGATAACTGTGACCGCCATTCAGCTCGTTCTATAAAGCTGGTCTATTTGCCGGTGTGTAATTTAAAAGAGCGCTGTTTTCAAAGCGCACATGTAGAATAGAGATAAGCCCACGGTGTTTTGAAATACATAGTAGTCTAACTGTAGATTAGATACCTCATAATCATATATTTGAAACGTTCCACTAAACCTTTCGACTCCAAATTAAGATAAGAGGTATCTAATCTAAGATTAAACTATTTCAAATTTCAAACCAAAGTGATTATATCTCCTAAATAACTATCAGGTTGCTGTGGTAATAAATCGTTTGTGACTAGCCTTTCTAATCACATCTTTACACATATTATGGCAAGACACTATGGCTAAGTATGAGCATATGGAAGATAAGATTTGATATGTAACATTATTTTGCACAACGTATTTCAGACCACTGCCAGGTTTGTGAGATATGTTTCATAAATATAACCTTAGTTCAATGCAAACAAAGACATTAGAAATATCAACGAATGAACGCAATATGTCCAATGTTTTTGCAAATCGTATCGAAAGCTGTTTTCATCACTGGTATGGTGCAATCGTTATCTTCAATAATCATGAATGTCAGTGTGGTCATGTGCATTGGGTATTGATCGCCACAAGGATTATGTGGCAACAGATGCTAAAAACCCACGATTGGGTTTAAGATGCCACATAGCCCCAAGTCATAAAAATGATGGATGTGCCATCGAGGTATATTTAACCTGTCCTGCTTAGAAACCACTTTATCCTGTGTATGTGGGTCACAGCATTCTTGAAACACTCGCATTACATGTCACGCCACACCCTGGTAAGCGAGGCATCCAAACATACGGGTCAGCGCCGTACTGTTATAATAGAGACAGTCAGAAGCCCCAGGTGCAAGCTGCAAATGTCTCATTTTAAAGTCGGGGATCGAAACAGAGCCTGAGGCGTGACGTCCAACGTTTAACCACTAGGCTAGATAAACACTCACCGCGATGAACATGATAGCAAGGCAGTATGATATTTAATACAGTATGTTGTACACTGCCTGTTTGCGAAATCCCAATGTAAACAAGAAAGCCTGGTAAGCTGTGAACTTGTCGAAAGCCTTACATACCGCTGACACTGAAGTAAACATTAGGTTGCGTGGCAACAGTTACTGGTAAATTAAACTACGGTAAAGACACATACCTGATATGTTACGTCACATTGTGCAAGGCTGATTGCCTTATCTCGCCCTGTCTAACGTGATGTGGGGCCATCAGCGTGTTATCCATCTATCTACCACTGTGACAAGCGTGTCATGTTGACAGTGAGTCAGGCGCACAATGATCACCGCTCGTCGAGGCTGGGTCAAATATCGCATGACCCTTTGATGGGACGCTGTGGCGTTGTGGTGTAAGTATAGCGTATATAGGTCAACCGTGACATATGTTATAGAGGCCGGGCAAAACGCTCAGAAATACATCCGAGATCCCACTTTATAAACTTTCTTCTGCCCGATGTGTTGTTTTTTACCAATATTCGCCTGACCTTGTCCTGAATAAGTACAGTGGATGATTGGAACAGGGTCACTGTGTGGAAACTGCATATCTGTGTTGGAATAACAACCAGAGACTGTACAAATGACTATCTTCGTCCCATCTGCAAAAGATGAGCAAAGTCACAGGATCTACACCCGGTACAATTTAGTCGCCCCAAGAGACCAGCAATGGAATGAGTGTTGGGGCAAATATTCTAACGCTGTTCCCATCGTATTTGTTTGTTTGTTTTTGAACGTCGCACTCAGGAATATTCCAGCTATATGACGGCGGTCGAGTCTGGACCAGACAATCAAGTGATTGATCTCATGAGCATCGATCTACGCTATTGGAATATGATGACATGCATCAACAAAGCGACCCTGATCAACCGATCCCATTAGTCGCTCTTACGACAAACATAGTCGCCTGTTAAGGCAAGCATGGTTGCTGAAGACCTATTCTACCCCGGATCTTCACGAGTATGTTTTTCAGTGAAGTGTGCCGATCGAATTTTAAGTTTTGTATTCGGGAGATGACTCATGCACGCTCACATCTCACATGACAGTACTTCACGGAATGTAACAGATCCGCTCGAGGGTCATCATTTGTAAAATAATGTTATGACATCGAGGTGAAGGGCAGGCACTCTGCATGAACAGTTTCATAAACACATACCTTGTATGCCAGACAAACATACGTATGCTCACACACATTGAGACACACACACACTTCACCTCCCCTACCCCTGCACACAAACTCACACGTACACACGTACACACACACGTACACACACGTACACACACACACACACACACACACACACACAATTCGCCCCCACCAACCCACAAACCCACTCACATACACACGCGCTGCCCCACCAACCCACACAAGCACACACACACACAGACACACACTCACTTCACCTCCCCTACTCCTGCACACAAACTCACACGTGCACACACTGACACACATACACACACACTTCGCCCCTACCAACCCACTCACATACACACACGCTGCCCCACCAACCCACACAAGCACACACACACTGACACACACACACACTGACACACACATACACTTGCCCCGCCAACCAACAAACACGCACACCCACTAAAAACTGACACACACTCACTCCGCCCCACCAACAGACACACACACACAGACACACACACACATACACACACACTTCGCAAACAAGCGCACACGCACGAACACACACAACGCCCCACACAACACACTGACACACACACTAAACCAACCCACACACTGGCATATTCACACACACACGCACTGACACACAGACACACACACACACTTCGCCCCGCCAATTCCCACACGAACGCACGCGCGCACACACGCGCAAACGCATCCGCGCACACTCACACACAACGCCCCACCAACAAACACACGTGCATACGCTGACACACACACTTCGTCCCAGCAACCCACACGCGCGCACGCACACATACACTCCGCCCCACCAACCCACACACGCACACACTGACACACGCACTTCGCTAAACCAACCCACACACGGGCATATTCACACACAGAGACACACTTCGCCCCGCCAACTCCGACACACGAACGCGCGCGCACACACGCGCAAACGCACATACACGCAGAGACAATGTCCCACCAACACACACGCGCACACACTAAGACACACACTCCGCACCACCAACCCGAACACACGCACACTATGACACACACACACTTCGCGCGCACACACGAGCATTTTCACACACACAGACGCACACACACACACACGAACACACACACACGAACACACACACACTCACATGAATGAACACACACACATGAACACACAAACACATGAACACACAAACACACACACGCACACATGAACACACACACACACATGAACACACACACACATGAACACAAACACACACACAAACACAGAGTGAAGTGCAGATGTTATTGAAAAGGTGGACGGGCAGAATAACAAAATACGCAGTTGTGATAGATTCCAGTGATTACATCTTCCGGTAACAGATGCTAATATAAACAGGAGATAATTTAGTTATCAATGCTGAGCCGCCCTAACTATCAGTAATACTTGTGAAAGCCGGACACATACACGGGAGTGTAATCTGATCACATTTGTCACTACACAACACGAGTTAAGCCCATCAGTGATCCACAATCATCACAGATATCGATCTCACGGCGCACGCGACAGAATCGTGCCTTTTTGTATTTAAAAACACAATCTGTTACAGTGTAAATATATCAATATAAATTAATTTAAAAAGTAAATCATCAGCATATACCAGGCGGAACTCACTGGACATGATCTGTCGGTCAAACATTGCAGTGGTGCTGCACAAGTGATGTTACGATTGTATATATCAAGGCGCGTGCACGTGGTCCTATATTTAGCTCTGTGGACTGATCGATCATCATCTTTACATTCTCAAACAGCTCTAAAGATGAGTACAAAATAGATGAAGATTAGAAACGGATACATACACGAGGTTTGCTGTTTCGACATCAGGTCGCGTGCACGGTATGGACAGGGTAGATAACTCGTCACGCCTTGTCGTGGAAGATTTGGACACAGGGCGAAATGCCAGCATGCGGTCTCGTCTATGTGTAACCATTGCAATTTGGAGACGCCTGAAAGTGTGGACTCTACCTAAATAAATGCTCAGGCATAATAACATAAGATAACACCACACAAGTGCTGTGCTTGAAGTTCGGGATACTTTTTCATAGCTACAGTTTTGGGCCCCTGTGTCATGTATGTCTCCGTGCAACGGGCAGTTTTGAATTGTAGTTTCGTCGTCTGGAAAATATGATGTAATTTAGATAGGCTCTCAAATGGCTTGAACATATTAAGTGCTATCATTTTAAATCATTTTAACATTCTACCGTAATGATCAACTGCTGTTTTATTGAACGAGTATTTCATGTTTCAGAAATGAAAGTGTCTGGCTAAGGTTTTAATCCATATCATGATGCAAGGCTTATCTTTCCTTTTCTTTTTCCCATCACTTTTTGTGATGCGCAGTGTATGCGTGTATCCATATTAACGTAAAGGTTGAAGATAGAGTGTGCTTTAATTGTTTAGATCATCTACAATATCAATACGATGATCTAAGATCTACATTATTTACGGGTATAACGGCTAAAATGTCAAACGTTTTAAACCTGTCACACAATGAGTCCTTTTTAAACATGAGGTATATGTCATTGCCAAAACCTGCTTTTTACTTTTTCAACGCAGAAAGCTATTGCTACATGGGTAAAACATTTTTATCTGTATTTATCATCCAGTTTTGAGAATCGTATCTCATAAATAAGTGGCGCTGTATTATTATTTTTATGTATAAACGTCTATTTTATGCATGTTTGTTTATGATGTACAGCGTTGAGACGAAAATAAAATATCTGCATGTCTGTCTGTCTGCCTGTCTGTCTGTATCGATATGAGTGTTAGCTAAGCTGGCGTCACCTTTATGTAATGTAAAACGATTTCGTGTTGTTTTTGTTGCAATATGATACTTTGTGGGTCTTATAAAGTAAAGTCAATGGGGCAAATAGGGCTCCTGTTGGTTAACGTCGCCCTTAAACTACACCACCACCATCACCATCACCATCACCATCACCATCACCCCCACCATCACCATCACCACCATCACCACCACCGTCACCACCATCACCATCACCATCCGTCTCAGGTGTGAGTCGACGACTAATCCATGAGTTCCACAAAAGCCATAACCTTGTCTACGTACGCCATACAATGTGTTTCCATCTGATCTACATAAATGCATGTCCTGCCATGATTTCATCTAATCTTCAACATCTGGCCATTATGTTGGACGCTCCATATGTCTTATCATAATATATACTAATTCAAATTAAATATTCGACGCAATGTCAAAGGTGGAAAAAGATTAAAAAAACATGCATCCTTACTTGCCGTACGTCACACAACTCCAGACAACTTAGCTGTTCATGGAAATAAACAATGCGGTTTAGCTATTTTAAGAACACACTTCCACGTCATGTCACTGAATTACTAAACACATAACACTGATGGACGTTTGCAGTGTTGCATGACCGCTTGGCCATTGTTTATTTCCAAAACGTATATCTGGTTATACTGGCGTGTATGCCAACCAGTTGCTTTGGAACAATAAACTGAATCCATCATTGACCTTTGTGATGGACGGGGCTGCACGATGAACGAGACAAGTCGGACACGCCGATCAATAAGTCAGTGTTTACAAGGGGTTTTCCACGATCTATTAATACGTCCTTGCATGTGTTAAACATGAGTGAAGCAGCCTACCAACTGTTGTCACTTGGCGACATGTTATTCATGGGGACCCACTTCACAACGGCTCCCACCACAAGCACAGGTGAGTTGTTGTATCTGTACAGACTATATGGCCCTGGAGTAAGCTGGAGCATTCTTATCGCACCAATATTTCTGTTGTTAGTAAACCTTTTACGAGGGCACGCCGAATTCCGGATCAGTCAACTCAAGTAGGACACAGAGCCAGTCATGTACCGTCATTGAATTGTGTTTGCGTAGGTGGAAATATAGGTAGGTAAGTAGTGCTTGTTAAATTCTGGGTTTACAATGTGTTGTCTTTTTAATAGGATGTTTGAACCTGGAGATGAAAAGCGAGCTTCTCGAGTGTGATTATCATGTATCAAGGGTAGTCTTCAAGGTCACGGAGAGGAAGGGATTTCGAGCACTAACGATTGCAGCAGTTTGCAATAGGCATAAGGTGCATGTATAACGTCAACATTGTAATTCATATGCGCGCCATTGTATGGCCTAGTTTGATATACGAAATCGTATAAAAATGTATTCGTATATAATTCCAGAATTTGGAATATAGAAGCTGCCATTAACGAATGTTGGACGGTGTAGCCATGCATTGCCTGTATCTCACAATATCTGCGCACATACATATGATAGCTGTTCGACATTTCACGATAAATGTTTTATCGTGAGATATAAGATTGCTACGCGATAAATCGCAAAGAACAATGAAGAACGTGTGATTTATTTCATGGTAAAAACATTGCTCTATCCTGACGTAATTTCTTGAGATTCGAACATGTGCTCGCAACTTGATGACGTCGTATATTAAACGACGTTATTTTTGAGAGGGATGTGTCTATTGAGTTGTTCCCTGTAGATGTGGATGGGCAATGCAGATAAACGCAATGGCTGAACGATCGCATCCTAAAGCGTTAGAAATGTGACAATCGGTATTGGGAGAATAGGTACAGGTAATTGACGTGAGGATTTTGAGAATATGTAGCAAATACCCACCTGTGCATAGAATGGACTAGTCCGACATTGCCGAGGTCGGAGTCTATTGAGGGAGTTTTCATTATTACAATACGGGTAAATATTGTTAAAGCTTGTACATCGTATCGTCATCCTTAAAGAGGCTGTACATAATGTTGATATCTCATATAAGAAGAACACGACTCGTGGTCGTTGTTCATCGTACAATAAAACACTGCAGGGATAATAAACCACACGGGGCTGCCCCCCTGATAGTTTATTCTCCCTGCAGTGTGTTATTGTACGATAAACTACGACCACGAGTCTTTTATTTCGTAAATTAGGTGTTGGTGACTATGCATTATAAGCAGTTTATATTTACCTGCTGTGCACGGGTGTACTGTAATCACATCTATAATGTATGTCCGGCAATAGCCATGCCCATGCTTGTTTGGTGCTGGCGACGTTAAGTATGACGGAGAGTGCGTTCTTGAAATTTCTTTGAATTTTCTGTGCTTTGTCATGGGGTAGGTAAGCCGTTTGTCAATTTATAGTATAACGTCTTTGTTTATTCGGCTCCTGCATCCGCGAGTATCTATCCGTCTAATCGTATTGGTCAGGGAAATCTACTGTGTCGTCGAATGTTTTCCAAACCCTCCCTGTTGTCAGTGTACAATGAGTGTCTAATCGGTAAATGTAACCTTCCTTGAAACGACGCACGTCCTGTGAAGCCTTGATTTCGCAACAAGCAGGGTAGAGATTATACCATAGTGAAGATAAGGGCTTAACTTGGCCTATTAAGATACTTCACCTACATCTGTTTATCGAGGTGGACGTATACGCGGTTTACAATTACCATACGGCAGTTTCCTCAATCGGCGATATCTCACAGAATACAGAACCCATTGTTTCTGGCCGACCTCTCACTTTGGCGAATGAGGCATGACCTGTTCGTATATTAGCTTATCCCTCATTATACATACACGTGTTCTTGAACTATATTTGTGCTTGCAGATGATGTGTTATGTGTGATCTCTTTGGCTAGTGCCCGGAACACACTCACTCACTTTTTAACTCACTCACGCACTCACTTTTACACACATTCACACACATACACACACACTCATACAAGCGACTATGCTTGTCGTAAGAGGCGACTAACGCGATCGGGTGGTCAGCCTCGCTGACTTGGTTGATGCATGGCATCGTAAATCGATGAACATGATATCAATCACCGGATTGTGTGGTCCAGACTCGATTATTTACAGACCGCCGTCATATAGCTGGAATATTGCGGTGTTGAACAACGATCAAACAAAACCAAACGATAGATATTTACACACACACACACACACACACGCACGCACGCACGCACGCACGCACGCACGCACGCACGCACGCACGCACACACACTCATTCATGCTCACTCACTCACTCACTGAGTCACACGGACATCCATACACTTACATAACACAGCCATACACTCAGTCACGCGTACAAACACACACTTCACACCACACTCATATACACACACAGCGGGTACAGAGACTTAATATCTATGTTATGACGTCACAATGTTACCGTTTTGCAATTGGCCACGTCACGTGTTGTGGGGCCGCAATGGTGGCATTTTACATTGATAGTTGAAGCTTCATGTTGAGAGATGAACGGGTTGTTTCAGGTGCTGGACCATGTGACTCGGGAGTTCCCCTCATATCTGAGGTGTCCGATCATTGTGTTACAGGAGGGCCCTGATCAGCCATGTTGGCAGTACAACGTGTCCGGCTGTGTAACTATATAGTATCGATCGTTCTGGTGACGGCAGTATGTGTGGCGTCACCGGTCCTGCCTCTGAGACACATTACCACATCCCCCTCAACAACCACAGCACCGATCTCTACAGAACATTCCACACTCATGGCTAACGACAATACGACAATGGTAAGCATTTAACGGTTCAATTCTTTTAAAAGTGCAATTTGCATATAACAATGGGTTATAGATACAGTCAACCATAAATAGTAGTGAGTGAGTGAGTTGGGTTTAACGCCGCTTTTAACAGTATTCCAGTTATATCGCGGCGTGTCAGCTTAATGTGGGAGGAAAGCCCGAAGTGATGCAGGTCTCAGACGTTTACCACTTCGGTGAAACCCACGAGCATGCGTATGGGACAAACCTAGAAACATAATCGGGGCGAACCGTGATTCGAACCCACAATCATAGGTTTCTGGCGTGCCCAAGGGACGCAACTCTGCACAGCGAATCGCGGCGCCTCGCCTTAGACGACTGGACCACCCGTCATTATTTGCGTCCAACACAGGTTGAATGATTGATTGGATGGTTGGTTGATGGAGAGATTTTTAACGCCGCTCTCAGCAATATTTCAGCCATATGACGGCGGTCTGTAAAGAATCGAGTCTGGACCAGACAATCCAGTGACTGACGTCATGTTGAGCATCGATCCACGTTATTGGGATATGATGACATGCATCAACCAAGTCTGCGAGTCTGACCATCCGATCCCGTTAGTCGCCTCCTACGCCAAATATAGTCGCCTTCTACGTCAAGCATTGGTGGATGAAGACCTATTCTTCACCGGATCAGAGAGGTGATCTTGATTGATTTAACAAAACTCATTTTCTTGCAGGGTGATACATCCTGTTCTGAAGGAGGCAGCTGCTCTCTAAATAAAGCAGGTATGTGCAGACCTGTGACACTGTACGTGGTTCAGTCTATACCCGGTACATGATGCACGAAGTGTACTCAAGCTGCACGTACATGTGAACTGTACGTGAACTGTACATCCGTGACTTAAAAGTTGTATTCTAGGTAGACCCGATCGATACATGTGCACTTGATACAGGTGGCGATATAACCCAACAATTGTATCCTGAACGGTACTGCCAATACATGATATTAGATAGTTTACTGGATCTTACGTGTACGAAGGTTGAATTGTATCTAAAGTATAATCCCGGTAATGAGACCAGAGGCATGCGCAGGTTTGATGTGAACTGCCGTGAACGCGCGGTTATATAATACATGTGCCAACTGTATCTGTATCTGTGGCCTGACGTGTATAAACAGGAAATGTGGTCTGACGTCTTTCAGCAGGAAATGTGGTCTGATGTGTACAGCAGTAAATGTGGACAGTGTGTACAAGCAGTAGTTTCAGTAAATGTGGCCTGACTTGTACATGCAGTAAATGTGGCCTGACGTGTACAAGCAGTAAATGCGGCCTGACGTGTACAAACAGTAAATGTGGCCTGACGTGTACAAGCAGTAAATGTGGCCTGACGTGCACAAACAGTAAATGTGGCCTAACGTGCACAAACAGTCAATGTGGCCTGACGAGCACAAGCAGTAAATGTGGCCTGACGAGCACAAGCAGTAAATGTGGCCTGACGTGTACAAGCAGTAAATGTGGCCTGACGTGTACAAGCAGTAAATGTGACCTGACGAGCACAAATAGTAAATGTGGCCTGACGAGCACAAATAGTAAATGTGGCCTGACGAGCACAAATAGTAAATGGGGCCTGACGTGCACAAGCAGTAAATGTGACCTGACGTGTACAAGCAGTAAATAATGCCTTACGTGCACAAGCAGTAAATGTGGCCTGACGAGCACAAATAGTAAATGTGGCCTGACGAGCACAAATAGTAAATGTGGCCTGACGAGCACAAATAGTAAATGTGGCCTGACGAGCACAAATAGTAAATGTGGCCTGACGAGCACAAGCAGTAAATGTGGCCTGACGAGCACAAATAGTAAATGTGACCTGACGTGTACAAGCAGTAAATAATGCCTTACGTGCACAAGCAGTAAATGTGGCCTGACGTGTACAAATAGTAAATGTGGCCTGACGTGTACAAATAGTAAATGTGGCCTGACGTGTACAAATAGTAAATGTGGCCTGACGTGTACAAATAGTAAATGTGGCCTGACGTGTACAAATAGTAAATGTGGCCTGACGTGTACAAGCAGTAAATGTGGCCTGACGTGTACAAGCAGTAAATGTGGCCTGACGTGTACAAGCAGTAAATGTGACCTGACGTGTACAAGCAGTAAATGTGGCCTGACGTGCACAAGCAGTAAATGTGGCCTGACGTGTACAAGCAGTAAATGTGGCCTGACGTGTACAAGCAGTAAATGTGACCTGACGTGTACAAGCAGTAAATGTGGCCTGACGTGTACAAGCAGTAAATGTGGCCTGACGTGCACAAGCAGTAAATGTGACCTGACGTGCACAAATAGTAAATGTGGCCTGACGAGCACAAATAGTAAATGTGACCTGACGAGCACAAATAGTAAATGTGGCCTGACGTGCACAAATAGTAAATGTGGCCTGACGAGCACAAGCAGTAAATGTGGCCTGACGAGCACAAATAGTAAATGTGGCCTGACGTGCACAAATAGTAAATGTGGCCTGACGAGCACAAATAGTAAATGTGGCCTGACGAGCACAAATAGTAAATGTGGCCTGACGAGCACAAATAGTAAATGTGACCTGACGTGTACAAGCAGTAAATAATGCCTTACGTGCACAAGCAGTAAATGTGGCCTGACGTGCACAAATAGTAAATGTGGCCTGACGAGCACAAATAGTAAATGTGGCCTGACGAGCACAAATAGTAAATGTGACCTGACGTGTACAAGCAGTAAATAATGCCTTACGTGCACAAGCAGTAAATGTGGCCTGACGAGCACAAATAGTAAATGTGGCCTGACGAGCACAAATAGTAAATGTGGCCTGACGAGCACAAATAGTAAATATGGCCTGACGAGCACAAATAGTAAATGTGGCCTGACGAGCACAAATAGTAAATGTGGCCTGACGAGCACAAATAGTAAATGTGACCTGACGTGTACAAGCAGTAAATAATGCCTTACGTGCACAAGCAGTAAATGTGGCCTGACGAGCACAAATAGTAAATGTGGCCTGACGAGCACAAATAGTAAATGTGGCCTGACGAGCACAAATAGTAAATGTGGCCTGACGAGCACAAATAGTAAATGTGGCCTGACGAGCACAAATAGTAAATGTGGCCTGACGAGCACAAATAGTAAATGTGGCCTGACGAGCACAAATAGTAAATGTGGCCTGACGAGCACAAATAGTAAATGTGACCTGACGTGTACAAGCAGTAAATAATGCCTCACGTGCACAAGCAGTAAATGTGGCCTGACGAGCACAAATAGTAAATGTGGCCTGACGTGTACAAGCAGTAAATGTGGCCTGACGTGTACAAGCAGTAAATGTGGCCTGACGTGTACAAGCAGTAAATGTGGCCTGACGTGTACAAGCAGTAAATGTGGCCTGACGTGCACAAGCAGTAAATGTGGCCTGACGTGTACAAGCAGTAAATGTGGCCTGACGTGTACAAGCAGTAAATGTGGCCTGACGTGTACAAGCAGTAAATGTGGCCTGACGTGCACAAGCAGTAAATGTGGCCTGACGTGTACAAGCAGTAAATGTGGCCTGACGTGTTCAAGCAGTAAATGTGGCCTGACGTGTACAAGCAGTAAATGTGGCCTGACGTGTACAAGCAGTAAATGTGGCCTGACGTGCACAAGCAGTAAATGTGGCCTGACGTGCACAAGCAGTAAATGTGACCTGACGTGTACAAGCAGTAAATGTGGCCTGACGTGTACAAGCAGTAAATGTGGCCTGACGTGCACAAGCAGTAAATGTGGCCTGACGTGTACAAGCAGTAAATGTGGCCTGACGTGTACAAGCAGTAAATGTGGCCTGACGTGTACAAGCAGTAAATGTGACCTGACGTGTACAAGCAGTAAATGTGGCCTGACGTGCACAAACAGTAAATGTGGCCTGACGTGCACAAGCAGTAAATGTGGCCTGACGTGTACAAGCAGTAAATGTGGCCTGACGTGTACAAGCAGTAAATGTGGCCTGACGTGTACAAGCAGTAAATGTGACCTGACGTGTACAAGCAGTAAATGTGGCCTGACGTGTACAAGCAGTAAATGTGGCCTGACGTGCACAAGCAGTAAATGTGACCTGACGTGTACAAGCAGTAAATGTGGCCTGACGTGCACAAGCAGTAAATGTGGCCTGACGTGCACAAGCAGTAAATGTGACCTGACGTGCACAAACAGTAAATGTGGCCTGACGTGCACAAGCAGTAAATGTGGCCTGACGTGTACAAGCAGTAAATGTGGCCTGACGTGTACAAGCAGTAAATGTGGCCTGACGAGCACAACCATCTTTTTTGCACAGGCACTCCTTTCGGGATATTTAACCGTTGAACTTTACATTTCTGAAAGTAGTTTGACAAGTAGCTTGTATCATAATTCCTTTCCAGATCTGGCCAAAACAGTAGTGCTGAGGTTGACAATCGTTGCTGCCTGTATACTTGTCTTCGTGGGTCTTGTGAAACTCTCAGTCGTTATGAATAGATGCTGCAGTTGTGACTTCAAGCGAAAACACACGGTGACCTTCACCCGGATATGACCCGAGTAAACCGAGGTCACACCATCATACAGAGAAGCGGACCAAATCAGGGACTGATGATATATGCCGTATGTGCGTTGCAAATGGGTGCACACACTTCTCCTATATAATGTTTTAGTTGGTGCAAAAATGTTGTTGTAATATTAAATTATTAATAATCGAGTAAACGAGCAATTTATTGATGTGAATGTGTTATATGTGTGCCAAGATATGTTCAAAGACACATGTGTACTGCTAGAATCTGAAATATGTAATTTATACATATGTTGCTGTCTTTGCCAGAGAGTAAGTGTCCTGATGGAACTGAGACTGTTGATTTATTATACAACACTTATAGAGCGAACATGGTTCAATCTCGGTGACCTTGTTTAGTCACCGGACCAGGTTAGTGTGGAGATTACGATGTGCACGTGACATAACACTGTCACACGTCACCACCTTAACATGGTCATCAGAAGGTTTTAATGTGATAATGACTTAAACCTATGGATGTTTGAATGTGTATATCTGTTGAATTTCTGAAGTGCAATAAACGATTGTTAATTAAGGTTGAAGTCCTTGTTTGTTTGAAGGTAATATAGGAGACAGTGTAATATTTGTAGACTCAGTAAATGCAATGGCTGCATGTAATACGACGAGAAAAGCTGCAACCTCCTCTCTGTTGAGTGAGTTTGGTTCAGCGCCACGTTGAACGGTATTTCATGGTCTCCTCGCTTACGCCCCAAATCTAACAAAGTTCAGAACCAGCTGCCCGGATGTGATCCAGCACACAGGAACAGTCATCAGGACGAATCTCAGAGTCGCACCCACGGGTATCGCAAACACGTCTAAGGGACGCAACTCTTTGCAACGATAGTTACTGCACTTCATACTGTCGTTATTAATTCTGTCATTAAATTATTATACAGAAACACAATACTTTGCAGTGACTTCTGAAACAGATTAATTCTCTTCTATTCATGAGGGATTGTTCGAAACCTGTTCGATCTAAATATAGAAACAGCCTCCGTATATTATGTCGCGGTCGCCGGAAAATAGCTCTCAGTCTCTAGACATTAGGTCGCTGCTTTCAGATATAAACGTCCTGGACACTATTCCACAACGCCATTTAGCGCTGAGACGACCGTAACTCCCATACTGTAGCTTTCCATTACGACAGTCGTAGCGCTAAGGTCGTTTTAGGGAACGGGTCCTGGCGTCTAAGTATCAATAACGAGTTCAGCATACATGAGAACAGATGGCAGTAAAAGTTGCCTGTGGCACAAGTTTCATTCCCACTGCTGAGCGAAGTGAACAAGAGTTATTTCCCTTAGATTGTAAATACTTCCCATTTGACAGCCTCTGCGTTTGTGTGTGTCACCGGGTCGTTGAACCAAGCTCGTGTGGGTTCTGATGACCGTCCGCTGTCCGGTGATCGGCACAGCTCGGTCTTTATATTCAGTAGCTTATTGTTAGAAAATTTAGATGCCCTTCATTATTCTATAGCAGTTGAATCTCATACTTTTATCATGTTTTCATTTTGAGGTGTGTTTGTGTCTGTTTGTGCTAGTCCGGACTGATGCCAATTTTATAGTGAGATACCGTGCCGCAATTTAACATGAATATCCCAATCAGACACAGTATACTGACTCCGAACCGACCAGTCCTTGTTTTATCCCTGTAATGCCGAGCGCCAGACAGGGTAACAACAAGTATTATCTTTTAACGTCTTTTGGTATGACGCGGCCGGGGATCGAACCCCGGACCTTCCGCTCTCCGGGCGAAACCATTGCCCCAGGACATAGTGATGGACAATGCGTGTTTTAAAACATAACTTGATACGTTGATGCTGAGCTTTAAAGATCACGTTCAGGATTATTTAACTTATATCGCGACATGCATGAAGACCCCACTCAGACCGGTATACTGACTCCGAGCCGACCAGTCCATGTTTAAGCCCCTTAATGCCGAGCGCCAGACAGGGTAACAACAAGCACCATTTTTTATCGTCTCTACGGGCGGACGCTCTACCACTAGACCATGAAGGTGGTCCTGTGTTTTAATGTTGGGAGGAAATACTTAATGGTTAAGGATTGTGACATTGTGCTCACGGGTTTAGAGACTTTGACCATCCATTAATATATTGGAACCTTGCATCAATATTTGGAGGACACGACTTAATGTATTTAGTATCTTGAGGAAGCGATCAAATACAAAATAGCGGTGAAAATAATATGATTGAATTACATAAATCAGTGATGACACCAGGTCTTTCCGAAAGGCTACGCCATCATAACTACAAGTTTCCTTATACAAGTTAAACGACTGATTGTAGTATTATTTGCCTTGTCGTATTTTCAGTAACATTTTGACATCTGACAGGTTCATGCACATTGTTCTACGAGGAAGAAGAAAGAATATCTCGATATATTCGCATTTTTTTCATCCTGCAACCGAAACTACATTACTGAAACTGAAATGTTTTTTGAAAAGCATCCGCCATGTGTGTAACGCAGCTACACTTCAAACGGTGTCAAACCCAGTCATTCACACATGGTGCAATGGCATCACCAGGTATCATTGCAAATATGATTCTCATAGGTGTGCATTTGATTCTTCATAACCACATCAAAACAGGTAAGACATTTACACATTTGTACATGGCACCTATTTCTGACGGGAGATATCCGAATGTTATGTTAAATCTCAAATATTGTACAAGTTTTCCATGTTTGATATAATATAACATACATAGAGGTTATCACGCGAGTGTGTTTGGGGATGGTAAATATCCTGCATTAGGAATAAACACCATGTATTTAGCGAGCCTTACAAACATTACCGAAACATTGCGAGTTTTCCTGGAATGCGCGCATTAATATTTATTACGTCATAGGGTAAGTTATCTGTCAGTCGGACAGTGACAGTAGCCAATATAGTTCCAACTGAAATCTGTTTCTTATCCAGTGGCGAAGCAACAATTGTATTTTAATTGCCTTTCGCGGCAATCCATCGGTCTGTCCGCTAGAGTAACTGCCCTTTGTCAAAGGGAAGCTACTCTAACCCTAGTCTATGAGACGTCACGGCCACGGTCAGACGTTGTTGACAGTCGGTCTGTCCTGTCATAACGTTAAGAAGTGTAGGCAGATGTACACACAGCGACAAAACGAAACAAGGTAACAAATCAAATATATTTCGGCCAAATCAAACTATTTTAATTTGTGGAGAAGATTTCAAGCCGCTGAGGTCTACAAGCACAGATATGGCTACTGATCCCGTTTTGGGTAGGCCTCGTGCCCTCGCAAAATTGTTTCGAAATTTATATCTCCAAAGTTGCCAAAACTTTTAAAATGCCTTAGCTACGTAACAGTTAGACACTGATTTTCAGTATATTAGACTGTTCTTTTGATAATGGTAGAAATTATCTCTGTAGTTTATCCAGATTCCCGATGGTTAATTCTGACTCGATCGCCGAATGACGAGGGCGACGCCATGTTTGTTTACAAACAGTGAAAGTAGTCCCAACTTAAACTTTGATATTTGCATCTCTATCCGCATATGACCCCAACGTATATCGTTTTTATCTGTTGGCTTTATCCTGCCGAGAAACCTAACCATTACAATCACATCATACATGTATGTATATGATAAAAGTACTTATCTTATAATGGGCAGGTCTCTCGGTCAGATATTACCAACAGTATCAGAATAAACAAAAAAATAATACAAATCCACTTAAGTACTCCTATCTGTGTTACCAACAACCGTGGCGGCGCACATGTATACCTCGGCGATACAGTCAGACTATACCATCACATTACTAGGATAATTGTAATCATTATCAAAATAAGAGTCTAAGATACTAACAGGGACGTAACTTGTTCATTTTACAAGTTTGGGTAACACTGGAGGTATACTAGTACTTTGCGTAACAATTTAGCGAGATCACTAGCGGGCTTAGTTTCTGTATCCGTGTTTGTGACCGTGTGGCTATTTATCCAATTTAAAACAGTTTGATCTGGCCGTAATATGTGCGAATAGTTACCTTGTTTCATTTTGTCGCTGTGTGTCCATTAACCTGCACTGCGTCACGTAATGACAAGCGAGGCAGACTTGACGAACGTCTCATAGACTAGAGTAGCTTCCCTTAAGCTTTGATAAAGGGCAATTGCGCTAGCGGGCGGACCGATTGATTGCCGCAAAAGGCAAGTGGAAATGATATGTGTTGGAAATGTTTGTTTTGCCTACATGTAGTTACTTCACTGCCTAAAAAAAAGGTTTCACTTGGAACTATATCACCAGTCAACACTGTCCGCTGACTAATCACTGAGCTTATGAGTGAGTGAGTACGGTTTTACGCCGCTTTTAGCAATATTCCAGCAATATCACGGCGGGGGACACCAGAAATGGGCTTCACACATTGTACCCATGCGGGAATCGAACCCGTGTCTTCGGCGTGACGAGCGAACGCTTTCACCACCAGGCTACCCGACCGCCCCCACTGAGCTTATGACGCGTTATATATTAATGCGCACATTCCTGGAAAACTTAGGCATCATTTGTGAGAGATGAGAATGAAACTACAGTAGTTACGAATGGCATCATATGACAGAGATGTTATCACGAGAGTGTGTTTTGAGAAGGCACATTTCCAACATTAGGAATAAACATTTTATTCCATACAAAGTCTCTATTTCTTCCAGGATGTGTCATCTTCATTGCGTCGATGGCGTTAACCTGTGTCATGGTTGTGATTATTGCAGTGCTATTTTTTATCAAGGGGTAAGTTAACCATGTAACTCGGGTGATGGTGATGATGAAACGGGATTAAACGTCGCGTCCAAGATTATTGCACTTATATAGCGACGTACATGCACGTGTGTGTGTTTTTGTGGCTGCTTGTACTTGTCCGGACTGTCCTGGCACACTGAGATACCATGCCGCAGTTTTTAACATGAATACCCCACTCGGACATAGTATTCTGACTCCGAGCTGACCAGTCCTTGTGTTATCCCCTTAATGCCGTGTGCCAGACAGGGTTACAACAAGTACCATCTGTTAACGTATGACACGGCCGGGGATCGAACCTCGAACCTGCCGCTCTCCGGGCGGACGCTCTACCACTAGACCACGGAGGCGGTCCACATGCAACTCGAATTCAGCTCAAATACCACTAGGGTATTCATATTACAACATAAAACAAGAAATAAGTGACATCTCCATTTTCTGTTTGAACACATTATTTCCGTGCTTAATGAACCCGGTCTCGGTTCCAAATTGGCACGAGCCCATTCGTTGTGACCCACGACAGTTATATGTCTAAAATATTGCAAAAAATGTATAAAACCATATCCACGTAATCGTGAATGTTCATAACATTAAAAATGTGTGTTTCAGCCCCGTGCTGTTTCAACCTGTGACTGACCATAAAGAACCAGAAACTCCTCCACAGGACGTAGAGGATCCCCAGGAACATGAGGAACAGGAGGAACGTCATGACGCAGCCAGTGAAACAAAGACAGCACAGTTGAGAGCTCCATATGTTAACATGCCTCCCATCGGTGATCTTGAGGATGCTAATGTTCCCCCTGGATATGCTGTGCCAGTTAAGAAAAAACCAATAAACCCATCCCCTCCACCGAATGCCTACATGTGTATGCATACCTTCGAGGATGAATCCCAGGAACCAGACCTTTATCTACCACCACGGGAGACCTGTTTCACAGAATTTGATGAAGGCGAAATTACTGCTTTCAGCGGTGGTCATTATTTGTGCATGGACCCATTACAAGAGGCGGTTGCTCAAGACAGCAATTAAAGTAGGAAGAGGTACTTTGGGGGAAGACCTACCATGATGGTACAGTGTCATCGGGTCAAAGATAGGTTGATAGTTCGGAGATCCACCAGCATCTGGTTATTGCTGATATTGTTATCATCCGGGTGACATTGAAGTGTTTGACCATTCAAATACTTATCACCTGCACCCAAAGGGACACAACAGAATTGGACATATCCGGTGGACCGAAAACGCTAGAAAGACATTTAAGTGCGTTTGTATGCATTTGGGATATCGATTTGACTATTCCCCGTGCCTCATCTCCAAAATGGATAATAATCATAGGGTATTAAACTCGTTTCAGTTAAATATGAAGTTCACGTACCGAGTGAAAAAACGTTCTAGCTCGAGGTTTACCGAGGTTGCAAAGGGTAACCCTTTTTGAGTTTGCTTGAGGTTTAAAGAGGCCAACCCGAAAAGTATTTCACGATGGACATAAACTTGATTCCAAATTAGAACGAGTGTAATATTCTATTTATTATCAAAGATGTGATTTGAAGAGGAGCAAACAGTTTCAGTACCGTCTATGTAGCAACTGAGAGGACGTCCAAGGTTACAACGTTTTTCTACCAAACCACAGCGGAAGTGAGTGATGTCATGGCACTGTAACAATAGTTGTCCGACCATGTGTTTGCCAGCACGGTGAACAACAAGCAAAAATGTTTTTGTTAACCTGAAGGGCTGTGCTTGTGTTTTATCAATGCAGTAAGGCCTTATCATAACTGAGTTAGTGAGTATGCCGCTTTTAGCAATATCCCAGCAATATCACGGCAGGGGACACCAAAAATGGACTTCACACATTTACCCATGTGGGGAATCGAACCCGGGCCTTCGAATTCGACGCGACGAGCGAACGCTTAAACCACAAGGCTACCCGACCGCCCCTTAACATAAATCAGAAAACGCCAAACTATTAAATCGATAGTGTTCCCTCATTACTTTCGCACAATGAACCCCGTCTAAGCACAAAAGCATTATCGACTAGACACCAGTGTTGACACCGAGTTCCAGTTTGGCTTCTAACATTTCATTTGGCAGTCACCGAGTACATATGATGAAAATGTAAACACGGTCAAATCTGATAAAAACAGTGTTTCAAGCGCACAAGGTACACATACATTCATATTTTCTTTTCGCGGATAGTTCATATGATGTTAAAGTGAAGACCTACGGCTCGTTTATTCGTCTTGATGAGTTCGCACAGTTGAAATAAAAATGTCTGACGCTGCTAACCTTACGTCTCTCTCTTTGGCTAGCGTTGACGTAAGCTGAAAACGACCATGTATTAAGGATTATGTGATATAGTTTATCGTAATTCTGTAATTTGTATTCGTCGCATTACCCTCATCCAAAATTCTTCCGTCAACCAGAACTACGTGAACAGACACATGCTCATTCAACGAAATACACAATCAGCTGCATATGCATATTTAAAGTAAGAAATTGTTGACCTGATACTGTGCTTCAGCATTTGATAATAAAATTGCAAATTAAAATTACTCCAGTTTGTTATACTTTGTTTAATTATGATTCCAGGGTAAATAAAACTTTTATTCTTATGATCGAAATATGAACGAATAAATGTCGCGAAAGTACGCCTTGAGGATCAGTGGTCACAATGTCAGAAATATGTGCATAGATATGTTTTCCTCTGAGGTAATAATTAATGCTTAAGTTATTGATTGTTATAGAGATATGTGCCAACTTTGACAAATTATGGATATTGGAATTTTCAATGTTTTCAATATCAAACTGCACTGCGTGATTACAAAAATCTTCATGTTAAATGGTTGCAGAATGTCAAAAAATAAATGTGAGTGTTTGCAACAACCTCTATTTGTTGATGAGAGTTGCTAGTTGGATTGCTATGATGAATATCTAAACACAATTAAACATATAATTTCATTCGGGAAACCGACATTTATATTCTCTCTTTAAAAAAATAGGATAAATACAAGATATCTTACGTGTTACTGTGAATTATGACACATTTCATCAATTCAACAAGAGAGAGTATATTCTATTCATATATTCAATTTAATTGAAGATTAACAGAATAATTATTTTATTTGATCTCTGCTGTCTACTAACTAGGTTCTGTTGCCATGGAAACATGTAACACTATCCATTGTTTGAATAGTAACCATTAACCTCACGGTGACATCATTTCCGATTATTGATCTTAAAGAATGCTTAGGAAGTTACTATTGCCACTTTTGTTAATTTACAGCGCTTTCTTGTTTACTTAAATGTTGAGGCCCGAGAATTTCAACCGACGACGAACTGACGTTTTGCTGCAATTCGAACGCGTAGTCAACTATCTGTTATGACTGTTATACTTGTTTTCACTCTATGTCCGGTCACAGTAACGAACAGATCCGACCGTCGCAGAAGCATCACCTACTTGACCGTCCGTGCATATATAGTGTCGCATTGTATTTCATCGTATGTAAATTTATAATCATATTTGATAACGAATATATAGAGAACCTCGCCTTCGTGTCTTTTGATATAAAAAATATCAACGAGTGTTGATATATTTGATATCAAAAGACACGAGGGTGAGATTGTATTTATCATCGAACATCATTCTTCCAATTTTTTTCAGTTTGTAGATAGTAATAAGCAGTGTCTTATGTGTAAAAGTACTGCTAACTGCTTCATTAGCAGAGCCATTAGTGATGTAATTTAATTGTGACGTCATGTAACAATGACGTCACAAGGGTCTGCAAAGCATTTTGATGTAATTTCATTGCAGCGATGTCTACAATGTAGATATCGCTTGATCTCACCCAAGCGATATCTCCTGTTAGAGCCAGTTTTGGATGATAAATATATATAATCAAGACAACCTAGGATCAATCGACGATATGTTTCTAATACTTGATTGTCTTTTGGGAATACACTAGATATTGCTGCACAGTGTGTGTCCAAGTCTCGGAATCAACCAGGTCATGATCCTGTCAGCACAATACCTTTCCGTAGCAACAATAATGTACGCCTTATAAACATACGCCTTCTGCCAACCTGGCCTTTTCCGTCGTGGTACAACTGAACGTTTTTTCGAAGCGACACATATTTCTTCCGTCTTGTAGAGTAGACTACTGATGAGAAATGCAACCATGAATCCAAATATTTCCGGATGAAGGGGAAACATTGCATCTCTTGTTATCTTTAATATTAAAGCTATCTGCATAACTTGACGTGAAAATAGCCCACAATGTTCTAACAATATCTATACGAGAATGACAAGGGCTTCCGTGATGAAGGGAAGTAGTTTTAACTCTTTCCGTCTTTACTACATACTACATACTTCAGCTTTGAACACCTCGCATTACACACTGAAAATAATCATCCTTCTCATACCAGATATCAGGATGATAATCAGTGGGTGGATAGATTGTTTAACTAAGCCTGTATGACTAAAAACGCTCTTGGTGTCATGATATGGTAAGTGTGTAAGGATATATGGACATTGTGTGGTACGTGTGTAAGGGTATATGAACGTGGTGTGGTAACTGTGTAAGGATATATGGACATGGTATGATAAGTGTGTAAGGGCATATGGACATGGTATGTTAAGTGTGTAAGGACATATGGACATGATATTGTAAGTGTGTAAGGACATATGGACATGATATTGTAAGTGTGTAAGGACATATGGACATGATGTGGTAATCGTGTATGAATATATGGACGTGATGTGGTAAGTGTGTAAGGGTATATAGACATTGTATGATAAGTGTGTAAGGGCATATGGACATGGTATGTTAAGCGTGTAAGGATAAAAACACATGATATTGTAAGTGTGTAAGGACATATGGACATGATATTGTAGGTGTGTAAGGACATATGGACATGATATGGTAAGTGTAAGAATATATGGACATGATGTGGTAAGTGTGTAAGGATATATAGACATTGTATGATAAGTGTGTAAGGACATATGGACATGGTATGGTAAGCGTGTAAGGATAAAAACACATGATATGGTAAGTGTGTAAGGTCATATGGACATGATAGGGTAAGTGTGTAAGGACATATGGACATGATAGGGTAAGTGTGTAAGAATATATGGACATGATGTGGTAAGTGTGTAAGGATATATGGACATAATATGATAAGTGTGTAAGGTCATATGGACATGATAGGGTAAGTGTGTAAGGATATATGGACATGATAGGGTAAGTGTGTAAGGACATATGGACATGATAGGGTAAGTGTGTAAGGATAAAAACACATGATATGGTAAGTGTGTAAGGTCATATTGACATGATAGGGTAAGTGTGTAAGGTCATATGGACATGATAGGGTAAGTGTGTAAGGATATATGGACATGATAGGGTAAGTGTGTAAGGACATATGGACATGATAGGGTAAGTGTGTAAGGTCATATGGACATGATAGGGTAAGTGTGTAAGGACATATGGACATGATAGGGTAAGTGTGTAAGGTTATATGGACATGGTGTTGTGAGTTTGTAAGGATATACGGACATGATAGGGTAAGTGTGTAAGGACATATGGACATGATATGGTAATCGTGTAAGAATATATGAACATGATGTGGTAAGTGTGTAAGGACATATAGACATGATGTGGTAAGTGTGTAAGGTTATATGGACATGGTGTTGTGAGTTTGTAAGGATATATGGACATGATAGGGTAAGTGTGTAAGGACATATGGACATGATATGGTAATCGTGTAAGAATATATGGACATGATGTGGTAAGTGTGTAAGGTCATATGGACATGATAGGGTAAGTGTGTAAGGTTATATGGACCTAGTGTTGTGAGTTTGTAAGGATATATGGACATGATAGGGTAAGTGTGTAAGGACATATGGACATGATGTGGTACGTGTGTAAGGATATATGGACATGGTATGGTAAGTGTGTAAGGTTATATGGACATGGTGTTGCGAGTTTGTAAGGATATATGGACATGATAGGGTAAGTGTGTAAGGACATATGGACATGATATGGTAATCGTGTAAGAATATATGGACATGATGTGGTAAGTGTATAAGGACATATAGACATGATGTGGTAAGTGTGTAAGGATATATGGACATGGTATGATAAGTGTGTAAGGATATATTGACATGGTATGTGGGTACGTAAGGACATATGGACATGATATGGTAAGTGTGTAAGGATATATGGACATGATGTGGTAAGTGTGTAAGGACATATGGACATGATATGGTAAGTGTGTAAGGATATATGGACATGATAGGGTAAGTGTGTAAGGACATATGGACATGATATGGTAAGTGTGTAAGGATATATGGACATGATATGGTAAGTGTGTAAGGATATATGGACATGATAGGGTAAGTGTGTAAGGATATATGGACATGATATGGTAAGTGTGTAAGGATATATGGACATGATGTGGTAAGTGTGTAAGGATATATGGACATGATATGGTAAGTGTGTAAGGATATATGGACATGATGTGGTAAGTGTGTAAGGTCATATGGACATGATATGGTAAGTGTATAAGGTTATATGGACATGATGTGGTAAGTGTATAAGGATATATGGACATGATAGGGTAAGTGTGTAAGGACATATGGACATGATATGGTAATCGTGTAAGAATATATGGACATGATGTGGTAAGTGTATAAGGACATATAGACATGATGTGGTAAGTGTGTAAGGATATATGGACATGGTATGATAAGTGTGTAAGGATATATTGACATGGTATGTGGGTACGTAAGGACATATGGACATGATATGGTAAGTGTGTAAGGATATATGGACATGATGTGGTAAGTGTGTAAGGACATATGGACATGATATGGTAAGTGTGTAAGGATATATGGACATGATAGGGTAAGTGTGTAAGGACATATGGACATGATATGGTAAGTGTGTAAGGATATATGGACATGATATGGTAAGTGTGTAAGGATATATGGACATGATAGGGTAAGTGTGTAAGGATATATGGACATGATATGGTAAGTGTGTAAGGATATATGGACATGATGTGGTAAGTGTGTAAGGATATATGGACATGATATGGTAAGTGTGTAAGGATATATGGACATGATGTGGTAAGTGTGTAAGGTCATATGGACATGATATGGTAAGTGTATAAGGTTATATGGACATGATGTGGTAAGTGTATAAGGTTATATGGACATGGTGTTGTGAGTGTGTAAGGACATATGGACATGATGTGGTAATCGTGTATGAATATATGGACGTGATGTGGTAAGTGTGTAAGGGTATATAGACATTGTATGATAAGTGTGTAAGGGCATATGGACATGGTATGTTAAGCGTGTAAGGATAAAAACACATGATATTGTAAGTGTGTAAGGACATATGGACATGATATTGTAGGTGTGTAAGGACATATGGACATGATATGGTAAGTGTAAGAATATATGGACATGATGTGGTAAGTGTGTAAGGATATATAGACATTGTATGATAAGTGTGTAAGGACATATGGACATGGTATGGTAAGCGTGTAAGGATAAAAACACATGATATGGTAAGTGTGTAAGGTCATATGGACATGATAGGGTAAGTGTGTAAGGACATATGGACATGATAGGGTAAGTGTGTAAGAATATATGGACATGATGTGGTAAGTGTGTAAGGATATATGGACATAATATGATAAGTGTGTAAGGTCATATGGACATGATAGGGTAAGTGTGTAAGGATATATGGACATGATAGGGTAAGTGTGTAAGGACATATGGACATGATAGGGTAAGTGTGTAAGGATAAAAACACATGATATGGTAAGTGTGTAAGGTCATATTGACATGATAGGGTAAGTGTGTAAGGTCATATGGTCATGATAGGGTAAGTGTGTAAGGATATATGGACATGATAGGGTAAGTGTGTAAGGACATATGGACATGATAGGGTAAGTGTGTAAGGTCATATGGACATGATAGGGTAAGTGTGTAAGGACATATGGACATGATAGGGTAAGTGTGTAAGGTTATATGGACATGGTGTTGTGAGTTTGTAAGGATATATGGACATGATAGGGTAAGTGTGTAAGGACATATGGACATGATATGGTAATCGTGTAAGAATATATGAACATGATGTGGTAAGTGTGTAAGGACATATAGACATGATGTGGTAAGTGTGTAAGGTTATATGGACATGGTGTTGTGAGTTTGTAAGGATATATGGACATGATAGGGTAAGTGTGTAAGGACATATGGACATGATATGGTAATCGTGTAAGAATATATGGACATGATGTGGTAAGTGTGTAAGGTCATATGGACATGATAGGGTAAGTGTGTAAGGTTATATGGACCTAGTGTTGTGAGTTTGTAAGGATATATGGACATGATAGGGTAAGTGTGTAAGGACATATGGACATGATGTGGTACGTGTGTAAGGATATATGGACATGGTATGGTAAGTGTGTAAGGTTATATGGACATGGTGTTGCGAGTTTGTAAGGATATATGGACATGATAGGGTAAGTGTGTAAGGACATATGGACATGATATGGTAATCGTGTAAGAATATATGGACATGATGTGGTAAGTGTATAAGGACATATAGACATGATGTGGTAAGTGTGTAAGGATATATGGACATGGTATGATAAGTGTGTAAGGATATATTGACATGGTATGTGGGTACGTAAGGACATATGGACATGATATGGTAAGTGTGTAAGGATATATGGACATGATGTGGTAAGTGTGTAAGGACATATGGACATGATATGGTAAGTGTGTAAGGATATATGGACATGATAGGGTAAGTGTGTAAGGACATATGGACATGATATGGTAAGTGTGTAAGGATATATGGACATGATATGGTAAGTGTGTAAGGATATATGGACATGATAGGGTAAGTGTGTAAGGATATATGGACATGATATGGTAAGTGTGTAAGGATATATGGACATGATGTGGTAAGTGTGTAAGGATATATGGACATGATATGGTAAGTGTGTAAGGATATATGGACATGATGTGGTAAGTGTGTAAGGTCATATGGACATGATATGGTAAGTGTATAAGGTTATATGGACATGATGTGGTAAGTGTATAAGGTTATATGGACATGGTGTTGTGAGTGTGTAAGGATATTAAGACATAAAATGGTAAGTGTGTAAAGACATATGGTCATGATATGTAGAGTGTGTAAGGATATAAAGACATGATATGGTGAGTGTGTAAGGATATAAAGACATGATATGGTGAGTGTGTAAGGATATAAAGACATGATATGGTGAGTGTGTAAGGATATAAAGACATGATATGGTGAGTGTGTAAGGATATAAAGACATGATATGGTGAGTGTGTAAGGATATAAAGACATGATATGGTGAGTTTGTAAGGATATAAAGACATGATATGGTGAGTGTGTAAGGATATAAAGACGTGATATGGTAAGTGTGTAAGGACGTGATGTTTTAATTATATGTATGGCCATGTATGGTGAAAGGATACGGACGTGATACGATGTGAAAGGATATATAGATATGATATTGTGTGTAAGAATATATGGACAGCTTTAGGGGAAGGTCCTAGTGTGGTATGTGTGCATGGACATACAATATAATCAATATATTCTAAATATGCTGTCATGATCATTAACCGTGGCAGCATATTCAGAATATACTTTGCTAAATTGCGAATGGTTGTATAGTTGGCTTTTTGTAGCTGTGAGATTCACCTCGTTTATAGGCATAAACTGCTAAGGGTGAAATGTTTGCGCTACTAATTGCAAGGTATTCTGGTGTTCTCGGGAACTCTATCGACGCACAGATTCACTTTCAATACATTAACTCATATTCATGTTCCTGTTCAATATGCCTGTAATATTTTAACGCGTCTGGTTGGGTGTGATGTGAAACTTCGTGTATGTCGGCCAAGATCAATACAATACGGTTATACCATGACACCACTATTTCGTTACATCCAAACTCGTTATTCTCCTGAACATTGCTGTTATATCCAGCTTCGTTATAACCAAGTATTTACTATGTCGGAATTCTAACAGTCCAGTTACCATATCCCACTTCATATTACGCGACTATTTATTAAAGCCGATGTCATTATATGCGACTATTTATTACACCCGATCACATTATATGCGACTATTTATTGCACCCGATCTCATTATAACCGATTATCTATTGCACCCGATCTCCTTAAATGCGACCATTTATTACACTCGATCTCATTATAACCGACTATTTATTGCACCCGATCTCCTTATATGCGCATATTTAGTACACCCGATCTCCTTATATGCGACCATTTATTACACCCGATTTCATTATAACCGACTATTTATTACACCCGATCTCATTATATGCGACAATTTATTTCACCCGACAACATTATAACCGAATATTTACAAAACCTTAAGGTCGAAAAAACACGGCTGGCTATGATACCCTTATCATATATAACACATCGAAACAACACCATACTGATAACCATCCAAGGTTCTCAGCCTATAACCACGTTTCAACCACAATTATTGACACTTGTGTAACCTCGTTTCGAACTTCCACATATTTCTAACACAGTCTCAAGATAATCCATAGATGTCTTTTTTAACCTCTGTCGTGATCTATAAGGAAATGTAATCAGTGTTTCGTGTGTCGGGACGCAGGGTTACGGCATGAACATGTGGGGGGACTACTGCTGTGACACATGATGACTGGTGAGTAGCCTTACTCTGACTTGTGACTGAAAGGATCGGTACGCTTATCCAAATAAACAGTGTTTGTTGTTCTTGGGATTGTGTAGACATACAATGTCATATTACAGGTTGACATATTGAAATTGCGTGTATTTCTCGCTGAAAAGTATAAATACTGCCTCGATTTATTCAATATAACACCAGTTAATCCTGTATGCACCTGTAATAGTTACGCATTGAACTTTGGCTGGAGTACTGCTCTACGGTGGCAAGCAACCAACAATTACCTTTTTTGCAAATTGTGTGACTGGCAGTGCTACGAGTAGGTTAGGTTAATTATATAACCATTTTTGCGACGCTCGGTGTCACCAATGATTTTCTGTAACTCTTTAATATAAGTTTCACTTGCCTTCTGCACCCAGTGGAAGCTATTTCGGTTGATGATTGAGATTGGCTGTTCTCGGGCGTTGGCGTGTTGTAGTTAACTGTGAGGGGACGAAACAGTGTTGTCAATCGAGCAGACCCGGAGATATGCCATCTGACACTCTGAAAGCATGACACACCGTCCACTGTTAACTGCATCTTTGTACGAATTCATTAATCCACCTTGTCATTACGAGCTGACATAACTTAATCATTTCAGAATCTACTACAAGACGCCCTGCCTTCCAATAAGATTGCCTTCGCACTCATGGGCTCCCCAGGTGCGTTCGTGACTGTACTTAGTGTTTTAGGACTTATTCAGTTCACATTAAATTGGCAGTGTACAAATGTTTTGTTGTGGGCTAAAGATTGCCCCCATGGGTTACAGTAAGGTTACTTTATAATAACATTTTCAAATGGAAATGAAGGAATTCGGTCCAGCATGGTATGTGCTCTTTACACAAATAACTATGTGTAATATCTGGCAACGATTCATTCAATAAAGCAAAGATCAAAAGTTTGATAAGGAAATAACATGCCCCACGTGACTGTCGTTTGTTATCCATTAAACAGACGTCACGCTATCTTTTGATTATGATCCAAGTCTAAGATTGACTTAATGATACATTGTTAAGAGACTTTCGTGCAAAGGTTGTTAGGCGATCCTTTGGAGTGTCGAGGGTCGATGTAAGTATATTGTTACTTTATTGTGATGAGAGAGAGGATGTTGCCAGTATATTGTTAATAAATGTGATGAGAGAAAGTATGTTGACGGTATATTGTTACTATATATTGTAATGAGAGACAGTATGTTGACGGTATATTGTGATGAGAGTAAAGGATGTTGACAGTATCATGTCAATATATTGTGATGAGAGAAAATATGTTGACAGTATATGTGTGTATTACGTGTTTCAGAGACTCTGACTCTGACCGTCGTCGTCGTGTTTCTCATTGTAGTGCTGGTGGTGAGTGTCCTCATCATGGGATGCTGCTTCATGAAGCGGTGAGCAACTGTCGATGTCATTAATCATTATCTGATCCAGGAGGTGGCGACAGGTTACATGTTAACCTATGCAAGTTCCGCCATGTGATGTTGCAGGCTTGTTTCCACCCCTACACTCTTTTGCAAAATCCCGGACCCGCCTCTGTTACGTATAAACACTTTATAAATAAGTGGTATTTACCAATAGAGAATTTCTACCTCACGTCATGCAATGTACCATCTGTTTCAGTTTATTGAGTCCACCTTTCGCAGTTGCTAAGTTACTTAAGAACATATTAATGTACTTCCTGTTTAATTTTCATGGAAAGACACATATTACTTTCAACTATGTTTGCTAATCAAGCTTTCACCATCAAAGTGTTGGTTCACCAATATCAGTAGGATTATATATGTAAGACTTTACACTCACGAGGTCTAGAAATGTCAGAACGCATGAATGGCACCACCTGTTTTCTTACAGGCCGCCATCACATGGCTGGGGTACTGTCAACAAACAAACAAACAAACAAACAAACAAACAAACAAACTCCTCCTTTATGCAAATTGTGCTACAGATAGGGGAGGAAATGCGCTTTGAGTATGTTTCAGGGCATGGATCTGGCGCATAATAAATATGCCTATCATCATAATCATCATTATTATTATCATTATTATTATTATGCTAACCCTTTTCATGAACACCTGGTGCCTGGTAACAGGAATACTGTTCAAAGCGGAGATAAAACATATTCAATAACTGATTTATATTTGCAGGTGTTAGCATTACTAGATACCATTGTGGATGCAATAACTACTATATGTTCAGCATAGTCACAACGATACAGATGCGCATTTTATGGGGAAAAGGACACGCGGAACCTCTATACCTCCATAAATTTAATGTTGTAAATATTTTATGCATACACAAATATATAAACGATCTCGTACATTGCTGACACCGATTGCAATAGTGTGGTCATTATTGCAAATAGCAGGATAGCTACATTGTATAGTTGTATGTTGTGGAGATACCATCATACCAAGATATTTATGATATTGTATCAGATTGTTGTGTCAGTATGTTGAGATATTGATGAACAACTCCAAATGCAAGCATGTTCTCATAATGCATTACAAGAGATACATAGAATCATCACGTTCCTTAGAGGATTTGCTTTTCCAGATCGAGGGTATACAAAATGCATTCTCCACAGACAAACCCAGGTCACATGTAGTATAGTAGTGTAAATCATTCTTGAGTGATCAGTAGTTTGATGAATACATTGCTCCTCCCATTCAGGAACAAGAAGAAATCAGAGAAACGGAACGATACTCTATGCATCAGCCTTCCATTGGAGAGGACTCAGAACGCCTACATGTACGCTCAAGCCACATCAAGTACCAGGCCTGTACAAGCGAATCGTCCGGAAGATCCCGGGTATGACAAACTGTGTAGAGTAAAGGGCAACCTACTGAAAGTCCCCGAGACAGAACGGGATACAGCAAAGATATACAGCCATCTGGCCAGTCAGGAAGCAGACTGGGACTGTGCTGACGAAAGCCATTATGACACGACGTTGCGTAAGCATGGCGGAAAACCAGTGGATAAGGAATACGACAAAGTGTTTATGCAGGGAAAATAAACATGCACGTCGGTTGTTGAGCTTATTGTGTGAAGTCAATACCAATGTCCTCCTCAGCAGCAGGATTGCTGACAAACTCTATCCACTTACTAACTTCTCCAAAGGGGACTGATTAAGATGCCTTTTGCTTGTCTTGGTGTGGTTTTGCCATGTAAACCGTGTGTGTCAGTGTGAGTGATTAAGTGGTGTGAGTAGCCACTTCGTTCCGCTGGTTTCAGAAGTAAAGGAGTCCGGAATAAGCAGGTTTCGTTGTACATGTCGGTGACACCTATCGGCTGTCCCTATCCATCTAGCCATGACAGTTTCGTTGTTCAATCCTTCCTTAAATTTCCGTTGTTTGGAACACACACACACACACACACACACACACACACACACACACACACACACACACACACACACACACACACACATAACCACAACCACAACCACACACACATGTACAGTTTATTATATAGTTTAATATTATGTAATCTAATTGTTCCATTCGCAGTAAAATAGATTAAATTTTCAGCAGCGTGGTGTTATTGTGTTTCACGTTTTCTTAATTGTGGTTCCAGATTGTTACATGACAGGGGTTGAATGGATCGGAAACTCGCACTCCTGTTCAGCGGGTATAGGTACTGTTAGTTCCACCAAAAAAACTTGAGTAGCTTAGACCACTGGGCCTCAACGAGCATGGGTATGGTACTGACAAACCTAGAAACATATTTGGGCCGAACCGGGATTCGAACCCACACTCGTAGGTTCCTGGCGTGACCAAGGGGTGCAACTCAGTAACAAGTATAAGAAAGAAAGAAATTTATAAAAAAAACTGCGCCAGAAATGCACATATCTACTGGAACTAGTTATAAAGCATCATAGTTTCTGAATAACCGATCATTACCATTCACTCCCTATCTTCGTACTCTGTGATGTAAAAGTATAGAACTGATTTTTGTGTTCCAAGGAAGACAAGATATATTGTATATATCTTGAACAATTTGTACACTTTCTGGAACAATTAAATAATATGAGATAACATATATTAGTTCAGATTGCATAGGTAAATTATTTATGACACAATTCCTTTGACTTTGAAAATGATATGCTTTAATGATTACGTCGGGATATGAAAAGATATGCAATTGAGTATATATAAAGTTAAACTATTATCTATATAACTGTAAATATTATTAAGCAACAGAATATTCACTTCACTTACATTTTCCGCAACCTTGTGCAATTTGAATGATCTCTGAGATATACTCGACAGCTATGATGTAGAAAGTGATTGGAGATTAAGCGTGTGAAAGGCATGGTAGAAAACAACCTGTCTACGTCTTATATACATGTATGTAGTTAGTTTTATGGACGTAACATTTATTATTTAGACAATGTAATATTCTGCTTGGCAATGGCATGGCAAAATAGTTCAGCGTGGTAAAACTGTAAACAATTAAAAGGCTAGTCGGGTCGTGAATTAATCACGATAAGGCTATACATAGACTCGTAACTTCCTTGTTTCATTTAGTTGTTGTTTTCAAGGGCATTTATCGACCTTGAAATAGGTTTCACAATTATAGCATTCTCCATAGCAACACGTATTCACATTGTACCCAATTCGGTCAAATCAGAATCATGATTCATTCACCAAGCTAAAATTCAACACGCTTCATCAAGTTTAAACTGATGTAACAATAACATGATCTTCTGCTGTAATCCTTTAACTTGAGAGTCTAAACTGATGTAATTACAACCAATACGTCTGCTGTAATCATTAAGCTCAGGTCTAACCTGGTGTAACTATAACCAATACTTCTGCTTTAATCATTAAATTCAGGTCTAAAATGATGTACTTCTAACTAATACCTCTGATTTATTCATTAAGCTCAGGCCTAAACTGATGTAATTGCAGCCAATAATTCTGCTTTAATCATTAAACTCAGGTCTAAACTGATATAATTACAACTAATACGTCTCCTGTAATCATTAAATTCAGGTCTAACCTGATGTGATTATAACCAATACTTCTGCTGTAATCATTAAATTCAGGTCTAACCTGATGTGATTATAACCAATACTTCTGCTGTAATCATTAAATTCAGGTCTAACCTGATGTAATTACAACCAATACGTCTGCTTTAATCATTAAACTCAGGTCTAAACTGATGCAATTACAACCAATACGTCTGCTGTAATCATTAAGCTCAGGTCTAACCTAATGTAATTACAACCAATACGTCTGCTGTAATCATTAAACTCAGGTCTAAACTGATGTAATTATAACCAATACGTCTGCTGTAATCATTAAACTCAGGTCTAACCTGATGTAATTACAACCAAAACGTCTGCTGTAATCATTAAACTCAGGTCTACCCTGATGTAATTATAACCAATACGTCTGTTGTAATCATTAAACTCAGGTCTAAACTGATGTAATTACAACCAATACGTCTGCTGTAATCATTAAACTCAGGTTTAACCTGATGTAATTACAACCAATACGTCTGCTTTAATCATTAAACTCAGGTCTAACCTGATGTAATTACAACCAATACGTCTGCTGTAATCATTAAACTCAGGTCTAACCTGATGTAATTATAACCAATACGTCTGCTGTAATCATTAAACTCAGGTCTAACCTGATGTGATTACAACCAATAATTCTGCTTTAATCATTAAACTCAGGTCTAACCTGATGTGATTACAACCAATAATTCTGCTTTAATCATTAAATTCAGGTCTAACCTGATGTGATTATAACCAATAATTCTGCTTTAATCATGAAGCTCAGGTCTAACCTGATGTGATTACAACCAATACGTCTGCTGTAATCATTGTAATCACTGCTGCATTGTATACTTGTGATACCCCTGATTTGCAGCTTTTCTGTTTACCGCACCAACTCTACAGCTGTAGAGCGTCACAAGTCTTGTCAACGGAGCTCATGAATCTTGCTAGTGCCCTTCGCAATATGACAGATATATGACCCCGGCCTGTATATCATCGAGATAAGATGAGACCATCCAGTGATTGATAGTATGAGAAACTACCCACCTTCGGGGTACGATGAAACGAATTCAACGAAGTCGCTGACCCAGACCGCTAGTCATGATCATGAAGTCTCCACCCGCGACCACAGGTTGCTGGTGACAGATTCGAACCAGGAATCCCCACAGGGCGGGGCTCACGAAGGTAGAAGGGGATTACAAATGAGGTGTGGGATTTAAAAAAAAATAGATTACCGATTCGTCAATCGGTGTTCATTCCTATTTTATTACCCACGTGGTGAAGATACAGGTGGTAAGATACTAAATCCGTACGTCACACGTGTGTCGTACAAGGTTGACCTTGTTTTATTCGTTTTGATTGGATAACCGTGACCTCTGTCACACCGGGACTACTTTTTTCATACATAAAAAAATCGCGAGACGTCATTCATTTTGCGATTACAAGGCAGAACTGAAGAAATTCATGAGAACGAGAGATATTTACAAACACTTTATTAAACCAAACAAGATAGTCACACGCAAATTCGGTTTGCATTCAATATAAGTTATGCATAGAGCTCCTACATACCTATAATCGAGCTAGATCTATAAATCGATTTATAATGTACGACTGCCGATCGAGCGCGTCCCTTGAGCGTGACGCACCCGACCTTTTTTCGCAACTTTCAATTTGATTTAACGTAAAAGGATAAGCGTGGTGAAATGAAGTCTGTTTAAACTATCTAGACTTACTTGGGATGATCCGGTTGTGCCATCAGTGTCCCCTTTGAAGCGTATTTTGTGGCGCTGTTTCGGTAGGTGTTGTTCATGAATGAACGAACACGACAGCACGACCAGATCACTTAAAGTTCACAGTTCCGATAAAAATCATTCGAAAACTCCGTGGAAGTGTGCCTGACTTCTGATTTTGTGGCCCCAAACATCCCAAATGTGAACAGTAACATTCCCTATCTCTAGCGTAAAACGCTGTGAGTGGATCGCGGTTGTCTTTTTTTCTTCCGGTGGCGACCTTGCCCTTTGATCGTTCGAAGCTGTCACTGACATGCAAGCAGACTTGAGTTTGTTGATTTTCACGTCTTCAGTAAAGGGTGGTACAGTTAACATGAATGTCTTTGGCGAACAGTCTGATTTCCCTCTTCCAAAATGGTACGGACATGATATAAATTCAGCTGATAGATCAAGGAAACCGAACCAATTTGATTGCACAGACAGGACCCCGGCAGTGTGACCGACTGTTGGTCCGATATTCAAAGCGCGGCGCTAATGTGACATTTCAAATTTTCTTATGCGTCCTAACAACATGGCGCTTGAATTACCATAAGTTCAAGACTTTCTTCCTAAAGGATCTTGAGCGTCGGTGCTGGTTTGTTTGCAAACAGAATAGCAGGCGCATGTTGTTAATGCGTATGCATAAACATGTCAACAATGCCCATATTTGGTCATATATCAATATTCATGCACAACCAGATTTTGCAACCGGTTTCAGTTTGGCCTGTCAACGAACGAAAGTTGTTATGTATTAACACTTAAATATATATTTAACGTGGGTTATAAATAAAATACCACACTCATTCTCGTTAGATACCATTATTACGAAACTCGTGAACTTTCTATGGTATATCTGACCTCGCTTTCGCTCGGTCAGATACCATAGAAAGTCAACTCGTTTCGTAAAAATGGTATCTAACGAGAATGAGTGTAGTATTCTCTATGTACATACTATACGGTAATACAATAAATTATAGCTAAAATGGATAGAATTATTAAACCGCCCGCATGTTATCAGAAATGACCGGGCCACTGTAACTTGATAATGCCCTCATATTGCAATTATCACGCCCGTTGTCAGGTGACGTCATAGGTTAGGATATGTGACGTCACGTTCAATAGTGACGTCATCTGGATTGTTCTACGACGTTTCCATATTTGTAAAAGTGGGTCAGAGACATTCGTGTTGATTGCAGTAAATGTTTCAAACCCAATATTGTTTTGTTTCTTTATATTTGATAAAAAATTCCATCCATTTTAGCTAAATTATAATAACGGTAACGCTATGTTTCAGGGCATGTTCAACTGCCCTCCTTCGTCGGGCGGTTAAATGGAAGACCTCGGGCTTCTGCAAATGATAATGCCCTGAAAATAGCGTTACCCTTATAGTAACATGATTGTAACCCCTTAGAAATATGGTATACAATTTGCACATTGACAGTTTTCTGATATCAATATACAACGGACATATTTGTAAAAAATGATATCTATTTTCTAAAATGTTTACATCACAAAACTGACAAATTATGTGTCCTCTTAATGCCCTCATATATCGTCCCGTCTCAAAAAAAGTTTTTGAGATTACTTGTATTTTGCAAGTGCTATTCGAATTAGTTTCGGTGTTACATTAAATAATTGCTCTCTAAACAAACGTTTTCTAGCTTAGATGGGACTATCTTGGTAGATTCTTGGATAATGACAAAGAAAATCATGATCAAACCTATCATTTTGATTTGTATTCATATGCAATAATACATCGATAACACTTCAGACGAAAACTCGCTTCTGCATAACGAATGTGTATGACCCTTACTGTTTCAGTACAACACATTTCACATTATAGTTAATGGCTCAAATGTTACTGAAATCTCCTATCATCCCACATAAATACAACCGTTTGAGAGCCTTTATCCCAAGTTTCCTTTTACGTGTTGTTCGAGTCTCACGACCCAATAGTCAGAATAAAGGCTACCCGGAGTAGTGGTTAATGACGTAGCGAAACTATAAACGATAATGCTACATAATCAGGCAGAGAAGCATGTTATGACTGAGACCACTTCCTTGTCCGTCCCGCACTCGTGTAAATGCTGCACACTAAGGTACATGGTATCTGAATCGACAGGGAAGCTATCAGAACAGTTATTGGTGGCCAGGGATTCCAGGAAAAGCGTCTTTTAATACACTGCACAGTATCTATGGATTATTGTGCCACTTCAGTGATAAGTCTAATGCTCATTTACACTGGCGGAACCAATAGCAGGATGGATGGTAAGTAAGCTGTTTTCTTCTCACGAACAATGTACTGATGTGACTGGAGGAGCGAGCTTGACATTTCAGGAAGAACATGTCAAACTTTATCTAGATCTGATTTTACAGTTTAATGTTCGTCGAAAATGATCGGATATTATCTTTAATAGGTATTGACTGTGGACACTCGGGTGAGAACAGACCCCCAAGAGATATTTGCATTTGCTGAACTGGATCGGGTGTCCAGACTCGGGTGTCTGGGCCAGACACAATTCTTTCAGGGCGGTCGGGTAGCCTAGTGGTTAAAGCGTTCGCTCGTCATGCCGATGACCCGGGTTCGATTCCCGACATGGGTACTATGTGTGAGGCCCATTTCTGGTGTCCCCAGCCGTGATATTGTTGGAATATTGCTAAAAGCGGTGTAAAACCACTCTCTCTCACTCACTCACTCAATTCTTTCAGGACGCCGATATAAATAGAGGATATTTGATGAAGTTAAAATGTGCATATATCATCGATTTACGTTGTTAGATGTGCTGATCATTAATATTGAAATACATTTAGCATATGTCATCAATACCGAGGAACTAAACAAACTAAACAAACATAATATAGAATATGTTTAGGAACACAAACAGTTCAGACAACTGTCAAGAACAAAGGCCAAATGTCAATAAACTACCGTCAAAACGTTCTCATGCTATGAGAAGGCGGTGCCGCTTCGGAAATCCTGATCTTGATCTATGAAAAAAGAAATGATATCACCACTCTCGAGAGATAATGCAGATTTAAGGGATCTATATGACTGGCAGATTGGACTGTCTAAGTGCCAATTCTATAATACGGGGGATCTATTTCATTGAAAGAATTAATCACTGGATTGTATGGTCCAGACTCGATTATTTACAGACCGCCGTCATATAGCTAGAATGTTGCTGAGTGCGGCGTTAAACAACAAACCAACCAACAACCATTGAAAGATTTGCTTTCCTCACAGGCAGTTATATGCTAAAGCCGGGATATTTCTGACTGCGGCGTTAAACCACACTTACTCTCTTGTACTGATGTTAAGAGTGTGGAGTGAGGGCCCTGGGGCAATATAGTACTGTGCAGTCAACTTGTATCTCTACTCTCGTCAGGACATGAGGTGCGCCTCCGTGATGTGATGGATAGAGCGTCTGCCCGGAGAGCGGAAGATCGGGGGTTCGATCCCCGCCCGCGTCATACCAAAAGACATTAATAGATGGTACTTGTTAAACTCCCCTGGTGGTGGGCATTAGGGGGACTAAAACAAGGACCAGTCGGCTAGGAGTCGGTATACTTTGTCAGAGTGGGGTATTCGTGTCAGTGGGGTAGCACTATGAAACCGGCATTTGTCCGGACTAGTACAATAAACCACAGTACATGAGAGATCTTTAATGCATCATGATTACCGTCTGTTAAGGAAAAATTGCAAACTTAGGTATTATTTCCATCCAAGTACTTTGGTCGAAATCCTTCCTTTCCAACGAGTAGTATAAGGTGGCTATCATAATCGTCCGCACGTTTGTTACAAAGTTTGTATAGACGTTGTTTTAATTACTCTTGTGTCTCTCAAATATGGTTAGCTTTTGGTAGTGCTTGGGACACTAAGTTGTCGCTGAAGTGATGGGTGGGATAAAGCGTTACTCATATTCGTTCCTGTTACCTGATTGTTAGGAATTACAGGAATTTCCATCAAGTGAAACGCATGATTGCACATTATGCCGTTCCCAGGGCACTGTAATATGCAGGCAGATATTAGAATCGGGACAATTTGTAATAATACATCTCCCGGTTATCTCCCAAAACCCCTACATCCCATTTCCCCTACAACCCAGTTTCCCTACAACCCGGTTCCCCTACAACTAGTTAAAACAACACGCGGCATTTACCTGTCTGGTATTATGAACTCACCTAAAGGAGAGATTAAGGTCTGGAGTAGAGGTAGTAGAAATGAAAGGGGTAGAGCTTTAGGGGACTAGGGGAATTTCTTCTTTTTTTAAATAATGTAAGTGTAATGAAAGATGCCTATATGATGAGAGGACAATTTAAAAAAAATACAAAATAATGTATTATGAATTTTGAAAAATGAACATTTTATTATAATGTATTATGAATTTTGAAAAATGAACATTTTATTATAATGTATTATGAAATTTGAATAATATCGTAATTGTAATTTAATATTTATCTCAATCTGTTCGTGTTTCTTGAGTTGTTCCATTGTATGAAACAGGTAAAACTAGGGATTAGCAGTGCCATGGACCGTGAACTTTGTTGTCTTAAGCTGTAGGGGAAATGGGATGTAGGGGTTTTGGGAGGTTACCCATCTCCCATTACCCCTCGTAATCACACAAGGAAATATTGTCACATTTAAAGGAAAAATGATATGAATGCGGTCTAATCCTAAAGCCTTCAGCACGATATCACCTGACCCTAACATTGGATGTGAGCCACCACAACTGAATTATGTTTGTGTCACGGAAACAAGTAAAACATTTGTAAATGGTCAACTTCAGATTCTTTATAATCATTAAGCGATGTTTCAGGGCGACCTTGTGCCACTTTCATAAGGGGTGAACCGCCCGCTTCACATCACAGTTACTGGGAGGTTTTGTTTGTTTGTTTGTTTGTTTGTTTATTTGTTGTTTGTTGTTTAACGCCGCACTCAGCAATATTCCAGCTATATGACGGCGGTCTGTAAATAATCGAAATTGGACCAGACAATCCAGTTATTGACATCATGAGCATCGACCCACGCAATTGGGATAAGATGATATGCATCAATCAAGTCAGCGAGCATGTGATTCATATTGATATGGTTTCTTTTCCAGAAAACACGACATTCCATTCTTCCTGCGAGCCAGCAAACTGGTCATCTGCAGAGACAAGCTGCGAGAAGACAAATGGCACAATATTCGGTATCTATGACTTAGTAACGAGCGTGGGCGGACGGGTTCTACATGATGCCCTTCAGAAGTTAGATGAAATTTGGATTCACCACAATGGGATAGGTAAAACATATTCACTGTCATGTATCAGACTCATTCAACACTTCATAGCCGCAGAACTAATTGCATAGATCCTAAACTTTTCAAGATAACTTTGAACTTTAACGTGAACAACAAATTTGAAAAATAATTCTTAGTTATCAATTAAAACATTTGATATTGGATATATAAACTATTTCAACTTTTTGTTTGTATAAAATCCATTTACGATCGCAAACATAACATCGATACCGCCCATAGAGTGAGAAGGATGCATCCAGACAACAGATTCAATAGTTTTTCGATATAATACGATAACCACGTCCATAATCTTGTCTCAGTGAATTGCCTGCTACCAAGCACAGATTTACAAAAATCGCGCGTGTAGATGCATAATTATGTGCAGACATTTTCCTTGTCTGTATTACCATGCGGTTTGGGTACTTAAGTATCGTTCATTACCAGTAATGGGTATGTTGCTAAATTATGTTTTATAATCAGGGATGGGAATGGAACTAAATTATGTTGTTTGACAAGGGCATGATGCTGTTATATTATCAGGGATGGGTATGGTACTAAATTATGGTCTCTTACCAGGGATGAGTTTGCTGCTAAATTATGGATTTTTACCAGGGATGAATATGATGCTAAACAATCTTATATTACTAAGAATGAGTATGATACTAAATTTTGTTATATTACCAGGGATGAGTATGGTGGTTAATTATGTTTTATCATCAGATATGGGTATGGTACAATGTTATCATGTTTTATTATCAGATATGGGTATGGTAAAATGTTATGTTTTATCATCAGATATGGGTATGGTACAATGTTATGTTTTATTATCAGATATGGGTATGGTACAATGTTATGTTTTATCATCAGACATGGGTATGGTACAATGTTATCATGTTTTATTATCAGATATGGGTATGGTACAATGTTATGTTTTATCATCAGATATGGATATGGTACAATGTTATGTTTTATTATCAGATATGGGTATGGTACAATGTTATGTTTTATTATCAGATATGGGTATGGTACAATGTTATGTTTTATCATCAGATATGGGTATGGTACAATGTTATGTTTTACTATCAGAGATGGGTATGGTACAATGTTATGTTTTACTATCAGATATGGGTATGGTACAATGTTATGTTTTATTATCAGAGTTGGGTGTTGTACAGTGTTATGTTTTATTATCAGATATGGGTATGGTACAATGTAATGTTTTATTATCAGAGTTGGGTGTTGTAGAGTGTTATGTTTTATTATCAGAGATGGGTATGGTACAATGTTATGTTTTATTATCAGAGATGGGTATGGTACAATGTTATGTTTTATTATCAGAGATGGGTATGGTACAATGTTATGTTTTATTATCAGATATGGGTATGGTACAATGTTATGTTTTATTATCAGAGATGGGTATGGTAAAATGTTATGTTTTATTATCAGAGATGGGTATGGTAAAATGTTATGTTTTATTATCAGATATGGGTATGGTATAATGTTATGTTTTATTATCAGAGTTGGGTGTTGTAGAGTGTTATGTTTTATTATCAGATATGGGTATGGTACAATGTTATGTTTTATTATCAGAGTTGGGTGTTGTAGAGTGTTATGTTTTATTATCAGATATGGGTATGGTACAATGTTATGTTTTATTATCAGAGATGGGTATGGTACAATGTTATGTTTTATTATCAGAGATGGGTATGGTACAATATTATGTTTTATTATCAGATATGGGTATGGTACAATGTTATGTTTTATTATCAGATATGGGTATGGTACAATGTTATGTTTTATTATCAGAGTTGGGTGTTGTAGAGTGTTATGTTTTATTATCAGATATGGGTATGGTACAATGTTATGTTTTATTATCAGAGATGGGTATGGTACAATGTTATGTTTTATTATCAGAGATGGGTATGGTACAATATTATGTTTTATTATCAGATATGGGTATGGTACAATGTTATGTTTTATTATCAGAGTTGGGTGTTGTACAGTGTTATGTTTTATTATCAGATATGGGTATGGTACAATGTTATGTTTTATTATCAGATATGGGTATGGTACAGTGTTATGTTTTATTATCAGAGATTGGTATGGTACAATGTTATGTTTTATTATCAGATATGGGTATGGTACAATGTTATGTTTTATCATCAGATATGGGTATGGTACAATGTTATGTTTTATTATCAGATATGGGTATGGTACAATGTTATGTTTTATTATCAGAGTTGGGTGTTGTACAGTGTTATGTTTTATTATCAGATATGGGTATGGTACAATGTTATGTTTTATTATCAGAGATGGGTACGGTACAATATTATGTTTTATTATCAGATATGGGTATGGTACAATGTTATGTTTTATTATCAGAGTTGGGTGTTGTACAGTGTTATGTTTTATTATCAGATATGGGTATGGTACAATGTTATGTTTTATTATCAGAGATGGGTATGGTACAATGTTATGTTTTATTATCAGAGAAGGGTATGGTACAATGTTATGTTTTATTATCAGAGATGGGTAGGGTACAATGTTATGTTTTATTATCAGAGATGGGTATGGTACATTGTTATGTTTTATTATCAGAGAAGGGTATGGTACAATGTTATGTTTTATTATCAGAGATGGGTATGGTACAATGTTATGTTTTATTATCAGAGATGGGTATGGTACATTGTTACGTTTTATTATCAGAGATGGGTATGGTACTAAATTTTTTTGTATTATATTGTCAGAAATAACAAATACTAAAAACGGATCCGACTGTGTGACGATAATCAACGGATACGGTAGCTTTACAACTACCAACTGTGGCGTGTTACGCCACTACGTGTGTACATTCAATGACAGTAAGTTACCGTGCTGGAAAAGAATATCTGATAAAAAGAACTGATATCGAAGACATAACCATACGAATACGTTGCCGTCAATTTAAGTATCGAACTTTTCTTTATATACCCTTTCCAGGAAATATGCAATTAATAATCACCTTACAATCTAGGATTTTGCACATACATTTCGACATGGGCTTTAATGATAGCGTTCCATGATTAACCTGTTCAATTCTTTCAACTTAAACTGAGTCTAAAGCCACTAATGATGAACTCGTACTTAATAATGATGAATATATCTGGACTTTCAGTTCATCCTTTATCACATCATCCTTCATATCAATAACCGTTGCGTTTAACACAAAACATGAATTTCGTATCGCAAGATTCATTTGACTTCATGTTGATAATGATGTAATTTAGCACAACTGTCTCTTTTGCCTAGGTCCACAATCATCGTATGTTCCCTGCGTCCAACACCAAACAACACCATCGGCATTTGGTATGTGTGTCACGTTTATTTGTACTAACGATTTCAAGTATACACCCCGTTGCTTCTTCGCACTCTACTAATGAGACTCACTCTTGTGTGCTCGCTCACCTTACATTGTACATCGTATACTATACCGTACATCAATATGACAGCCTCATCAGTTTTACTTACATACAATAATAACTATCCTATATGGTCTATATAATCCACTCTATGGAGATTCGGTGTTAGAATAGGCCACCAGCAAACTATGCTTGTTGTAAAAGGCGAGTTATCGAATCGGGTGGTTAGACTCAGTCACTGGATTGTCTGGTCCAGATTCGATTACCTACAAACCGTCGCCAAATAGGTAGATTATCGCTGTGTGCGGCGTTAAACAACTAACAAACAAACAAACAAACAGATAAATCTTATTTTATCCGAATTCATGTACGAAGAAAACAAACTAACCAACTCTTGTGTACTTCAAACCACAATTACAGGATTTGTTTTCATTTCAGAATCTTCGACACTAAATCTAACATCCCTCGACCTAGTGACTACAAACACAACAGCACCAGGTAAAGTTTAAGCCTTTCGTTGTGATGTCTAAGTGTACAACCTAAGTAACAACATATAAATCCTTTAAATTTCCTTACAACTTATAAACACAATGTTTTTAATTTGCATCTTAACCTACATGCCAATTCATTCCTAATGTACTAAATTCTTCCGACAGACATTTCAGATGGTGACCCCAGTCAAGTCATCATAGCGTGTGTGGTCGTTGTGATGTTGGTGTCTGCCACAGCTGTCATTGCTGCTGTCATCATCAAACTGTAAGGATGATCTGATGTTCTTCAATGACATAATACTGCCGCTGTCTCTGGTTACTTTTCTAAGTTTGTCAGTACCACACCCGTGCTCGTGGCTTTCATGGTAACGCATGAGACTTGCATCATTTCGGGCTCTCCCCCAACAACAAGCTTACACATAACTGAAATATTGTTTAAAGGTACCCCCAGACCATCTCACTCACTTCTTAGTATTGTATGAAGCTGTAATAATCACACATTGTGGCTTCTCATTTCTGGAATATAAGCTTAAATCGTAACTAATGCCAATACCAATTTCCTATAATTTTGAGTTGATCAGTCTTTAGTTTCTTTTATTGTTTTTAAAAAGAATTACCTGTTACATAAAATACGCTTCCGCCCAGGGTAGCAGAAAGGCCAAGGCATATAGCACAACTTATCAGTACATCTCAGTTTTTTTTACAGAAAATAAGATACTTCTCACTCACACATTCACTCTAATAATACAAACATACTGCATATATCAAGTATGTATAAACTATTAAAGTTTATATATCATAAGTGCAGTGCAGGAAAGTACATATTAATAAAAAACTAAAATTAAAATGAAAGCTGCACCTCATACCCGAAAAGTTTACGACACAGCATTCGCGCACCATAGAATTTCTGCTTATTTCCTGTCTTGAAAGCAATACCTTTGTCAATGTTGCATCGTGAAAAAGCATCCTTTTTATAAACATGAAAATAAGGTTTTGTATTTTAGAATTTGCACCTATAAATATAGAATTTTGCAATAAGTAAAAGTAAATCGAACACTTCATCTGTTTTTATGTTTTCTGTAACTAAAAAAAAGTATCAACGTTTCACAAAATGTCAGATTATAAACAAGAAAGCACTGGTCTATCTAACTGCTCATAATCACTCTAAATTAAAAGAGTTACTTTGCACCCTAAGTTTGTTGATCATGTTTCAGGCGAAAGAGAACGCCTCTACACAACACTTCTTCCACGAACGCAAGCTTAACAACGATGTCGTCTGTGTCGGAAATTAATTCTGACCTGCAACCGGAAAGTCCATTACCAATGATCTTCTATACTGGACTACCCACTGCAGAGGACGCGTACACCACAGCAGTTGAACAAATACGCGCAGACTACTACACTAAGCTGGACGACTTGTACACGGGGTCTGATCAGCAGCCGTTATCATCATCTGTCATCACTTCAAGCCACCTTATGGCTGCAGAGGCGCAAGGTGGAGGCCCACGTCCAGCTGATCATCACATATTTACATCACATATTTACTCGTCGCATAAGTATTCCGAGATTCAGGATGGTCTGTCCGATGCGAACAGCTCACTAAACTGCCCTGGTGCCGAATGGGATGGCAAAGCAGGGCGTCGGTCAGGCAATTTCGTATCAGGCGTGTACTCTGAAATACACGATGATGGCACGGAACCAACTATCCGAGAACGGCGCAGTCACTACGAGTACTTAAATGCATTGCACCGTCCCTCGGAAGCACGATCTGTAACTCAGACAGCAAGTGGTATCTATGATATTCCGAACGATCCTGGTATAGAAGTTCCTCTTAGACGCCAGGCACCAAGTGGTGACTACGCTATTCCGTACGCCAGTCGAGATGGCCACAACAAACACATAGACCATCCAGAGCTATCCGTTCACTATTCTAGCATACGACCTGTGACGATTTCCTCATTGACAAGTTGTTCATCCGAAACAAACCACTATGATATTCCAAAATGATACTTGAATCATCATCATCATTATTATAATACTGGTGGCCGAGAAACCTTTGATTGTGGTTTCGAATCCCGGTTTGCCCCGATTATGTTTCTAGGTTTGTCAGCACCATACCCGTGCTCGTGGGTTTCACCGAAGTGGTAAACGTCTGAGATCTGCACCACTTCGGGCTTTTCTCCCACATTAAACTGACACGCCGTGATATAACTGGAATACTGTTAAAAGCGGCGTTAAACACAACTCACTCACTAACTATTGTAATACTTTTGAATACTTCATTTAGCTTACAGGTCATGTTCGACGTGAATATAAGCATTGGTGTGTCCTTCTCTTCCGATTGTTATGTTTATTTCTCAGCAATTCGTGTGAGTTGTTTTTCATAATGAGTATTGTTTGATACTAAGGTGTCGTACAAACTTATTATAGTCTCAGCCTATGAGTGTATTTAAAATATTTTTGTTGATTGGTCATTTGAAACCATCAATACTGTTGTGAAATTCAACAAGGGCATTTTCAACGTCCCTTCAACCACAGTATTGGTGACAGCTTATATGATTTGTTTGTTTTAAACATATTTTATTGACATATATGGTTAACGGGATTGGGCAAAAGTTATCCAACTTAGGTGGTCCTTTCCCTACTCTATATGTACAGACATTGATTATACATACATATACACATATACATACGAACATACATATACATACGTATACAGAAATACATACATATACACATAATCATATATACACACAATCATACATACTCATACATACATACACATACTCATATACATATGCACATATTACATATATAGTAACAAAGAGAAATATATTTACACTAGAACATAAACATAATGTTTGCAAGAATAACATAGACATACATAAGAATTGCCTATAAACACAATTTACTTGTATATACACATTCATCCAAAATACGTGCAAGACTACATATTTAATAACACAATCATACATACACTTATATACATGGGCATATATGCACACATACACACCAGGATATATATACCCGTAAAAATTATGCTTACAGAAGGAGGTAGATACCCATGTATTCATATACATGCGTGCAGTTTATACACTAATGGCGTAATTAATAATAAGTCGTCGCAGAGCGATATTCTATATTTATGATAAAGGGTTACTCGAATCTATTAGTCGACAGTATAATTATATTTTTAAATGCCGTTGAAGATGAGGTCATTGTGACTTTCAGCTAGGGATACATCACCGTAGATAATATTTTGTATTGTACATGTAGTTCCAGCTTTTATAATGTTAGCGAACATGATATTTCTGGGAATATTGTAATTGGGACATTCAAGAAAAAAGTGTATGTTGTTTTCACATGGGTTCCACAAGAGCAGGACAAAGTATCAGATAAATTTACTTTAAAGAGGTCTGCATTTAGGGAACTGCAAGAATGCCTAAGGCGTGTGTGTAAAATATAAGCTCTTCGGTTGCCGATTGAGAAGTATGGAGGTGGAGCTGCAATGGTTGTTTTTATCATATGTTTAAAATTTGATAATGATGTTGCACTTCTGTATTCAGGGAGTAACTCATTCCATAATTTGATTGAAGAAGGTATAAATGATTGTTGGTATGTAACTGTTCGTGCATGCGGCAAATTCAGATTGTTCTGATTTCGTAACCCATATCTACTAATAGTTGATACTTTGGGTGGTAACGTGTCATGTAAATACGATGGACATAGGTTATTAACAATACTGTAGATTGTACAAAGTTTTTTATTTTTCCTTCTATAAGACAGTGATTCTCATCCTGTCTCAAAATATAAACTCCAACTTGAGGAGGATTTAGGGAGACCTCTTACTATGCGAGCGGCTTCGAGTTGAATCATTTCAAGTTTTTCGGAATTTTCTTGACTGCAGTTATCCCATACCTCTGAAGCATATTCTACTATAGGCCTTATGAAAACAAAATAGACTTTGGACAGGGTTTGTCTGTCAAATAAATATTTAACGGTTCTTAACGAACAAATCATTTTGGAAGCTGAGCGGCAAATGTTATCAACGTGAATTGTCCACTTCATATCACGAGAGAGAGCAACGCCCAGATGTTTGTGCGAGATAGATGCGCTAAGTGCGGTATTGTTATACATAATATCTGCAGTTCGGTTTTTACAATGAGTGAACAGAATAAATGTTGTTTTGTCCGGGTTAAACTTAACTAGCCATCTATTGGCCCAGGTATTGAGAAGCTCTAGATCACTGTTTAATCTGTGTTCTATCATTTGTAAGTGAAGAGATGATGTACCAATGGAAGTATCGTCTGCAAAAAGGCGAGTAGAATTCACTAGATTATCAGCGGGATCGTTCATGTAGACTAAAAACAAAAAAGGGACCTAATACCGAGCCCTGGGGGACACCGGCTCTGGTGAATTTCAAAGATGAAAAGCTGCCATTTACAAAACCTTTTGTCTCCTCTGACTAATCCTCTGACTAATATAGTCTCCTAACCACAGTAATAGCTTGCCCGTTACACCGTATTTTTGTAATTTATGAAGTAATCTTTTATGCCAAACTCTGTCAATTGCTTTCGATATATCACAGAATACCATACAATAGCATTCGTGCTTGTCAACAGATGAGACAATATCATTTTTATAAATTTCTATTAATTGTGAGGTAGTAGAATGTCCTGGTACAAAGCCGGATTGTACAGGAGACTATTCATATTGAAATAGTTTTAAAAGCGTTTAAGAAAACTAATCTCTCCTGTAGTTTTCCAAGAACAGATAACAAGCTAATTGGTCTGTAGTTTGAGGGTAGTGCTTTGTCACCTTTCTTGTATAATGGCATGACGTGAGCAAGTTTCCAGCTTTCTGGAAAGATTGCTTCTTTTAAAGATCGATTGAAAATTATACATAATGGGATGGCAATACTGTCAGCCAAGGGTTTTAAAAGTCTATGGTTTATATTATCAGGTCCGCTTGATTTATTGCATGGTAGTAACGTTATGAGATCGCTTATTTTTGATTCAGTAACTGTGATATCCGAGAGAGAGGTTTCACAACGTTGACTGAAATCCGGAAGTGGCTGATTGCCGTCATCAACATCACAAATAGAAACAAAATAATTATTGAGTACATCAGCCTTTTCGACATCGGTAAATGCTGTGGGTTTGTCAAGGTCGGTACAAAGAGGGGGGATACATGCTGGTGAATTAGCATTTTTGATGATGAATCTCAATAATTTCCAGTAGTTGGTACTGTTTGAGTTCAGATGTGTTTCCAACAAGCCGTTGATGTTGCTATAGTATTTTTCTTTGGCTATCTTTTTATATGATTATGTAATACACAAACGGGATACATTTTAAACACTTATATATTTTTTATTTTGTACATATTTTACCATACAAATCTATTTAAAAATAAATATCTATATAATTCCAGTGGGCTAGGCGTTCATTAATGGCTCCATTGATTTATATATACCACGACAATACCTGACCAGTTTAGCCACGACGCCACTACGTGCATTAACCCTAGACACGTGACGTGGAAATGAAATCGGAATCTAAACGGAAATTGATAGTAGTGGAGTTATGTTGACAGTGATCTAACATTTTCCCTCAGCAATGTTTGTTTTAGCTGGCAGGCATTTACTGGTTTGTTTATTGCAATTCATGGAATATTTAATATGGTTGAGCTGCATATCGTTAGAGACAAAATTTATATTGGTTCTAACGTCTTCATTCTTTCAATGCGACATTTGAGTACAGGTACTAGTACCTTTGTCAAGCACGTGTAATCACTTGTTATACCGAAACAACATTGACAAATTTAAAAGATGAAATCTATGAAAATACAGCTTCAAGCTAAAATAAATTGTATCACTCAACTAATGTCATCGATTGCATTCAAAACGTGAACGCCATAGTATTATCAAACTCAATTATCGATCGAAACAGGTCGTAAAAGGTCAAATAGTGGGGAACATTGTACTGAAAATCAGTGTCGACACCAGGTGTTCGCGAATAGTGAGTGAGTGAGTATGGTTTTACGCCGCTTTTAGCAATATTCCAGCAATATCACGGCGGGGGACACCAGAAATGGGCTTCAAACATTGAACCCATGTCGGGAATCGAACCCGGGTCTTCGGCGTGACGAGCGAACGCTTTAACCTCTAGGCTACCCGACCGCCTGTTCGCGAATAGGGTAAGTTGATCCTGCTCCTCCGGTGGCGCCCGACCTACATACACTTTTTTTTATAAAAATAGTTGATGCGACGTTGAATTCTAACTCAGTCAAGTGTTTGGTTTGGCACACACATGACTGTGTATATTCTGAGCTAGATATGTATGGCGCTCTTTGAAATCATGCTAGAAAGAGCATGCTCGATTGTGCACATAGGAATTTTTATTAAATCGCAGTGCTGCTTACATGCAATGGTGATGTTATCTGAGGCTCTAACTACAAACTTTTCAGATTGTGTATGACATCTTTGGACAAAATGGGTTTGTTCCATTTCTGTTTCCTTTTTGTCAGTGTCTGCATTCTACCCATGACAACGCCATGCACTGACATAGCCAGATTACAGTGCCCGGAACCTGACTGATTGTTATACCCGGACATTCAAACACAACACGAAACAAGCACTGGATTCCAGGGTGTCCGCCCGCTTGCCTCAGCACAGAGTGGTTTCCCTGTCCACTGCTCACAAGCTACAGTTCTGTGTATGCCAGAAGACACATATTGTGTATATTGATGGCGGGTAAGTTCATTGTTTTCAATAACTGCTTTCTTTCATAGATTTTATTCCTCGCGATTAGAGTATAAGAAAGAAGTTGTTATCCACATATGCGTTTTGTCTACTTTGTCATCCGCCAACGTCTAAGAAATACCCGTCAAACAATGTAACCTGCATGTTGTGTTGCATTTGTGTGTGTGTTTGTGTGTATGTGTGTTTTGTGTCTGTTGCGAATGTGTGTGTGTGTGTGCATGTGTGTGTGTTTTGTGTCGTGTATTTGTGAGTGTGTGTATTGTGTCTGTGTTGTGTGTGTGTGCATGTGTGCGTGTGTGTATGTTGTGTGTGTGCGTATGGTTGTGTGTGTTGTGTCTGTGTGGTGTGTTTGAGCGCGCGTGTGTGTGTGTGTGTGTGTGTGTTTGTGTGTGTGTATATTTGTTTTGTCTATATGATATAAAGACCAAATAAATGAACGGCTATTTCTACCTCTAACGTTCTAAATACGTTCAATACAGAAACATGATTGTGGAAGAACAATACGGATTTGTTTTCTATATTACTGTCCCTTGACATAGCTTTCTAACACACCACGGATATCAGGGCTTAGCCTCATGAGTAAAGACTGACTGATTGAACATAGATAATGCATAAATTTATGAAATATATAAATCTGTTATCTCAATGCAAACTTCCTCCTTTGTCAACACATGAGTGTGTTGTATTACCGTGTTAATATATTTGATTATAATTCCACTTTATTGTGATGTCTACACTCATAACACATCTCTTGTTAAGAACTTGGAAATATACTGGCATGTTGTAAACACAAAGTTACTAAAATGTTTATGTGCTGTGTATTCTGCCCGTGTACTTGATTACGAAACAATATGATTCTGTTCAGGATGTCATGTATTTCAGGGATCACCGTCGACTTCTTCTTCATCCTAGGGGTGATTCTCGCCTCTGCCATAGCCGTCACTTGCGCTTTCACCATCAAGCGGTCAGTAGTTGTTTAATAGATTATTTCGCTTCACTCGCCTCGAATGTGAGGGACAATGTTCTTGAAACGGAAAGTTTCGAAAATATACTGTCACAACTCCAACGTCAGTGAATAATCAGACTTTTGCAGAAACAGATTCCATATACTAGGCAAATTAGTGATAAAGTCAATGGTGACACTAGTTGTTCGGGAAAAGTCGATGATAATTCGTAGTTCTCCTAAGATGGAGTAAACAGATAGTATTAACAATGTCGGTCATATACACACCAAAACGAAAGGTTTGAAAAGTAAAACATTTAATCTGAAGTTAAGAACTTTTTAATTTTCCAGACGAAAGCTACATTTCACACATAACTCGTCCGGGGATGTAAGCGTAACTTCAAAATCATCTCAAGAGAGGAACCCAAATTCTACTCATGCATCGGAACCGTTTTACGGCAACGTGGACAACTTGAAGGCGGATCCTAAGCAACCGTCACTTTCAGCTGGCGTCTCGCCAAGCCATAATAACACTGGAAGGACAAAAGGAACAGATACACCTCCCGCTCCTCGTCGACACAACACATGTCCAGAAAATACATATTCTGAATCTCAGGACGATACACAAGACACAGGACTCTACTCAAACTACTCTGTCTACAGATCGCATGGCAGTGCACGACTCGCGCAGCCAGATCACCACCCCCACCTGGATACACTGCACTGTCCTATGGAAGCACAACCTAGAGTTCAGAGAGAAAGTACCATCTATATTAATACCAACGTCCGTTATCAGGGGAATAATGCACCTGCAGCTCAAGCGGACCACTACACTTACTTAGACCCTTTGCATCGTTCATCAACGAACAGTATTCCGTCTGAAGGTGACGAGTATGATCTCCCATACGCGTTTCTAGGCAACCGTGCTGTACCCGTTCCGAAGCATGATCACTATATTAATATACCGAGTGCAAAACAGAGAGCTAAGAAGAAGCAAAAAAGAAAGCGTTAATTCAGAACTCGACACATTTAAACGCTGAACGACTACTGAGTCATCACACATAGGATGGATGAGTCCTCAGCATCTTCAGCGAGGTAGATCATAGCACGACTGCATGCGCTCATTAGCCATGTGTATACATTTCAATGTAATTAAATCTGCTGGTATTTTCTACCATATGTATGTTAGGATACATTATTTATCATCCAAAACTGGCTCCCACAGGATATATCGCTTGGGTGAGATCAAGTTATATCTACACTGTAGATATCGCTGCAATGAAATTGCATTACAAAGCTTTGCAGACCATTGTGACCTCATTGGTTACCATGACGTCACAATCAAATGACATCACTAATGGCTCTGCTACTGAAGCTGTTAGCAGTACTTTTTACACTTAAGACACAGGGCCCCGTTCCACTAAGCGATCTTAGCGCTACGATCATCGTAAGCCTATGTTAAAGTATGGGAGTGACGACAGCATCTTAGCGCTAATATGGCTTTGTGGAACGGGGCCCTGCTTATTACTGTCGACAAACTGAAAAAAGTTGGAAGAATGATGCTGGATGATAAATAAAATCTCACCCTCGTGTCTTTTGTTATAAAAAAATCAACACTCGTTGATAAAAGTGGAAAAAATCCTCGGCAAACCTCGGCGTTTTCCCACTTTTATCAACTCATGTTGATATATTTGATATCAAAAGACACTCTGGCGAGATTCTCTTTGTTCCTATTACCTGCTAAGCGTACTATTGGATATTCTAATCTGCCTCAGTACCCTGTTATCTCGGCATGCACAACCAGAAGCTTTGTTGAGCTTGTACGACAGTCCAGCATTGACCGTGGATCACTTGTCTGTTGTGAAACAGCCCGCGTTTTGACTGCTCTAGCGGGAAACATTCTTCTGTGGAGCAGAACATTGATATTCTAATTAGTGTCGTGTGTCAACATTTCATGAATAAAATATATTTCTTATATTTATCATATTTTCTACTGTGTATTTGGACGTAAATATTTAACACTGGACATCATATTTTTCTTATTTAAGATTATACTAAGACCTGTGCATGTTCAGAATTTCGATGTAGGCATGCAACTTTATGGATTACGTACGACCGAGAAAGGACAACAACGCTGATGTGATTATATACAAATACAAAATTAATACAGATGTAATACAGATGTAATGATCACCCGGAAATTTAAAATGTGTGCCGCGTCGCCCTCTTGACAACTGATTGTAATTCTGTATATTTCCTCATTACACACGGGTATAATAATGCTGGCGTAACTGCTGCTTCCGCTTTCAGTACTATGTGACACGACAAGATAATATGTTACATGATACCTCGTATTGAAGGAAACAGCAGGGAAAATGAAAATATACACTTTAAATATGGAATTGACCTAATCATTGCTGACGTTAAAAAATTGTTACAAGGAAGAAAACGGCAACCGAAACACTGCAAACCTTGGGTCCAAAATACAACATCACTGTGATACCCGTGTGAAATACATTACCATCCCATAAACCGTGTGTGTGTGTGTGTGTGTGTGTGTGTGTGTGTGTGTGTGTGTGTGTGTGTGTGTGTGTGTGGTTAAATGACGCCGTGAACCGTATTTGAGTAATATCCCCTACCGCCTACAGGTCACAACAAATTGCATTGCCTTCGGTGACTTGGCTTCAACTGTGCTTTGCTCTGGATTAACAGCTAATTTAGAACAGAAGTGAAAAATACTAAACTAAATTAATCAGTTCCTTATTTCGCATAATGAAAGTTGCGTCCTTTCAAGAAATTGCCAAAAAAATATATCCTGTCTTGAAAAAACCCATCTCAGCCACCCCTCCCACAGTCCCCGAATATGAAGTCGCTCCAGTATTGACACATCTTCCCGAGGCAAGGGAGTTAACTGACTATAGAAGTCCAGTTTCCACTCTTGCCGATCAAGGCTGACAATATGGAGTTATATTTTGGCTGGACTAACGAGTCTATGCACAGTCCAAAAATTGCAAATCAAAATTACGTAACGACTTCGACACCTGGTACGTAAACTGACTTGCAGATTTCGGTCGATTGCAGGATTTGTAAAGCATGTGTACCGTCAACTTAGCGTCAACAGATATTTTCCAAAATTCTTCAGATTTTAAATCAAGGTGCTCACGTGATTTGATGCACTTCGCGAGGTAAGTGATATGAGAGGTGGAATATGATTTGTCAATAGGAGGGACATAGAAGGGACATAATTCGTAGGCACTGATGGCGCAGCGATCGAGCCCAGAAATTCCAGTCTAGTTCGGCAAGGGTGGAAAATGTACTTTTACGGTCAGTTAACTTCATTGCCTCGGGAAGATGGCATTGATAAGGCCTGGTTGTCCGACAGCATGTTGTGTTGTAATCGTTGCATTTGGTCTTTGTTTGTTTACACATACCTCACAGTGTTACGACCACTGTCCCACACGACAAACTTAAAACAAAACCTCATTCTTTGATCAATTCGGCATTTGTTACTAAACGTGAAGACCATAGATATAATGTTTGTTACATATTTATATCCAGTCTCAGGACAATTCTTCAAAAATAAAAGCAAATGTCAACTGCGAAAACATTATGTGAAATGCTGGACTTCCTCATTGATAACATTTATGTAAAATGTAGGGATAAGACATTTCAGAAGACGGCATCTCCATGGGCTTCCATATCAATAACTGTAGGCATATGAATCAGAATTTCTTCTCAAATTGAAAAAGTCAAAACAAGGTAATTAGGCCATGAACTTAAGCTTCAGGTATATCGATGGTCTTAAATCGTTCAATAACCATACAATAATCAACTCCCCTTCCACTGATTTACCCACTTGAACTTGGAATAGAGGCGACCAGTGAGAAGGCCTTATATGTTTATATTTAGATCTATGCATTAAGTCAGAGGGACAAAGCAAGACTGTATTACAAGAGGGATGACTTCAGTATCCAAAGTGTCACCTTTCCCTTTATGTCGAGCAATACTCCAGCAGTTCCATTCTGTGGTGTCTAATTTCACAACGTTTGAGGTACAATCGAGCATGCGCTTTCTCCCAAGATTTCAAAAAGCGTCATGCGACACAGGGGCAATGGTTGTTTGATCACGATTACAATTTACAAGGCCTCAGTAAATCTTTCAAAACGTTTTATGGCAGATATGTGGAGAACATTTCCAAATTTGACGCATCAGTGACAAACATTATGTCCGACACAATTCCCTCTTTTGACTTGTACCACATGTTCCCGTGTTTTTAGGTGAATAATTGACTTGCCTTTGCATGTGTTTGTGACGGGAGATAGCAGTGGGAAAGGCTACGCTCACCTTTTCGCAAACATGTGGCAGCATCACTATTTGATACGTAAACACATGCTCATGATACAGTCGGAATCGAAAGATCGAATCTGCTATTGGCAGATATTTGTTATGACTATGAAACATACTTTATAGCTTTTATTTATGTGTAACGAGCTTACACTGTCCAAGAAAGGGACGCTTCTTTGCTTTGAATCTCTCAGTGACATATCTTGTCTTGTTTTGTCAACGTACAACACACAACTGTCAAAGATATTTCCGCTGTAAACCAATGCGTCCGGAAGCGGGTCACGACAAAAGCGAACTGTTTCATGAATGATCAACCTTGTATTCCCTTTGTACGTTAATAGAATCAGTCATGTCACCCATGTAACGCCGGATGTTTAGTCACTATAACGTTACCCCGCTCCCCCAAAACACACAGTCTACAAACACACGGTAAATGGAGGATGACGTTCTCTGTGATTATCATACTTGTGTTACTGGTCGGGACAGGACACGTCTACAGTAATGTACAATCAGGTATGTACACCTACCATATTTTGTACAAAGATATGTAATCCTATGTTTATGTAAGTGATTGCTCAATCAGTGTGACTGCCGTTGTCATTAAGGGACCCTATACCCGTAGTGTGTATACATTTTTTTAATATTTTTTTTATTTTTTTTTTGGGGGGGGGGGTTGGATCGTGGCTGGGGTGGGGAGAGTGGGTGTGTGAAGTGAAAAAAGCAGGACCCCAAAGCCATTACATATGAACATGTTTGGTCCTGTTTTATGTCACCAGTTATTTGATCACCCTATCACTCTACATCTCTGCATCATGTCCAACAAGTACACTCCAAACATACAGCAGAGTGTTCTTGTGCTAACACTTCAGCAGATACCAGTAGCAACCTCGGCATTTAACAACAATAGATCAAAGTCACATGTAGACAAAAACAGTTTGGGGTACAGAAACAGAGATTAGGGTGGTGCTTAACTTATTGCAGGGTTTATGTTATTGGTGAATGTCATACATACTTTTACATTCAAACAAATTGGCTATTTCGCAGACTCAGACTGATTAAGTTCGTGAATACCTGGTAGTGTCGCTCTTGGATGGTGATTCATAAAACACATACACACATGCTCATGATATTGTCAGAGTTGTCCAATTTACCCTGCTTAAAATAGAACCTTCTTAGGATTATGGACATAATTTTGTCGCTTTATAGACCGCATCCGTGGTTTAGTGGGTTCGATCACCCTGCTGCTCCATACCAAAAAGACGTTAAAAGATGGTACTTGTAGATACCTTGTCTGCCCCTCGGCATTAAGGGCCTAAACCAAGGACTGGTCGGCTCGGGGTCCGTATACTGTGTCTGAGTGGGGTATTCATGTTGAAATTGCGGCATGGTATCTCAGTGGGATAGCACTATAAATCGGCATCAGTCCGGTCTAGTACAAGCAGCCACACAAACGTGCATGCAAGTCGCTATATAAGTGCAATATTCCAGGACGCGACTTTAAACCCAATTTCACCTCTCCTGACCTTGTCTCTATATATTTGAGTAAGGGCGATTAGCGGGGATGACGATTGACATAACTCAAGTGGGCTGCTAAATGAGAACACAGGTCAGCTAGGTTGATTTGGCGTGAAGCAGCTTGCAGAAGCATATCGGGGACATACATGTCACGATGTACCAGCTGATGATGTGGTAGTGAAGCCCCTGCCGCGCTGATCGTCGTCACGACTTCGCCTTCGGACACGGCGAAGCGACGTAACCTTAGAATTGACAAATAAATGTTAATATAAATTAAAATGTTTTGATAGAAGGTCATTTAGGTAGGTAAGAAAACATGTCTTCTTTTCATGTATATTCATCATATGCTTTGTTTTAGCATCTTCATCATCACAAGACATCTCCACAAGAGAACCATTTACCACAGAACCACATTCGTGTAAGCAAGTTTACTATTCGTAAGCATGAGGTAAATCATTCCGGGGAAGCAAGTCGAATACCATTTTAAAACACACATCTTTGAGATGAGTAACATTTCAAGAGTTTTATCTACACGTTCTTAAACATTATGCTACCATATCAGACGTATTGCTACACTGGTCGTAAGAAGCGTCTCAGAGGATCGGGTGGAAACGTCCTTTCTTGTATGACTGCTTGTCACTGTACCCAACAGCTTTGTGTGCACGTATTACTCCTGATATCAATCACTGGTTTGTCTGATCAGGACCCGATTGTTTACAGGCCGTCGTGGTATAACTGGAATATTGAGTGAGTCAGTGAGTTGGGTTTATCGCCGCTTTTAACAGTATTCCAGTCATATCGCGGCCTGTCAGCTTACAGTGATGCAGGTCTCAGACGTTTACCACTTCGGTAAAAACCCACGAGCAGGGGTATGCTACGACAAACCTAGAAACATAATCATAGGTTTCTGGTGTGCCCAAGGGACGCAACTCTGCAAAGCGAATCGCGACGCCTCAGACGATTGGGCCACCCGTGTCCCCACTGGAATATTGAAGAAAATCAACTCTATAAGAGAACACAGAAGGTGATAACATAACATAAAGGATACATAACGATGAACTGCAATTGAACAACTAGCACACTGAATTGCACAATACTCTCATATCAAGGATAGTTAAAGACTTTAGAGATTACATTTTTGAAATGCTAAAAACTAATATAGAAGAGATCAGTGATGAATTTCAGAAAGATATCTGCACATTAGTTTGTTTGTTTGTTGTTTAACGCCTGGCCACCCGATCCCATTAGTCGCCTTTTACGGCAAGCATGAGTTGTTGAAGACCTATTCTATCCCGGATCTTCATGGGTCCTGCACATTAGTGTACATTCTCGTTGATTAAGTATATTGAGCTTGATACTGTACCATCTGGATGGTAGGTTAAATGCCTCAAGTATATATGTGACTTAAAGACAATATGAGGCAGAGGCATTTATGTGGGTGAAGTATTACATGGAATCGTGTAATGTATGTAGTGTGCATCATCACGGAAACACTTCGTTTCATCACATATTTAGATTGCATGTAAATACATGAAGGATGACTCATGTTCAATTGACTCGCAGCCGGTAACGGCCTCCCAACCTACAGTGTGATACAGTTTCGGTGTGGCAGGACATAGTGTTGTACATCTGCTACTTGTAGCGACAACAACCCTATGGCTACAGTGTGATACAGTTTCGGTGTGGCAGGACATAGTGTTGTACATCTGCTATTTCTAGCGACAACAACCCTATGGCTATGTATTATCCAATGCGAGACTTGTTTTATCGATCAAGGACATATTAAATGCACCCCAGTGCTACAAGTTTGTCAACTTTTGCAGTTCTCCCATTGACTTTCAGTGTTATGTAAAGGTATGAGGTAGCCATTGCCAGATCATATATAAACACAGAAACTGAAATATCTTTAGCAAGAGGACATTAATTGTACTTCTCCCACGTTAAGACATTGGCTGTTGGTGCAGCACGTACATGAAGGAATACAAGCATCTTACAACTGTTTCGGGGCGGTGGGGTAGCCTTGTGGTTAATGCGTTCGCTCGTCACGCAGAAGTTCCGGGTTCGATTCCAGACATGGGTACAATTTGTGTACAAGTCCGTTTCTGGTGTCCCCGGCCGTGATATTGCTGGCGTAAACCCATACCCAATCATACTCAATCTCAAATGTATCAGGATTCATGTCTGTTTCAGTTACGTACAAGGTCTTTGTTGGTGTGTGGCTTGGACTTATCATAGTTGAGACTGTCATCATCTGCATAATGATTTGCTGCTTAATCTTACGGTGTGTACGGAAGTGTTTCTGTTCTCATGAATTCGGGTTGATGTACACTATCGGGAAAACGTAACTTGCTTCATTTATAGTTTAATAAAAACATTTATTCTGAAATTAAATAATCCATATTTCAATACATATTCATGACGATATCAACTCCGCTTTAGGGTCGTGATTCCTAATTTGAAAGTGCATGTTCACGCACGGCGTACACTTGGCGTTTGCATGTTTGGTGGGAGCAGGATACTCACACACGTGCTTTTTAAAAGGCGAACAGCACACAATTGCAATTATTGTTTTGCTATCGATCAGGTGCTCATTATAAATAAAAGTGAGAAAATCTTTTCCATATTCATAAGAAATGTCTGCCCAAAACTACAGTGGCCCATAAGGGACATAGAGTCTGTTTTTCAATATTTTGATGTTTCACTTACTTTTATCATAACCTTTTGTAAATTTACACAATTATAAATACAAATATGGGATAAATCATGTATAAAAACAACCGAAAACATGGAAAATGAAGCGAAAATGTCAAAAACTAAAATGGAAATGTCAAAAACCAAAACGAAAAGGTCAAAAACTAAAATGAAAATGTCAAAAACAAAAACTAAAATGTCAAAAACTAAAATGAAACAACAGAAAACAATTTCCACAAATTTAAACATTGCAATTTAATCACAATTTAAACATTGCTGTTCTGCCATGGCCGGCTGTTTCTCCAGATCTCTCTCCGATTGAATGTGTCTGAGATGAGATGGAACGACGCCTAAGACAGCTATAGTAACACTATCCCAGTTGGGCCAATCTTGACAATTGACATTGGTTGACATTTGGAGCAGCATCCCCCAAGCTGTTTTCAATCATCTGGTGTCTTCAATGAGCCACTGCTGCCTCACCTGCATCAACGCAAATGGTGCTCACACCTGATATTGACATTTTTAATTGCGTTGTTACATCACGCCTGTTTTAGGGCGAGTCACTCTCCTATTACCAGGTATAAGTTTTGTCAAGGTATCTGTTATGATTTAACATCAGACGAATGATCAAATATTATGTTGCTATTAACATTTAACTAAACATTTGCACCACTTTATATAAACCAGTTACATCTTGCCGTTAGTATATATTTCAGAAAGTATTCACGAATGACAAATACTAATGTCTCTCATTATTCTTCTATGTTTAGATTCTGTACGTCAAATACCCGGTTGATATATGTGTGAACTTATTTTTCAGACCAAACAAGCAATATAACGATGTAGAATCGCAAGCTGAAGTATTCCCAAACAATTAAAATATCGGGAGAAACATCGTTCTGTCAAGCTAAAGGATGTGACTATGAGATCTGACGTAAATGAGATCAGTGTGTCTTGCTGGGATTGACTTACTAGAACTGCCATCTTGCCCAGTGAATGTTGCAGAGTTGATCGTGATTTCAACCTTTGTGTCGCGTCTTGAAACACATGCTACTTGTCAAAATACGACTCTGGGCGCGTAGACCTTCGTTGCTACTTTGGAGCTTTATCAAGATTTGTCAGTAATAATGTCATATGGACAGCTTTATTTAATGCCTAGTATATAATGCAATATTTAACAACTATTACAGACCGTGTGAGAAGTACGCATAATGTCGGAAAGCGCACGTTAAATCTCCTATAATACGTAACTATTACAGAATAAAACATGGAGGCATGGATCAAAAGTTCCTGCTATATTATTTGATTTTTCAACCTCATCGAAACAGAATGATTTACCATCCACCAGTGAACGCCACAAATCATGCTTTATGGGTGCCGTTTCTTCTTAGTTTCAACAAAATCAGTAATGGTACTCTCGTGTCCTTTGATTGTCTAGTTCATCTATCACTTGTGCTGCATCAGGAAATAAATATTTTTTATCCGAATTAAAATAATGACGGGTGCTAGCGGTAGGACAGGACTTGGTTACCCTTTTCACAAACACCTGGTGTCATCACTGATGTTCCGTGACCCAGTCATAGAACTGTCTTCACTAAATTATCTTTTACGTCCACTGTTAGCTGTTTCAGCGGATGATCAAAGACCAGACAGTTTCTCGCGTCGACGTTATGTATTTCCGCTTCACGAGTCACACAACTGAAACAAATTTCCATAGACTAAGTGAATTGATTATCAGTGATGTGCCTGGCGTGAGTCAGGTCCGAACCAGGAAACTATCCAGTGGTAAGTAGGGATCTATGCACGATCTGGCAATCATCTGTTTCACAGTACACGTTGTGACAAGATGACTACTGTCGGTATCCCTCTCTCTGTCGGACAACTTGCCGTTTACATGATGATTATTGGATTCGATAATATGGACCAAATACAAGGTAAGAACGATTTTATAATGATTCTAATTTGCCTTATGCTTACATTAATGACGTTTGTCAATGTAATTTGTAAACCTGTATATCAAATTCATATGTAAATCATGACAAATGGGTTGGTATTCTGAATTTGATAAGAAAGGTTTTCGATTCTATGAACACCTAAATAAGGAACACACAGAGAAAACCAACTTATCGGGAAACATGTAAATGGTCGCAGAATACATGGCTTGTAATACCCTCCGTGTTTATGCCAGAAGCTGTCAGGGGACCAATATTCATATTATTTTACTTCGGTTAAAACTCCGAAGAAATTCAACCGTGAAGCTAACTTCTACAAATAGTGCTTTTATCTGACACGAACGATGAATGTCTTTGTTAATATATTTACACCACAATAATAAAGTTCACTTTTTATTTTATTTTATGGTATTGAATACATTTCTCTTACGTTACCCAATCCCCCGACACTAGTTATGAAACTTTACAAACTTCCGTTAGGTTTTTCATGAATATTATTTTTGGATACTTTAAATATTTCTAATTCAGTTTCATTGCGGAAACACTGCTCGTTTGGTTGAATCTACAAAGAATGTTCATTGGACGCATCTTAGTTCTGTTTACCATAGATATACTTTAAAACTTTCGAATGCATCTCTTTGCGTTGTTAAAAACTACAGTCGAACCTCGTTGTGTCGAACTTGGATGTATCGAAGTCCGGGTTGTCACGAACTCATTTCGGAGTCCCAAGTATCCAAATTAAGCTTTAAATTTCCCTGGTGTTTCAAACCCAGGATAACTTGTTGTTCAGGTGCCCACGAGCTCGTCACAACGAGGTTCGTATAAACTAATACAATCAGATTTGGGAAACAACATCAACATCAATAAACTGCATCAAACATTTACATTTTAATTCTGCATATCAATTTCCCCATGTGCTGTGACCTATCCAAGGTATTTACAAAAGTCAACATTTTGCTTACTTGGGTAATCACAGTATACAAGGAAGGAAACCAAAAAATGTCAAATTTTAAATCAAGTGCTGACAAATCATTCTTTGCTCAAAACATAAGGCACGGGTGGCCCTGTCGTCCATGGCGCTGCAATTCGTTGTGTAGCGTTGCGTCTCTTGGGCACAGCAGAAACGTATGATTGTGGATTCAAATTCATGTTCGCCCCGATTATGTTTTAGGTTTGTAAGCACCATGTCCGTGCTTGTGGGTCTCACCACAGTTGTCAATGCCTGCATCACTTCGGTTTTCTTCCCACTTTAAGATGATACGCCGGGATAAAACTGGAATAATATTCAAAGCGGCGTTAAGACCCAATTCACTCGCTCACTCACTCACTCACCCACTCGAAACGTATTTTTCGGCTTTGCACATACACAAATTAAAGCTGTTATTACAAGTGTCATCATACGTCATTCAACAAAGTTTGTTAAAAAACGCAACTGGCCCATACGCTGTTTCCGTTTGATGCATGGTCTGGCAAATGCGTATCATATGTATATTATAGGGATGTCAGTCACCTAGATTAACTTTTGCAAAATAACAACGTTTATTACTGTCATTCATTATACTTAAGACATATCATTTTGTCTCTCTAGCTTTCGGAGCAAGCAGTGGCCTCTGTGTTAAAGCAAAGTATACCACCGCTGAGAACGACTGCAAAGATAGAAGCAATGGAATATTCAATATTTCGGACTTTATAGCATCAGAAGGCGGAAGACAGGCTCAAGATGTCGTAGCTAACCTCACAGAAATTTGGATACGAGGAAACAAGGACGGTAAATTAAAGCATTATGTTTTTGTATATCGATCACTGATATTTAAGATAATGTATAACACTTATACCTGTAATATGCATAATACTGAACGCTTAAACAGCATGAGGATGTACGGGTGGCCCAGTCGTCTTCGGCGCCGCGATTCGCTGTGCAGAGTTTCGTCCCTTGGGCACGCCAGAAACCTATGATTGTTGGTTCGAATCCCGGTTCGCCCCGATTATGTTTCTAGGTTTGTCAGCACCATACCCGTGCTCGTGGGTTTCACCGAAGTAGTAAACGTCTGAGACCTGCATCACTTCGGGCCTTCCTCCCACATTAAGCTAACACGCGCGATATATAACATAAATAAAAAGCGGTGTTAAATCCTACTCACCCACTTAAACAGCATGACATATTCCCATGACAGGTTGAGTATATTTTGAGAATATACTGACATGCTGTAGTCGTAAAGTTTCAACACATGACAGATATGCAAACGGGTAAATGAAAATGAAACATGAATATGAAACTTAAATAAACTCTCCTGCTTTGTGAGGACCCAATTAATGTATCTGTGTTTGATATGCGTTAAAATAACAAGGGTAGATGCAATCGCTTTGGCAATAACTACATCTTTCATTTATTCGTTTATCATACTAAAACATTTATAGATACAGTAAACAACGTTTATAACGAACACGCTTGTAACGAAACGGCGGATATAAGGAACTTTTGTTAGTCCCGTCCATTTGCTGTGTACATGTTGCATATATGCTTATAACGAACTACGGTTATAACGAACTAAAACTGGTGGTCCCTTTGAGTTCGTTATAACCGTAGTTTACTGTCTTTCCTTCTTCGATGAACATACTTTCATTGTTTGGTATTACGTTAAACTGCAATTTAACCCATCTTTTCCTTTATGCACCGCAGGGCTCTGCTTAACTTATTTTGAGGAACGTGGGGCTACAAATGGATCTGCCTTAAATTCGACAAACAGTAAGCGTTATATAATGTCATTAGGAGTGAGTGGGTGAGTTGTGTTTAACGCCGATGTTAACAGTATTCCAGTTATACCACGGCGTCTCAGCTTAATGTGGGATGAAAGTCCGAAGTGATACAAGTCTCAGACGTTTACCATTTTGGTGAAACCCACGAGCAGGGCTATGCTACGACAAACCTAGAAGCAGAGTCGGGGCAAACAGGGATTTGAACCCAAATCATAGGTTTCTTTCGTGCCCAAGGGACACAACTCTGTACAGTGAATTACGGCGCCTCAGATGACTGGGCCACCCGTCACCCCTAATATCAAGGGCAGTGTATGACGTCACAAATTACATCTGTACACATATGTTTCAGTGACATAATTGAGTGAGTGAGTATGGTTTTACGCCGCTTTTAGCAATATTCCAGCAATATCACAGCGGGGGACACCACAAATGGGCTGCACATATTGTACCCATGTCAGGAATCGAACCTGTCTTCGGCATGACGAACGAACGATTTAACCACTAGACTACTCAACCGCTCCTTCGGTGACATACTCCGAGAATATACGTTGCGTTATGCAACATGCATGCCATGAGTAGTCAGGTAGATCATTACAGGATAGTCTTAATAGGTCAGAGACATGACGTAATAGTGCGTTACATGCCGTGATGTAGGGACATATTTTTCATTCAAACGTCAGCCTGATGTGCACACAGTGTAACCTTATAAACCTGGATCCACTTATAACGGAAACACCGTTTCCGCGCGAGAGACCCCACATAATATGTCTGTAACAAGCATTTGTGAATCTCGAAAGGTGTTAATCGGGACAATATCCAGACACACGGGGCCTGGCATGTACTGACCCATGATTGTTATATTCGTATTTCCTCTGATACAGCGACAACCCCTTACAAATTCCAAAAAGCCAGCTGTGATGATCTGCATTACTACGTCTGTAAGAGGAGTGCTAGTAAGTATTAATAATACGTTTATAGCGTTATCACGTAATTTAATTGTTGGTACGTAAAAACATTAAATCTTTTACATATTAACGTACGGATAGGAGCCCTTCTAAAATTGCACGGGATTTTGAAACTATGAAAGCAGCATTAAACCATCATGCTTGTTCACAAACTTAATAAAACATTTCATATTTTGCAGGTAAACCTAAAAATGGTACGTATATTGAACGTATGACTGTCCAATAGAGTGTTACACACACGCGCCTTTTCTTTGTGAGTGAGTGAGTATGGTTTTACGCCTCTTTAAGCAATATTCCAGCAATATCACGGCGGAAATGGGCTTCACACATTGTATCCATGTCGGGAATCGAAACCGGGTCTTCAGCGTGATGAGCGAATGTTTAACCACTAGGCTACCCCGTCGCCCTCTTTTCCTTGTAGTTTGTTATTGTGAATCTTCATGTATAAAACATACAATAATGTAGAAGGTTGTTCTGTAGACATGTAGTGCTTGAAGAACATGTGGTCGAAACTGAAGGTGAGACTAAATTGTAATTCCGCGTTTTGCAGAACATCTTTTCCCGCATTGTTGGTTCTACGTTTATTTAGCAGAATATATACATTCCACAACTTCTTCATTTAGTGTTTGCATTTTCCAGACACAATAATCATTAGCAATGAATAATAGGTTGTTCGCTGTCAGTTCCATCGGTTCAACGTATTTCACTAATGTCTTGATCCCAATATCTATTTGTTCATGGAATCCAGGTTCAAAGTTCCCATATGATGTCACTTGTCCTGAGAGTCAGCTGACATCACATCAAAGGCCTACAATTGGTAAACTCGAGTCATTTTCATATAACGTAATGTACAAGTTTTACTTTTAACTGTGATGTGAAAAAAACAGGTGGCGTTAGCTTTCATTCTATTATAGCATCATGACACTGTAGATTCATCCCAGTTTCAGAGCTATTTCCCAACGTCTCCAATTTATTCGTTTGTGAAATTGTTGTATGGTTACCATAGTTGCCTGTGTGATGTTCTGTAACGATGCACTCTCATACAAAGGCACGTGCGCGAGGCACAACTTTAACGTATTACACACACTGGTGTCATATAAACCAGGCTTTCACATAAGTGTATACACGTATGTTTGATATAACTTCCTTACTTTGTATTTTTCATTTGCAGGGTTTATGAGTCCGTTGATTATTACCATGGTGTGTATCTTCGTTGTACTTGTCATTGGCATCATTGCAGTGTATCTCATCGTCAAAAGGTAAGCATGGGGATTTGACGCTAACATGATCAGTGTTTTATAATGACTTCTTCTGCAACAGTACCATTTAAAAAACCCACTGCTACCACAGAGATATTCGAAAACAGTACACATGCAGTACTTTAAACATATCTCAAATTTCGTTTGGAGGTTCTCATATTTGCGTTGACAGAACCATGTTTATGAACCAGCAATCATGCTCTTGGTATCCTTGTAGACATGGTCCTAATGGGCGATAGCGGTTAGGTTCAACGCAGGCGTGGTAATATTGAGTCGGCAATTGGTCATAACTTGGTATTCTCTACAGATTACGAGGTGAATACGAGGTGAAAGAACACCTCGTAGTCACAAGTCCTTCTTGGTGGGTTACACTTCCGGATCTCAGTCCAACTTCAGTCACCGTGTGGCCACAAGGAGTCGATCTGTCCATTGAGTTAACTATTGATGCAACTGTAGAGATGCATACCAGATACCTGGTGTCCAGCTCTCGATTTGTCCCTTCTGACAACTATTGATACAGTTGTTGAGAACGATGCAAGATACCTCGTGTCCAGCTGTCGATTTGTCCCTTCTGAGAAACAATAATGTGGTTGCAAAGCCAGAAACAGATAAAAGAGTTGAACATTAAGCTTGAGAACAAAACTTTCGAAACTACTTTTAAAGTATCAAATGTCCCCTGAATACATATTATACATAAGTAATGAGAAATGTATCTGAACCTGCTTCTTGTTAACACACAAATGTGTAACAGATTAATATAAACCTGAAAGGCTAAATATGGGATCTGTATGGTAACAAACAGGTCATCAGTTCATCCATTTAAGTATGAACACTTTTTTTTTCTGAAAAGAGTTAATAGCACAAAGTACAAATAGAAAATATCCTTGTTACGGACGAGGTGGTATTTGATGAAATTCGATATGACATCAAAACAGCTGTTTAATTCAACAAGAAACTGAAATTACCCGACATACATTTGAAACTACCAAGTATAATGAGGACCTCACCCACACACAAAATACAACTTTCTTGTTCTTATGATTATCGCCATACGCAGTAACCTACGTGTGTATTGCTATGTAACACTCGGGTTTATCTTTCAGGAAGAAGAATGGAAAAACGAATGGGACACCGTCGATAGCAGGTGATGCTCGATACATGAGAAGTAACCCTGCAGATAACAGGGAGTCTGGTCTCCACACAGAAGGTAATGAAGCTGGCAACCACGACAGCCTCACATCAGTTCAAGCCCAAGATCCTCTAGGTGCTGAGGACGAGGGTGTGGACGTCGTTGTAGTACAGTGTGAAGACCCTAGAGAAGCGGACGACCTTGATGACAACCCTTTATACGTCACTTACTGACCTGCAAACCAGGGACGCGTGTATGCCTGACGGCTATACAGTGTAAATCATACTGAGGCGGAATGCTACCAGATAGTCCAGGTATACATAATCTAACACACGGAAATAACAGTTGAGGGGATTCATACTATTCATCTACGTGTGATTTTGCAAAAGATCAACATTGTGCGTTCATACAATCTTGTATACTTGTTCACTTTTTAAATATAATATATACAAAACTATGAATACTTGACAACGCAGTAGTAGTTAGTAACTTCCAATCATTAATGATTTACACTCATTAATAATGTGTTTTTCACTCATGGCGTTACGTTTATGTAATGGTGGTTTACAAAAAGATATATTTTTTGTCAAGAAGGGTTCTGAAAGTAAAACATTGTTAAATTTCTGGTTTATGTTGCCGATCACTTCATTCACGAAAATCCGTACATGTTTAACTACATAATTGTTCTTCTGGTCGAAGCACCAACAGCGGACAGGGTAAACGTTGTTTACTCTCACATAACGCTATTTTCTGTCATTGTGGTATCCGTTGATACGGAATGTGTCACTATTTTGTACAATTTTTCTCTCAGCTGGGAAAGATATATTTTTGTTGTTCTTAATAATAAACATACGTTCAAACACGAACCTGGCGGGTATGCTGATCGTGTATTTATTCCTGCAGAGAGGAACAGGTGTATAATTGAATCCAAAGGAATAATTTGCTTGTTCGGGGGATGTCACCGGGTCATTAAATCTACCCATGTCACGGTCTTTTGTTTGGCACCCCGCCTTTTTACTTTATTTCCGACACCGCTCGGCAAAGTTCGTCTATCAGCGTCATTGCATGCTTGGTTAGGCAATTATCGACCCGACTACTTCATTCTCTGTGACTTAACGCCACACTACTAACATGTATTGACTTAATGTTTGTTATCTCCTATATGTTCGCTCCCATATTCCTGTGTTGAAAATGGTTTTGTAACTATGATTTTCAGACATTAGGGGAATTTATATGTATACTCAGATATATCTTATGTATGTATGATCATTTTTGCCTCCTCAATATTTATACATAGCTTGTTGTAAATCTTTAATTATTCCGGTGGATAGCTTATGTTCAGCGCTTCATTTTGATACTTACATCTTCAGTGTGGATATCGTAGTTAGTTCGCTATACGTGTTTTCCACATGTTTAGAAACACGCGTTGGCTAAGCGCCTCAGATTACTGTATTCTCCAGCTGTCTTGGAGAGAATGCCCTCTCTGAGGTCCGCGCGCTGTGTGTATAAACTTCTTCAAGCTCTTGTGTCTTTACCCCCAGGATTCGTTAGGCCGTTTTACTGTCGATTTGCTCTTGGGTGGTCGCTTCGAAACTCAGGTTTTCCGAGCACTGTTGATCTAGTACTGACTTACTCTGGTTGTATTGAGCTAAACAAAGTAACTTGCGTTTCCAGTACTCAGTTTTTCTAGAAATCCGTGGAAAAAAAACCTTCCCGTGATTGTGAAGCTTCAGTCGATTCGAATATTTTGTTATTCAGACGTTCTCGTCTATTTTATAGTCCAAATGACTTTTTTTAGGGATAGGCCCTCGTTATTTCCCGTTATTTAACCCAGCCAAGGTTATACCCTCATTAGAGTTATGAGATAATTAACTCAGGTGTTTATTGGTCGCAGCCGACTAATTTGGCTGACTAAGGATCTGGTCGGAATCTTGTCAAAGTGATGCTTTATTCACTCACATTTTATAACTGTAATACAGTCGCTTAGCTAAGCTGCTTATGTATTTTCTCTGATTTTATTAATCAGAGAGCTTTTTCAGCGCAGATTTGTGTATTCAGTCCTATTATTGCCATCTATTGGTAATATTAGTTGTTAATAATAAACCTGTGAACCTCTCACCACGTTTTCATTATTGCTTAATTCTTGTTGAATGACACCCCTGATCATTGGAGCACAGCTCCGTGACAGGGGGACACCTGGTATCCTCTTAATTTCATACTGATCCATAAACACGGGTTCACGGTATAGTCGGAATCGTACAATGGAGTCAGCTTACATCAGGAATTTCTTACAATAATATTTCTTACACGTTCTTCTTCACTTTTTAGCAGCTGGATTTATGCACAGACGTAATTCAAAAAACGTCTCGGGTTCAGGGTAAATCACCATGTGTGGTATCGTATGATGTTGTTTTTTTGGTCCATCACTTGATTGTCTGGTTTGTTTACAGGCCGCCGTCGCATGGCAGGAGTAAATCTCCAGGCAACAATCGCTTACTCCTCATGCTGAAGGGTGATGGGTGCTACCAGTTGGCATGCATGCTTACAAGCATGGCAGACATGCTTACCCTTCACACGAACACCGTACCTGGTGTCATCACTGACTTTGTGATCCATTCATATTCTTTTCACTGCCTTGTTCGCACAAAGGAATGTGTTCCGGGGGATAATCAAGATTGGTTGCTCTGGCGCTGACATGTACACACGTTCTTAGAAAAGAACGCAGTTCAATTGTGTCAGAAATCAGTGGATTTTTAAACTTTGTACACCACTATCCCACACGACAAACGTAAAGGAAAACGCCAGCCTTTATTGTTGGGAAATATGTCACCGTACGCGAGTATCATGAGTTGTTTCCCTTAGATGTAGCTTGGCGACGCAGATACACGCAATGGATGAAAGATCGCATAGACAAGTGAGATATGTCAATCTGTCATGGGAAAAAGGTACAGATAATGTCCCACATGGCACATTTTCTCCATGTACGATTTATGTAACCCACCTGTTCATAAAATGAACTTGTCCGACATTGCCGAGATCGGTTTGTATTCAGGGAGTCATCATTATTTACAAAAGGGTAAATATTTCTAAATCATGGATATTTTATTGACATCATTGAAGAAGCTCATATAAGAAAAAAAACGACTTTCGGTCGTTGTTTGTCATACACTAAAACACTGCTGCGCGCCTTGTTATTTATTCTCCCTGCAGTGATTTATTGTACGATTAACAATTCCCCCTCGTCGTGTATTTCTAACGCGCACACACACACACACGCACACACACACACACGCACACACACGCACGCACACACAAACACACACACACACACACACACACATAAACACACACACACACACATAAACAAACACAGACAGAGATATATATATATATATATATATATATATATATTTACACATGGAATAAACATTATCAAGTCTGAACGAAACCAGGCTTTAATGTGTGCAATCTCAGAAAAGAACGAATTCTTTAACATACATGAACATATATATATAATGAATTCGTGAGCCAAAATTCCAGTTTCATTTACAAAACAAAATGACCCAGTGAAACGAAACCAGCTTCTGTCCGTACAGATGGACAGCGACTGTGGTCTTTGAACTCGAGTCGGGGACAACGACGCGCGTACGAACTGATGGTCGGGAATAAGGTGCGGTGTTTGTACTTTAGAAACATGTGTTGTTTAGTTAAAAGTAACTCAAAACCTATAGGCATAACTATATGATTTTTAATTAAACATTTTATGTACATAAACAATAAAACAACAAGGTAGCGGTTCCTCAAACTAGAGCTCGACTCAGCTTAACCCAAAAATAGGTACGTACAGAACTAAACTAAATCGTTAAATCAGTGAATAGCCACCCGTGCCCCCAGTGCAGTCACGACTGTCCAATAATTTGTTACAGGTGAATGTCTTGAATGAGGCACGTGTTCCGTTCTCGAATCCAAGAAAAGTGTTGGAAGCAGTCAGAGAAGTCGATCTTTGCCCGATTGGTATCCCGTCCATTCTAGACAAGTAGATACGTCGCAAGTCAAGTCCTAGAATCAAGGCCTCGAATCGCCCTGGTCCCGCTCTTGTTCTTCCCCGCCCTGAAGGCGGGGAAGTATACGGCAAACGTTAATTGTGTAGCATGTATGTCAACGTGTTGGTTTATTTGAAATTTCAAGCCACGCATTTACGGAAACAATACATACAAATCATGTGCGTGGAATGTTGATACTATTCTTTTCCAGAAATAAGAGATACTTCAAAATCGTCTTTGTGCAGTTAATTGATGCATCTGACCGTTTCTGGTTATTAGCTGACATTATTAAACCATTCATGTGTAATCCGATGTCCCTTTTACCTCAAGGACTAATTTTCTGATTTTCACGGTGTATACATACAAAAGAAGAACTGTAACATGTTATATGGCCGAATTCCACATTCTACATACCACACTTTTGATTGTTTAGATGCTCATGTTCACTGGATATATTTGGAATAGAGAGAGAATGAGAGAGAGAGAATAATGTTTATTATAGTGTCACATGTTATATACACTTCATACTAAAACACGTACACGAACAGTAAAATATAACATCCGACCATGTATGGCCTACGAGACACTTAGACATAAAAGCAAATTATAACGTCATGATCTGGTTAAGGTAAAACAAGACATATATACTAACACAATGTTTAAAATTAAGGTTGGGTTATGAACACGCACGCTCGCACGCACACGCACACGCACACGCATACACACACGCCAAATTACTTATAAAGTCACGCACACAATCATACACAAACACGTAGGTACCCACACACCCACCCCACACCATACCACGCACACACAAACACACAATATATATATTCCGTATTTTGAATAACCCAGTCCCCCGTGTTTGTTTTAATCAGTGCACCGCACATAGCCACATGTGAAACGTTTGGTAGCAAAGTCATAGCAAAATCGGAGTAGTGTGTCGGCGAATTTGCATCAAGGCTGTAGTATTTTTCAACCGTTTAATGGAATTCAATGTACAGCCGTAGCTCTGGTCCACTGACCTCGATAATCCGTTGGATGAAGGCACGTCACTCTACAGTCACATAGTTAACACCGAAGGCTATGAGGGGTATTTAGGTCATAATCAGCTCCCAGCAGCCACTGCCTCAAGCGATATTGTTTACATAAGAGATCAGTATTTACGGCCCCGTCACAGGTGCTCCAAATATTGAAGTAGGGAAGACAAATTTCATAGAATAATTTCAACAAGCAATATTGATATCCCAGTCACTTTTGGGAACTTTTAATGATGTCTCCATTGCAATTTGTACGGATTTTGATTCGTATGCATTATTTGACTCTCATCAGCAAAATGGTTTGGGTCAGACTAATCCGAATGGACAAGCAGTTTTACTTCTGTTTAGTAGTATGGATGAATTGTTATGTTACATCTTAACAGTATATCAGGCGACTATGCTTGTCGTAAGAGGCGACCAACGAGATCGGGTGGTCAGGCTTTGGTTGATGCATGGCATCGATCCCAATTGCGTGGTTGGGGGTGGGAAGTGATGTATTTATTTGAAAAGCAGGACTCCAAAGCCATTACATATGAACATGTTTGGTCCTGTTGAATGTAACCAGTTATTTGATCACCCTATCATTCTACATCTCTGCATCATGTCCACCACGTACATGCGAAACAGACAGGAGAGTGTTTTTGTGCTGATGCTAGGGCAGATACCAGTGGCATCTTCGGCATTTAACAACATGAGATCAAAGTCACATGTAGACAATAACAGTTTGGGGTACGGAAACAGAGATTAGGGTGGTGCTTAACTTATTGCAGGGTGTATGTTATTGGTGAATGTCAAACATACTTTTACATTAAAACAAATTGGCTATTACTGATTAAGCCCCTTCGTGATATTAAGTTCGTAAATAACTGGTAGTGTCGCTATTGGATGGTGATTCATAGAAACATACACACATGCTTATGATATTGTCAGAATTGTTCAATTTACCCTGCTTAAAAGTAGAACCTTCTTATGATTATGGAAATAATTTTGTCGCTTTTTAGACCGCATTCGTGGTCTAGTGGTAGAGCGTCCGCCCGTATAGCGGAAGGTCCGGGGTTCGATCCCCGGCCGCCTCATACCAAAATACGTTAAAAGATGGTACTTATTGTTAACCTGTCTGGCGGTTGGCATTAAGGGGCTAAAACAAGGACTGGTCGGCTCGGAGTCGGTATACTGTGTCTGTTTGGGGTATTGATGTTAACTGCGGCATGGTATCTCAGTGATGCATGTTGCAGAGTTGATCGTGATTTCAACCTTAGTGTCGCGTCTACCTTGACATCCATCTGCACGGAGCAATCCCAGGGTCATGGTACGTTAACATCCACGGTTGGTCCGATCCACCAAGCTTCATATTACATGCATGTATACCAGGTGTTCGCGAACAGGTATGCATATCCTGCCCCTTCGGTGACACTTGCCAAAAACACATGCAAAGACAAGTTAACTGTTAAACAAACATTGCAACACATGCTACGTGTCAAAATACGACTCTGGACGCGTAGACCTTCGTTGCTACTTTGGAGCTTTGTAAAGTTTTGTCAGTTATTATGATGCGATATGGACAGCTTTATTTAATGCCTAGTATATAATGTAATAGTTAACAAATATTACAGACCGTATGAGAAGTATGCATAATGTCGGAAAGCGCACGTTAAATCTCCTTTGATAAGTAAGTAACTACTACAGAATAAAACATGGATGCATGGATCAAAAGTTCCAGATAACTATTTGATTTTTTCAACCTTATTGAAACAGAATGATTTACCATTCACAAGAGAACGCCGTAAATCATGGTTTTTGGGTGCTGTCGATGGGGCGCGACATGTTTACCCTTTTCATGAACACCTGGAGTCATCACTGATTTTCAGTCATCCAGTCATAGAATTGTCATCACTAAATTATCTTTTACGTCCACTGTTACCTGTTTCACCGGATGATAAAGACCAGACAGTCTCTCGCGTCGACGTTATGCATTTCCTCTTCACGAGTCACACAACTGAAACAAATTAAGTAGAGATCTATGCACGATCTGGTAATCATCTGTTTCACAGCACACGTTGTGACAAGATGACTACTGTCGGCATCCGTCTCTCTGTCGGACAACTTGCCGTTTACATGATGCTTATTGGATTCGACAATATGGACCAAATACAAGGTCAGAACGATTGTATAATGATTATAATTTGCCTTATGCTTACATTAATGACGTTTGTCAATGTAATTTGTAAACCTGTATATCACATTCATATGTAAGTCATGACAAATGGGTTGGTACTCTGAATTTAATAAGAAAGGTTTACGATTTTATGAACACCTAAATCAAGGAACACACAGAGAAAACCTACTTATCTGGAAACATGTAAATGGACGCAGCATACATGGCTTGTAATACCCTCCGTGTTTATGCCAGAAGCTTTCAGGGAACCAACATTCGTATTATTTTACTTCGGTTAAAACTCCGAAAAAATTCAACCGTGAAGCTAACTTCTACAAATAGTGCTTTTATCTGACACGAACGATGAATGTCTTTGTGAATATATTTACACCACAATAATAAAGTTCACATTTTATTTTCGTTTATGGTTTTGAATACATTTCTCTTTTATTAACCAACCCCCCGACACTAGTTATGAAATTTCATAAACTTTCGTTAGGTTTTTCATGAATATTATTTTAGTTTCATTGCGGAAACACTGCTCGTTTGGTTGAATCAACAAAGAATGTTTATTGGGTGTATCTAAGTTCTGTTAACTACATATATGCTTTAAAACTTTCGAATGCATCTCTTTGCGTTGTTAAAAACTACAGTCGAACCTCGTTGTGTCGAACTTGGATGTATCGAAGTCCCGGTTGTCACAAATTCATTTCGGAGTCCCAAGTATCCAAACTAAGCTTTAAATACCCTGGTGTTTCAAACACAGGATAACTTGTTGTTCATGTCCCCACGAGTTCGTCACAACGAGGTTCGTATAAACTAATAAAATCAGATTTGGGAAACAACAACCACATCAATAAACTGCATCAAACACTTACATTTTAATGATGGATATCAATTTCCCCATGCGCTGTGACCTATCTAGGGTATTTACAAAATCACAATATACAAGGAAGGAAACCAAAAAAAATGTCAAATTTTAAATCAAGTGCTGACAAATCATTCTTTGTTCAAAACGTTGGACACGGGTGGCCCTGTCGTCTATGGCGCTGCAATTCGTTGTGTAGCGTTCCGTCTCTTGGGCACAGCAGAAACGTATGATTGTGGATTCAAATTCATGTTCGCCCCGATTATGTTTTAGGTTTGTAAGCACCATGTCCGTGCTTGTGGGTCTCATCACAGTTGTCAACGTCGTGCATCACTTCGGTTTTCTTCTCACTTTAAGATGATACGCCGGGATAAAACTGGAATAATATTCAAAAGGGGCGTTAAGACCCAATTTACTCACTCACCCACTCGAAACGTATGTTTCGGCTTTGCACATACAAAAAGCTGTAATTAAGCTGTCACCATACGTAATTCAACAAAGTTTGTTAAAAACGTAACTTGCCCATTCGCTGTTTCCGTTTGAAGCATGGTCTGGCAAAGTATGTATATTATAGGTATGTCAGTCATCTAGATTAACTATTGCAAAATAAGAACGTGTATTACTGTCATTCATTATACTTAAAACATATCATTTTGTCTCTCTAGCTTTCGACGCAAACAGTGGCTTATGTGTTAAAGCAAAGTATACCACCGCTGAGAACGACTGCAAAGATAGAAGCAATGGAATATTCAATATTTCGGACTTTGCAACATCAGAAGGCGGACGACAGGCTCAAGATGTCGTAGCTAACCTCACAGAAATTTGGATACGAGGAAACAAGGACGGTAAATTAAAGCATTATGATTTTGTATATCGATCACTGATATTTAAGATAATGTATAACACTTATACCTGTAATATGCATAATACTGAACGCTTAAACAGCATGAGGATGCACGGGTGGCCCAGTCGTCGTCGGCGCCGCGATTCGAAGTGCAGAGTTGCGTCCCTTGGGCACGCCAAAAACCTATGATTGTGGGTTCGAATCCCGGTTCGCCCCGAGTAGGTTTCTAGGTTTGTCAGCACCATACCCGTGCTCTTTGGTTTCACCGAAGTAGTAAACGTCTGAGACCTGCATCACTTCGGGCCTTACTCCCACATTAAGCTGACACGCCGCGATATAACTTTAATACTGTTAAAAGCGGTGTCAAATCCTACTCACTCACTTAAACAGCATGACATATTCCCATGACAGGTTGAGTATATTTTGAGAATCTACTGACATGCTGTAGTCGTAAAGTTTCAACGCATGACACAAACGCAAACGGGTAAATGAAAATGAAACATGAATATGAAACTTAAATAAACTCTCCTGCTTTGTGAGGACCCAATTAATGTATCTGTGTTTGATATGCGTTAAAATAACAAGGGTAGATGCAATCGCTTTGGCAATAACTACATCTTTCATTTATTCGTTTATCATACTAAAACATTTATAGATACAGTAAACAACGTTTATAACGAACACGCTTGTAACGAAACGGCGGATATAAGGAACTTTTGTTAGTCCCGTCCATTTGCTGTGTACATGTTGCATATATGCTTATAACGAACTACGGTTATAACGAACTAAAACTGGTGGTCCCTTTGAGTTCGTTATAACCGTAGTTTACTGTCTTTCCTTCTTCGATGAACATACTTTCATTGTTTGGTATTACGTTAAACTGCAATTTAACCCATCTTTTCCTTTATGCACCGCAGGGCTCTGCTTAACTTATTTTGAGGAACGTGGGGCTACAAATGGATCTGCCTTAAATTCGACAAACAGTAAGCGTTATATAATGTCATTAGGAGTGAGTGAGTGAGTTGTGTTTAACGCCGATGTTAACAGTATTCCAGTTATACCACGGCGTCTCAGCTTAATGTGGGAGGAAAGTCCGAAGTGATACAAGTCTCAGACGTTTACCATTTTGGTGAAACCAACGAGCAGGGCTATGCTACGACAAACCTAGAAACATAATCTGGGCAAACAGGGATTTGAACCCCAAATCATAGGTTTCTGTCGTGCCCAAGGGACACAACTCTGTACAGTGAATTACGGCGCCTCAGATGACTGGGCCACCCGGCACCCCTAATACCTAGGGCAGTGTATGACGTCCCAAATTACATCTGTACACATATGTTTCAGTGACATAATTGAGTGAGTGAGTATGGTTTTACGCCGCTTTTAGCAATATTCCAGCAATATCACAGCGGGGGACACCACAAATGGGCTGCACATATTGTACCCATGTCAGGAATCGAACCTGTCTTCGGCATGACGGGCGAACGCTTTAACCACTAGGCTACCCAACCGCTCCTTCAGTGATATAACCATGGCATACTCCGAGAATATACATTGCGTAATACAACATGCATGCCATGAGTAGTCAGGTAGATCATTACAGGATAGTCTAAATAGGTCGAAGACATGACGTCATATTGCGTTATATACCGTGCTGTAGGGCCATATGATTCAATCCAACGTCAGCCTGATGTGCACACAGTGTAACCTTATAAATCTGGATCCACTTATATCGGAAACACCGTTTCCGCGCGAGAGACCCCACATAATATGTCTGTAACAAGCATTTGTGAATCTCGAAAGGTGTTTATCGGGTCAATATCCAGACACACGGGGCCTGGCATGTACTGACCCATGATTGTAATATTCGTATTTACTCTGATACAGCGACAACCCCTTACAAATTCCAAAACGCCAGCTGTGATGATCTGCATTACTACGTCTGTAAGAGGAGTGCTAGTAAGTATTAATAATTCGTTTATAGCGTTATCACGTAATTTAATTGTTGGTACGTAAAAACATTAAATCTTTTACATATTAACGTACGGATAGGAGCCCTTCTAAAATTGCACGGGATTTTGAAACTATTAAAGCAGCATTAAACCATCATGCTTGTTCACAAACTTAATAAAACATTTCATATTTTGCATGTAAACCTAAAAATGGTACGTATATTGAACGTATGACTGTCCAAAAGAGTGTTACACACACGCGCCTTTTCTTTGTGAGTGAGTGAGTATGGTTTTACGCCTCTTTAAGCAATATTCCAGCAATATCACGGCGGGGGACACCAGAAATGGGCTTCACACATTGTATCCATGTCGCGAATCGAAACCGGGTCTTCAGCATGATGAGCGAATGTTTAACCACTAGGCTACCCCGTCGCCCTCTTTTCCTTGTAGTTTGTTATTGTGAATCTTCATGTATAATACATACAATAATATAGAAGGTTGTTCTGTGGACATGTAGTGCTTGAAGAACATGTGGTCGAAACTGAAGCTGAGACTAAATTGTAATTCCGCGTTTTGCAGAACATCTTTTCCCGCATTGTTGGTTCCACGTTTATTTAGCAGAATATGTACATTCCACAACTTCTTCATTTAGTGTTTGCATTTTCCAGACACAATAATCATTAGCAATGAATAATAGGTTGTTCGCTGTGAGTTCCATCGGTTCAACGTATTTCACTAATGTCTTAATCCCAATATCTATTTGTTCATGGAATCCAGGTTCAAAGTTCCCATATGATGTCACTTGTCCTGAGAGTCAGCTGACATCTTATCAAAGGCCTACAATTGGTAAACCCGAGTCATTTTCAAATAACGTAATGTGCAAGTTTTACTTTTAACTGTAATGTGAAAAAACAGGTGGCGTTAGCTTTCATTCTATTATAGCATCATGACAATGTAGATTCATCCCATTTTCAGAGCTATTTCCCAACGTCTCCAATTTATTCGTTTGTGAAATTGTTGTAAGGTTACCATAGTTGCCTGTGTGATGTTCTGCAACGATGTACTCTCATACAAAGGCACGTGCGCGAGGCACAACTTTAACGCATTACACACACTGGTGTCATAAAAAACAGGCTTTCACATGAGTGTATACACGTATACTTCATATAACTTCCTTACTTTGTATTTTTCATTTGCAGGGTTTAAGAGTCCGTTGATTATTTCCATGGTGTGCATCTTCGTTGTACTTGTCATTGGCATCATTGCAGTGTATCTCATCGTCAAAAGGTAAGCATGGGGATTTGACGCTAACATGTTCAGTGTTTTATAATGACTTCTTCTGCAACAGTACCATCTAAAAAGACCCACTGCTACCACTCAGATATTCGAAAACAGTACACATTCTGTACTCTAAACATATCTAAAAATTCGTTTGGAGGTTCTCATATTTGCGTTCACAGAACCCTGTGTATGAACCAGCAATCATGCTCCTGGTATCCTTGTAGACTAGGTCCTGATGGGCGATAGCGGTTAGGTTCAACGCAGGCGTGGTAATACTGGGTCGGCAATTGGTCATATCTTGGTATTCTCTACAGAATACGAGGTGAATACGAGGTGAAAACGAGGTGAATACGAGGTGAAAGAACACCTCGTAGTCACAAGTCCTTGGTTGGTTACGATTTCGGATCTCCGTCCAACCTCAGTCGCCTTGTGGCCACAGGGAGTCGATTTGTCCATTGAGGTAACTATTGATGCAACTATAGAGATACATACCAGATACCTCGTGTCCAACTCTCGATTTGTTCCCTGACAACTACTGATACAGTTCTTGAGACCGATGCCAGATACCTGGTGTCCAGTTGTCGATTTGTCCCCTGACAACTACTGATACAGTTCTTGAAACCGATGCAAGATACCTCGTGTCCAGTTGTCGATTTGTCCCCTGACAACTACTGATACAGTTCTTGAAACCGATGCAAGATACCTCGTGTCCAGTTGTCGATTTGTCCCCTGACAACTACTGATACAGTTCTTGAGACCGATGCCAGAAACCTCGTGTCCAGCTGTCGATTTGTCCCTTCTGACAAACAATGATGTTGTTGCAAAGCCAGAATCAAGATAAAGGAGTTGAACATTAAGCTTGAGAACAAAGCTGTCGAAACTACCTTTAAAGTATCAAATGTCCCCTGAATACATATTATACATAAGTAATAAGAAATGTATCTGAACATGCTTCTTGTTAACACACAAATGTGTAACAGATTAATATAAACCTGAAAGGCTAAATATGGGATCTGTTTGGTAACAAACAGGTCATCAATTCATCCATTTAAGTTTGAACACTTTTTTTCTGAAAAGAGTTAATAGCACAAAGCAAAAATAGAAAATATCCTTGTTACGGACGAGGTGGTATTTGATGAAATTAGATTTGACATCAAAATAGCTGTTTAATTCAACACGAAACTGAAATTACCCAAAATACATTTGAAACTACCAAGTATAATGAGGACCTCACCCACACACAAAATACAACTTTCTTGTTCTTATGATTATCGCCATGCGCAGTTACCTACGTATGTATTGCTATGCAACACTCGGGTTTATCTTTCAGGGAGAAGAATGGAAAAACGAATGGGACACCGTCGCAAGCAGGTGATGCTCTATACATGAGAAGTAACCCTGCAGATAACAGGGAGTCTGGTCTCCACACAGAAGGTAATGAAGCTGGCAACCACGACAGCCTCACATCAGTTCAGGCCCAAGGTCCTCTAGGTGCTGAGGACGAGGGTGTGGACGTCGTTGTAGTACAGTGTGAAGACCCTAGAGAAGCGGACGACCTTCATGACAACCCTTTATACGTCCCTTACTGACCTGCAAACTAGGGACGCGTGTATGCCTGACGGCTATACAGTGTAAACCACACTGAGTCGGAATGCTACCAGACAGGTATACATAATCTAACACACAGAAATAACAGTTGAGGGGATTCATACTATTCATGTACGTGTGATTTTGCAAAAGATCAACATTGTGCGTTCAACAACGAACAGGGTAAACGTTGTGTTGCTTTTACATAACGCTATTTTATGTCAAAAGATCAACATTGTGCGTTCATACAATCTTGTATACTTGTTCACTTGTTAAATATAATATATACAAAACTATGAATACTTGACAACGCAGTAGTAGTCAGTAACTTCCAATCATTAATGATTTACAATCATTATTAGTGTGTTTTTCACTCATGGCGTTAAGTTTATGTAATGGTGGTTTACAGTAAGATATATGTTTTTGTCAAGAAGGATTCTGAAAGTAAACATTGTTAAATTTCTGGTTAATGTTGCCGATCACTTCATTCACGAGAATTCGTATATGTTTAACTAAATAATTATTCTTCTGGTCGAAGCAACAACAGCGGACAGGGTAAACGTTGGTTTGCTCTCACATAACGCCATTTTCTGTCAGTGTGGTATCCTTCTGAAGATTTCATCTGTTACGGAATCCAAAATTTTAAGAGTTGGATTTGGTGCATAAGTGAAGGAATTCCCAGTACATTAAATATATTGACTATTTAAACGAGAACTATAGTTGTGCACTTCCGCGTTATTGTTAATTTAATTATAGTAGGTTTTTTTTTACACAAAAACCGAATAAGTTATAGAACATCCGACAAAACAGGATATTAGATACTGACAGAATACACCATGTATATATGTACATATGATTCTCTTAAAATTAGAATGTATATTTACATTTGTATACATGTTTACCCCTTGAACTGTTTTATGATAATTGTTGACATGTGTATTTTGCTGTAGTTTGATGCTGCTTTGCGTTTTGTTGGGCTGTGTGATATCCCTGCAGTTATCTTTGTGTCTCAATAATTTGAATGCTATGGAAATATGGTGATTGTACTTATTCCTTCTTATGTATATAATTATAATATACGCCGGCTGTATTGAGGATATCTAACATAACAGCCTAACGTAAACCTGGCCTGTACAGTCAATCAGTAGATATTGAGTTGATACAGAATGTGTCACTATGTTGTACAATGGCACACATTCTTTTTTTTCTCTCAACTGGGAAACATATATTTTTGTTGTTCTAAATAATAAACATACGTTCAAACACGATCCGGGGCGGCCGGGTAACCTAGTGGTTAAAGCGTTCGCTCGTCACGCCGAAGACCCGGGTTCGATTCCCGACATGGGTACAATGTGTGAAGCCCATTTCTGGTGTCCCCCGCCCTGATATTGCTGGAATATTGCAAAAAGGAGCGTAAAACCATACTCACTCAATCAAACACGAACCTGGCGGGTGTGCTGATCGTGTAATTATTCCTGCAGAGAGGAACAGGTGCATAATTGAATCCAAAGGAATAATTTGCTTGTTTGGAGGATGTCACCGGGTCATTGAATCTACCCATGTAACGTTCTTGTGTGGCACCGCTCCTTCACTTACTTTCCGACACCGCTCGGCAACGTACGGCTATCAGTGTCATTGCACTCCAAGTTATGGAATTAGCGACCCGACTACTTCATTCTCTGTGACTTAACGGCACTCTACTTACATGTATTGACTTAATGTTTGTTATCTCCTATATGCTCGCTCCCTTATTCCTGTATTGAAAATGGTTTTGTAACTATGATTTTCAGACATTAGGGGAATTTGTATGTATACTCAGATATTTATCATGCATTTATAATCATTTTTGCCTCCTCAATATGTATACATAGCTTGTTGTAAATCTTTAATGATTCCGGTGGATAGCTTATGTTCAGCGCTTCATATTGATACTTACATCTTCAGTATGGATATCGCAGTTAGTTTGCTATTCGTGTTTTCCCCATGTTTAGAAACACGCGTTGGCTAAGCACTTCAGATTACTGTATTCCCCACCTGTCTTGGAGAGATTGCCCTCTCTGAAGTCCGCGCGCTGTATGTATAAACTTCTTCAAGCTCTTGTGTCTTTACCCCCAGAATTCGTTAGGCCGTTTTACGGTCGATTTGCTCTTGGGCGGTTGCTTCGAAACTCAGGTTTTCCGAGCACTGTTGATCTAGTACTGACTTACTCTGGTTGTATTGAGCTAAACATAGTAACTTGTGTTTCCAGTACTCAGTTTTTCTAGTAATCCGTGGAAAAACTAACCTTCCCGTGATTGTGAAGCTTCAGTCGATTCGACTAGTTTGTTATTCAGACGTTCTCGTCTATTTTATAGTCCAAATGACTTTTTTTAGGGATAGGCCCTCGTTATTTCCCGTTATTTAACCTAGCTAAGGTTATACCCTCATTAGAGTTATGAGATAATTAACTCAGGTGTTTATTGGTCGCAGCCGACTTAATTGGCTGTCTAAGGATCTGGTCGGAATCTTGTCAAAGTGATGCTTTATTTACTCTAATTTTATTACTGTAATACAGTTGCTTAGCTAAGCCGCTTGTGTATTTTCTCTGATTTTATTAATCAGAGAGCTTTGTCAGCGCAGATTTGTGTATTTAGTCCTATTATTGCCATCTATTGGTAATATTAGTTGTTAATAATAAACCTGTGAACCTCTCACCACGTTTTCATTATTGCTTAATTCTTGTTGAATGACACCCCTGATCATTGGAGCACATCTCCGTGACAGGGGGACACCTGGTATCATCTTTATTTCATACGGATTCATAAACACGGGTTCCCGGTATAGTCGGAATCGTACAATGGAGTCAGCTTACATCAGGAATTTCTTACAATAATATTTCTTACACGTTCTTCTTCACTTTTTAGCAGCTGGATCTATGCACAGACGTAATGAAAAAAAAAATTCGGGTTTAGTGTAAACAAATCACCATGTGTGGTATCGTGTGATATTGATTTTTGGTCCATCTCTTGATTGTCTGGTTTGTTTACAGGCCGCCGTCGCATGGCAGGAGTCTTGCTGTGCGGCGCCAGGCAACAAACGCTTACTCCTCATGCTGAGGGGTGATGGGTGCTACCAGTTGAGCAGGACATGCTTAAATGCATGGCAGACATGCTTACCCTTCACACGAACACCTGGTGTCATCACTGACTTTGTGATCCATTCATATTCTTTTCACTGTCTTGTTGGCACAAAGGAATGTGTATCGGGGGATAATCAAGATTGGTTTCCCTGGCGCTGACAGTTACACGAGCTCTTAGAAAAGAACGCAGTTCAATTGTGTAAGAAATCAGTGGATTTTTAAACTTTGTACACCACTATCCCACACGTCAAACTTAAAATAAAACGTCAGCCTTTGTTGTTGGTAAATATGTCACTGTACGCGGGTAACATGAGTTGTTTCCCTTAGATATAGCTTGGCAACGCAGATACACGCAATGGACGAACGATCACATAGGCAAGTGAGATATGTCAATCTGTCAGGGGACAAAAGGTACAGATAATGTCACGCACATTTCCTCTATGTACGATTTATGTAACCCACCTATTCATAAAATGAACTTGTCCGACATTGCCGAGATCGGTTTGTATTCAGGGAGTCATCATTATTTACATAAGAGTAACGATTTCTAAATCATGTATATTTTATTGACATCACTGAAGAAGCTGTAAATAATGTTCATATCTCGGTCGTTGTTTGTCATACAATAAAACACTGCTGCACCCATTGTAGTTTATTCTGTCTGCAGTAATTTATTGTACGATAAACAACTCCCCTCGTCGTGTATTTCTTATACACACACAGACACACACATAAACACACAGACAGACAGACACAGACACACACACACACACACACACACACACACACACACACACACACACACACACACACACACACACACACACAGACACACACAGACACACACAGACACACACACACACACACACACACACACACACAGACACACACAGACACACACACACAAATATACGTGGCTTATATCCGGTTTAATTTACATACGTATGAAATAAACAATTATCAAGTCGTAGCGAAACCAGACTTTACCTTTGAAAGATTTCCTTATGTTTTGAAATGTATCAAAATAGCATTGCAAAATTACTAATATGTACACCCTAGTGTTTTGTATACCAATTCGTGAGCCAAAAATCCAGTTTTATTTACAAAACAAAATGACCCAGCGAAACGAAACCAGCTTATGTTCGTACAACTGGACAGCGTCTGTGGTCTTTGCACTCGAGTCGGACGCGCGCGTACGAAATGAAGTTCGGTAATCAGGTGCAGTGTTTGTACTTTAGAAACATGTGTTATTTAGTTTAAAAGTAACTTAAAACCTATAGGCATAAGTATACGATATTTAATTGAACATTTTATGTACATAAGCAATAAAACAACAAGGTAGCGGTACCTCAAACTAGAGCTCGACTCAGCTTAACCAAAACAATAGGTACGTACAGAACTAAACTAAATCGTTAAATCAGTGAATAGCCACCCGTGCCCCCAGTGCAGTCACGAATGTCCAATAATTTGCTACAGGTGAATGTCTTGAATGAGGCACGTGTTCCGTTCTCGAATCCAAGAAAAGTGTTGGAAGCAGTCAGAGAAGTCGATCTTTGCCCGATTGGTATCCCATCCATTCTAGACAAGTAGATACGTCGCAAGTCAAGTCCTAGAATCAAGGCCTCGAATCGCCCTGGTCCCGCTCTTGTTTAGGTACAGGCAGACTTCCAGAGATTTCGCGAGCTTCTCGGTTGTCAGCCAACAGCTACAAACAAGGCTGTAGACACGCTCCTTACAGCGCTGTGACGGAGTTTGGTCTGTAAACACAAAGGGATATCACTCTATGTGCAACGGCCAATGTTTTTAGCAAGGGTTCCTTATGATTATGAAAAAGGGTGTTGTCCCTTTTTTTAATTTCCTCTATAGAGATAACAAGGATTTATCATCGCCTGTTGCTTTCCGACACCCAGCTTTATTTAGCGAAGGTTTCACTTTCAGAAGTCCTTCAATACCACCGTCAACATCCTACTGTGAACTGTTAGTGACAGTAATGTGTAGTTTTATTACATTTACAAACATTACGAACTATTAACTTGCATCCTCAAGGATCTTTCTTCTAGAACGGTCATGTCTAAATGTTGATATAATTCATGTGGTTGCTCTAGACTTGTGACGTGTCTCCCATGGTCTTGGTGTACGAACACGCATTGGTGGCCAACTCGTGCAAAGCCTCTGTTGCGTCTTTTTGGCTGTGATTTCTACCGATTTCTATGATCCATACTCGTGCTCATAGGTTTCACAAAAACATAAATCATTACGCCCAGTGTCATCTTTGGCTTTAACGGTCCGTTTAAGTCCTATAACGGACGTACCTTTGAAAGGGGTGCAAGCCAAGACGGCACCTCAGTAAAACGTCACCGATTTCTCGGGCGAAAATGGCCCCTCATTTGGCGAAAACGGCTACTATTTGTCAGGCGAAAACGGCACCTCTATTTTTAATAACGATAAGGACGATTTAGGTAGTAGAATATATGCTTTATTTACAGGCTTTATAATTATGGGTCTACTGGTCACAATTGTCACATGATAGAGCATGTTGATAGAGATCACGTCACTATTGAACATCAATATGACGCCACAAAACAACGGACTCAGATATAGACGGAATCGGTTTCTATTGGATATGGATATATTAGTGGTGTTTGCATGTGACTACGTAAGTTTAATTTAATTTATTTCAGTACCAAGGTAAAAAAAATAGGCTGCCGTTTTCGGCAATAGTAGCTGTTTTCGCAAATCGGTGCTGTTTTCGCAAATCGTTGACGTCTCCTGAGGTGTCGTTTTAGCTATAGCCCGGTGAAAGCGTCACTATGTTTAGTGTGTGTGTATTCAGTTTTGAGGTCATAGCAAAAGCACAAAGGAACATGTCATGGGGGTGGTTTGGCCTTCCTGCTTTCACCATCTATTGCAACCAACGAAACTCGCTCATCAGCGACAGTGTCCCATGTGAAGTTTACATGTGCGCGACCTCTCTCATACACACGGACATTGTGCTTGCCTCTCTGATAAAAATGGCCTGTCCTGGACAAATTGTCGCTGGTTGCATGACACTGGTGTTAATTATGGTTAATGCTAAACACAACGAGAGTCCTTCAAGGGCAGGTACGTTGCATTTTATTCTTTTTAGCCTGTATGCAATCACTTCCATGTCACTTCTGTTACCGACCTACTGAACTGTGGTTTCATAGCAACAGCCCAATAATCCGGAACCCGCCAAACCACGACTATTTTTAGAAAAATAGATATTGATACAATTGGGTATTGACTCCTTAATGTCGACAAAGTCGTAAGTTTGTTAGCCGGAGTATGACGGTTGGAATGGTGTCGTCAGGATACACGTGCAGGATAAAGCGTGGGGTGTCCGGATACAAGAACAGGTCCTCAGCAACCTTTGCTGGTCGTAACAGGCGACTACATGGGTCGGGTGGTCAGGCTCGATGACTTGGTTGAACCATGTCATCGTATCCCAATTGCGTAGAACGATCACTCTATCTGCTCCTACTTTTTAACATCCGTGTCGTCAAGGGTCCTGTCAGATAACTTATATAACGCCCGCCCCTTCAGAGTGCGGCGGTTAAACTGTGTATCAGGCCACAGGCCCATTTTACAATATATATATTCAAGCATTCAAACATGTTGCGCCACAAGTGCATGTAGTAATATCAATACTAATCCGTACAAGGGTATCTGAGACCATATACATATGGTGGTAGAATTAGTAGTTTATATAATGGACAACTGCTTGCTCCTCATTTTAAGAGCAAAGAATGTAAACTTGGCAAGATTATTGATTGTGAAAGCATTACTGGTGGTAAATAAAACCTTACATTTATGCTCTGATGGAGATGTATAATAATAACTTGGCAGAAAGTTTCTTCTAAGATCGTCATAAAACGGACAAACTAAACAAACATGGTATTCTGTTTCTACACTTGGAATGATACAAAATGGACAAAGTCTTTCACACTTTGGAATACCTAACTTTCTACCCTGTGATACCATAAGATCACTGCTCGACGTGCGAAACTGTGAGAGAAACAGTTCTTTCAGCATATCTAGACACTGCATGGGAGCATTCTTAAAAAATTCTATTGGGCAGCCACTGTACCCCGGGGCTTTTCCACAGTGCATACTGGAGATTGCATCCTGTATATCAGACATAGTAATGTCATAGTCAAGTTCATTATCAATATCAGTAGTTACATCAATGAGATTGTCAGTTATACCTGAAATGAAATCATTTACATGAACATAAAAATCAAGTGAGTTTGGATCATGGTTTGTTCCACTAAACAGTTCTTTAAAATGTTCAATCCACACAAGTGGTGTAATGTTTATTAATTGTGATTTTGTTTTTGGTCTCAATAACGACCAAAAAAGTTTCACATTATTAGATTGGAGTGATTGTTCCAGTTTGCTAACAGAGTAAGAAATAGGTATAACACATGGAAAGATATAGGAAGGGCAGGCGATATAGGAATTGAGGAACACAGGAGACATACTGGGTCACTGTTAACCAGGGGTGACAGTAGTTGGTCGAGGGTCAGGGTGCTGGAGCAAAACAATAAAGGTAACATGGCAAGGGAATATACAGGTTGCCAAAGACAAAATAGATTGAGAGAGGAAACGTAGAGGAAATTGCCCTCGGATTCATATATGTTTTTTTGGGGGGGATAGTACAGACTCCGGGAGTCAAGGCGGTCACATTACCACAAGTCCTAAAAAGAACCTAGAGATTAGACAAGAGTGGGCTAGGACGACCTAATGTCAGGGGAGATAGGGGGATGGCCAATGACAATGAAAAAAATGAGTAAGGCCATGACGTAGGTCGGGAGTAAAAAGACAAGGAAACGGGAGGTTCGGGACGGCTGGAGGATCCCACTTGAGCACCGTGGTCTCGTTCTAATATTCGGAAAAGAAACATATAAACCTCCAGTATTTTGACTAGGGACTGAAGCCTTGCGGCCGAAGACTCTTAATAATCAAGTGACCATAGAGTGGGTTGACCAACAACACTAGAGTAAATAAAAGCTGTTGAACGAAGATCACTCTTGGTGCTTGTTGGAGTAACTACGGTAATAGATCCAAGGCCCTCGGGTACTGACATTGTACCTCTCGCTCATCACTGAGCGTCAGCACCAAGAACGAGGGGATTAGTTAGGTCAAAGAGGTACTCGAATTGCCACCCTGGTAATCAACAACAATTACCGTCGATTAACATCTTAAAAATACCTTGGATACGTGGTGGAGATGCGGGGTATTTTTGGGATAGTTGTGTGAACCACACATGTAAATTGAAAATACCAACACCCGAGAATAATCAGTCTCAGTTATCTGCCGAAACAGATTCCATTGGGCGTAAAAGTCAACATAATGATGGACATTATGAAAATGGATAACTGAAACTTAGTGATGTCACAGAGTGTAAGGCATTGCTATACGATCGGTTAAATATATGCACAAAATAAAACATCAAAGTACCGAAACTGATACTAAATATGTCCGTGAGTGTCTTTAAATGTTTTTTAGAAATTCATGAACAACATTGAATACAGGTGTCATAATACAATAATTAAATAGCAAGTGGTTGAATAGAGAATCTCACCCTCGTGTCTTTTGATATCAAATATATCAACACGAGTTGATAAAAGTGGAAAAATTCCGAGGCTTGCCGAGGCTTTTTGCCACTTTTATCAACGAGTGTTGATATATTTGATATCAAAAGACACGAGGGTGAGATTTTATTTATCATCCAACATCATTCTTCCAACTTTTTTCAATTTGTAGACAGTAGTAAGCAGTGTGTTCAGTGTAAAAAGTACTGCAAACAGCTTCGGTAGCAGAGACATTAGTGATGTCATTTGATTGTGACGTCATGGTAACCAGTGATGGCACAATGGTCTGCAAAGCATTGTGATGTAATTTCATTGCAGTGATATCTACAGTGTAGATATCGCTTGATCTAGTCCAAGCGATATCTCCTGTGGGAGCAAGTTTTGGATGATAAATGGCATTTGCTTTACTAAGCAAGCATTTATTGTTACGTTTTTTATCCAATAAACCTAAGTAAAATAAAAGTAGGCGACGCCCACTAGCGGAGTATTCTTTCCTGATTGGCTGATGACAGGGTGGGGGGGACTTGGGTTGTATTATTGCGTTGCATAAGTTAAGAAATAAACGACGAAGGAGTTGTTTATCGGGCAACAAAACACTGTAGGGAACACGAGTTGTATGTTTCTTATATGAGATACCAAACATATTTACAACCACTTTAAGGATACGTACCCGGAAAATTGTTACCCTTATTTAAATTCAAATAGAATCCGAACCCTCAATATACAATTATACAGACAATCCAAAGATAATGATGTTTAAACATCGATGCAAATATTACCAAGAAGAGGAATGTTTTATTGATATGTCCAGTATAGGAAGATATAAGAATCAAATACCTGCCTAACTATTAGTATACCTATCCATCACAAAGAAAATTTGTACAGTTATTGAACACTAACAATAGCCATATTCTTCTCAGACTTGCAGTTTTTTATAAGATATTTGAAAGAAGGATAATATATTAAATATTAATAAAACTGTGTTCACCTATTCCGCTACAATCTCACCAGTATACAAGTGATGCTCCACGGCGACTTGTCCTGCAGCCAAATGTCATTGTACTATTGGCCTCATAAATCTGTCTGTCTGTCGATCTCTCCATTTTATAAACAGGGGGGATGAGTGTGGTGTTTCCGAAATACTCTCACACAACATCAAAACAATGGAGGGACAGTCGCTGTACCATTTCTTCCATTTATAAATTGTAACATCTCGCCGATGTTTGAATGCGATCGTTAGACCACTGCGTTTATCTGTGCCGCCCTGCTACATCTAAGGAGAAGAGTGACTCGCTACCCTCACATAAATGGCGTCGTCAACTTTACGTCATCCAGTTGCGAGCGTACACTGTTCGAATCATCAGCTATGACGTCATGATTGAACAATGGTTTATCATTAACAAAACCACGCTTTTTTCTCAATTGTTCTTTTCGATTTATGGAGTAGCTAACAGTCAATAATAATAACTTCACAGACTTCATCAGATAAATGAAGTCCGTGAACGTATTATTATTGACTGTTTTATGTATATAATTAATTCCAGTGGACATTTATGGAAGTATATAAGATAGCTACCCCATAAATCGCAAAGAACAATAAAGAACAAAGTGTGGTTTATGTCACGATAAAACATTGTTCTATCAGGATGTCAGCTCTGGAGATTCAAATATGCTCTTGTAACTTGATGACGTCATGTATGGGACGACGTTATGTTTGAGAGGGAAGTGTCTTGTTACTTGTTCCCCATGTCTGATGCTGGGCTACGCAGATAAACGCAGTGGCCGAACGATCGCATCCAAAATAGGAGAGATATGACAATCGGTATTAGGAGAAAAGTTACAGATAATCGACTTGAGGATTGTGAGAAAATGCGGGAAATACCAAACTGAACCCACCTGTTCGTAAATTGATTTGTCAGACATTTCCGAGGTCGAATTCTATTCAGGGAGTTATCACAATTAAAATGTGGGTAAATATTTTTAAAACTTGTATATTTTATCAACATCCTTGAAGAGGATGTATATAGTGTTGATATCTCATATGTATTTATCTACGCCCCTCATGGTTTATTTTCCCTGCAGTGTCCTAATGTACGATCAACAACGGAGCTCCCATGTCTCGATTCTATCTTAAATAAACGTACATCTCGGTGTCAGTACGCGGATTTACAAACCGGCTTTTACGTTTATGCCTCCATTAACGCAAACAAATATTATTGAAGCCAATTTCTTAAATTTAAAGGAAAATAGGTCTGATTTCCCGACCTGATAACCTATTACGTTTTCGTGTAGTGAATGAGAGCTTCCATGCGTCGTGCATCCCTGTGCACTGGGCCGCAGCTGAGATGATGTGCAAGAAGAAACAAGGCGCCATATTCGAGCTTGACGATCTGAAGCATAACTACGGTCAGTCAGTCTTGCAAGCAGCGCTGCAGGATGTTGGGGAAATGTGGATAAGCAAGGACACAAACGGTAATAAACAAATCATGGTATTGTTTCACTTTGTTTCAATGAACAACGTATTCGGGGACCAGGAATGTACACGTATTCGGGAACTAATACATTAATAGAAAGATGATGCCCTTAGCGGCTCCTAAGAGTATTTATTGGATGAGTTGGATATGTGTTCGCTTTGATTAATATTCAAGTTAAATATCTATTCGAGGACCGGACAAAACACGCTTGTTGCAAGAGGCGACTATATTGGATCGGTGACGTGATTACGTGTAATTTAAAAGAAGACGAACCGATGATGTGTCTGGTGCAAACTCGGTTATGGTATAAACAGGTCGATTGATATAGCTGCCTTTGAAATTCATGCTAGTCCGTTCCCCGAGACTGCTAATTTGTGCTAGGGACAAGCAGAAATCCAATGATGGCAGTTTTCTCATTGACTAATAGCTTTCAGAGCAAAGGGCTGCTTCAAAATGCTTCGATTTTTCTACAAACTGGGACTGGATAAAACGAATAGCAAATGTTAAACATTGTAAACGCATCCAGTCTGAGGAATAGTCTTAAAATTGTTTTCCTTAAATTAATTTCTAACTTAAAGGCTGCTGACAGACTGACACCATCATCATCTGTTCAGTCAGTGTCAGTCACAAGTAACAGTACTAACAAGATGCGTGAAATAATCTCTCCTGACGTCACAGGTGGGTGTATGAAGGCTGTCAAATCCAAGAAAACAACCGACCGGGTGTCAAGTAAGTGGATCAATATATGATAGGAGTAGCAGTACATATTGGAAATATATATAGCATGTCTGTCCATGTGAGTGAGTGAGTGCGTGATTACGGTTTTCCACCGCCTTTAGAAGTATTCCAGCACGGTGGAGGACGCCAGAATGTAGAATTGAGAGTGTAATGCATAGGTACAGACCTCCCTCGAAAACAACTAAATGCGATACCATACATGTTACTCTGGCATTAGCATACGTTATTGTACATGGTAGCTGGGATTAGCGTCCATTAAGGGAATTATTCCGGCGGACTAGGTTGGTTATGAGACCGCCTCCGTGGTCTGGTGGTAGAGCGTCTTTCCGAAGTGCGGAAGGTCCGGGATCCGATCCCGCTCGCGTCATACCGAAAGACGTTGAAAGATGGTACTTGTTGTTACCCTGGCTGGCGATCGGAATTAAGGGACCAAAACAAGGGCTGGTCGTAGTCGGTATACTGTGTCTGAGTGGGGTAATCATGTTAAACTGCGGCATGGTATCTCAGCACTATAAAATCGGCATCAATCCGGACTAGTATAAGCAGACACACACACATGGTAGAGCGCATGCTGCAGATATAAATATTTCCTGACAATTCATTGAACAGTGTATAAACCTGGCCCACAACAGCCAACTGTAGGCGGTTAGATATAACCTGATGTATCAAGGGGATTCGTCAGTATTTAATTCTTAAATTGATAATGGGTGTTCCAATATGAGTATGTTTCCGAGCCAATATAAATTTGAAACTTCCTCTATCAAATTAATATTTCATAGACGTTATTGCGGATAAAAATAAGATATTACATCGTACCCCAATTGCGTAGGTCGATGGCCATTTGGTCAATCACTGGATTGCCTGGTCAAGACACTATTATTTATAGCCCACCGTCATGAAGCTGGGATATTGTTGAGTGCTTTAAGCAGCTTGCAAAAACACGGAGGTGTGCTCATTGTATGACTGCCTAACATGTACATCACACAACTCTAGAACTTTTTGTATAACAGGTGCGGATGAAGCCGACCAGATTGCTTTCAAGAAAACCAGCTGCTCTGAATTACATTAATATCTCTGCAAACTGAACATGAGTTAGTATACTTCAATCCAGTTAAGAGTGGGTGAGTTAGGTTTAACGCCGCTTTCAACAGTAGTCCTGTTATGTCACAGCGTGTCAGCTTAATGTGGGAGGACAGCCCGAAGTGATGCAGGTCACAGACGTTTACCACTTCAGTGAAACCGATGTGTACGGGTATGAAACCTAGAAACATAGTCCACGATCATACACAACTAATTGTGGCGCCATAGACGCCTGGGCCACCCGTGGCACACACATCCCATCCCCAACCCCATCATTGCCGCGCAACCAACCATGCATCAGTCATTGCAGGGCTCTTCTGCTGTCATTTTATGTTTTTATTGATGATATTGAGATTATATAATTTGGCGAGCGTATGGTGTCGTTGGTGTACATACTGTCCCAAGAAAGAAACACACAGGGGGAAAATAAATGTTGAATTTAGGTGGCCGCCACCTATCACAGTGAGGAGCTTTGACCGCTGTGAGGAGCTTGTGAATGTAAGTTCATAATCGTAACCAATCGCCAAAACACACAGCCTGATGAAACATCACCCCCAAACACGTCATTTTGCCAAATGCATGAACATTTCACGTGGAAAGGGATCCACCGTTTCGCGCCTTTGGAGGCGTTACCAACAGCTTGGATCCACCCACGACTTGTCTCGAACGGGTAGGCAGGTTTAAGATCCCAACTGCGGTGCAGGATCGTTACATCCGGGTTTTCGATCTTCTTAACAGATCGGTCCCAGCAATTGAATCCGCAGGAAATGTCCCAAGTGTACGGCACAGACAACCTGTGAGAAGACCTTATGTTGGACCTGTGCTGCAACGTCATCATCGCCCGTCACGTGTTCGATGGTGCAGACCAAAGTTGGAATTGGAGAAATTGGCGATGTATCACGTTTCCTGTTGCAACGTCGTCATAGTAGAATCCGACAGACGTCGAAATGAGCGCTACGCCCGTTTGTTGTTGAGGTGGACAGATTTGGAGGGGGAAATGTGATGATGTCGGCCGCCATTTCCTACAACCGCAAAACCGACCTAGTGCACGTGCAAGGGAATCTTACCGCCCCTTTTTATAGAGATGAAATCCTACAACGTAACCTAGCTTCCAGTTATCGATCGATAGATAAAATGTTTTTAACAGGACAACGTCAGACCCCACCTCACCAATCAGAACATCACAGTGCTTCCATAGCCGTCTAAATCCCCGAATTTAAACCCAATTGAGCACTAATGGACAATCTCGATCGACAAGTCCGGCGACGTCAACCACGACCCCAGACGCTGCAACAACTTCGGCGAGGTTTGCAGGAGGAATGGGTTAGAATACCCCAGGCTCGGATCCGGAGACTTATACTGCCAATGCCCAGGAGATTCCAAGCAGTGCTACAAGCTGATGGTGGTCACAACAGATACTGACGTCAAAGCCGCCGTCAAGTGCAGTGTTACAATTGTGGTGGCATTGAGTTATGTCATTAGCTGCAGCTGACCATTGACACTAATCATGTGATACTTGACATCTGTGTGATTCATTTTCGCTTTAGCTTCATTCATCATTAAGGTTTTCTTTTTTAAAACTAACCCATGAGCGTTTCTTATTTAGGAGAGTATATATTTCATAATTCAAGTTAGGCACAATTCGAGGTTCAGTTTCGCTTATGTATGTTAGAAACCTTTGATCGGAGGTTCGGTTCCCATATTTACTGGGTTTGTCAGCACCATCTTGCATCATAAGGCGTGCGGTTGACAAAATGGGATTAGGCTGAAATACTGGTATAAGTGAGATGCTGATCAAACCTGCGTTAAGACAATCTCACACACTTACTCACACTTCATGTATTGGTTATTCATAGCATCCGAAGAGAGGAGTCAGGCCAAAGGTACGTATTTATGTTTCATAGAGCATGCAAAGGCGAGACAGTCGTAACTGATGTCCTTATGACGGTAGAAGATGATGTTTAATCCTATAAATCACTTTAGGAATACAGATACCAGGTATCAATTATCTCACTGATATTATTGTTACATGTGAAGGAGGAGAGGTTGTGAGACACATTTAGCTGAGAAGGAGAGATTGAGACCAAGTCTACTTAATAATCATTGTTAATAGAAATGATTACGGCAAATAGTTTATTGTTGATCTCCGTACTCATACTCTGATAGCTACAGTTCAGCGTATTTATGCATTAAGGAAGCGTATTCTATATTCGATATGTTCCCGTAAGAAGCCTAACATCATTATTTCTGTGCATTGGTTTAGATTTAAAGCCACATTACGTTCCTTGTCAAGGTCATCCTGCGAGTTCAGGTAAGGTCGTCCTACCGACATCCTGTGGTTAAATGTAAGACGACTATGTGTGCTTAAAGGAAGATGAATCGTTGAGGTATGACAACGGTGACTAGCATCTTAACTAAGCCTTTTGTAGCCATGCAACTGTTCTATTTCTGAATGACGATAGCAGAGATACTGTAAGTTCCCACGATCAATTGTCGGGGATCCTAACTTTAGTAGCTGACGACCAATAGCCTGATTATATAATTGATATAATTGTGCTTTTGCGTAGTAATTCCACTTTTAAATGCTATAAACTTGTTTCACAAAAATGGGTTATAATGCCAGTTATTGAAGAGTCCATCGTTCACATATATTAACATATTTTTGTTATTCATATGTAACTTTTTCTAGTCAGCATATGGCTGAAATATTGCCGATGTGCCTTAAAATTTTAACTCGCTTACTCACTCTTACTGACGAAAACCGCAACTGACACAAAATATACTCATAAACAGGAGCGAACATAAAATCGGGATTAAGTGTTTAGATTATAGATATTATACATTACTATAGATAAGTCATTACAACAGCATTTGAGTGATGCGACCCCAAATGGTAATAGAATGATAATTTTTTTACACATCCATGTACGGAATCCATGAGTGTTTTATTAGGTCATTAATGAATTCGTTTTAGTTAAAAGGTTATTTGAACTTTGTATGTACGCTTTTAATCAAATGATGTACTCACAAACGTTCATATTTTTTAGGCTATATCTACATGACCTTGTTGGGCGTCGGACTTGTACTCGTCGTTAGTATCATAGCCGTCTACCACTCAGTCAGAAGGTAGGTAGGGCATTTGGAAGGTGTATGTTGATTACTAACTGCTACTGTTAACGACGGCCTAATGCAACGCAGTTCGTTGTGCAGAGTTGCTTCCCCTAGACGTACAAGGATCCCTGGTGGGTTGGAGTCCCTGATTCGTCCTAATTCTGATCTTTAGTTTGTCAACATACCCGACGTCGTATTTTCGACCTCCATATATAGCTGACACATCATGTCATGTCAACTGAAATTCTGCTCAAAGAACCTCTCCCTCTCCTTCTCTCTGGCATGCCCCAAATATGTGTATAATCACATACTTTTATGTTTGGAGCGGAGATTATCTAAAGTGATGGCATAATCTTTCAGACTTGGTGGCGCTGGTGGTCGATTGACCGGGGGTCACTCAGATGGTGGTCAGGACCTCAATGATACCCAATCTGACCATGATGCTGACATCAGAGATCTTGAGACTGAAGATGGTGACAAAGAGATTGGTTTCCCTGTAGAACAGATTGATCAGCGTTCTGAAGATACTGATAACGGTTCTTTGCTGGTCGACGAAACGTTTGACACGTATGAAGATTTTGCTGCTGAAACTGACAACCCTGGTGGCCACCTCAATGACAGTCTGTCAGACGATGGAACTGCCGTGGTGTCCGACTGCTACGACAACGTAACCTACCACTATGATTAGTGAAGTGAACTTTCTTAAACGCTGGGAAATTCAATGATTACAATAATCATGTTAGAATAGCATGTCTGCCTGAGTTAGACACATAAGTACAACAACTTCATCACGTTTGTGTGTGTCCGTGGGTACGTGTGTGCGCATGTGCTTCTGTGTGTGTGTGTGTGTGTGTGTGTGTGTGTGTGTGTGTGTGTGTGTGTGTGTGTGTGTGTGTGTGTGTGTGTGTGTGTCTGTGTCTGTGTGTCTGTGTGTGTGCAACATAAACATGATGAAGGTAGATAACCTTGTGATAACTTGTTCATAAAAATACTTCATTAAAAATCCAATCTAACAGATAGTAACAACAGTTTTTTACATGTGTATATATTTTCATCCTTTATCATCTTTTTTAGTTTGTATCTACTTATTTTGTTTTTCTGAGTTTAATATCAGCCCACAACACTGTCAAATCTGATACCATTTACAGCCACTGTGATTTCACCAGCTTCACAGGAGTTCCCCTTTCGTTGTATAGACACACCCACAACCTGGTCGTAGTAATGTGGGCGGTCAGGTAGCCTAGTGGTCAAAGCGTTCGCTCGTCACGCCGAAGACCCGGGTTCGATTGCCGATATGAGTACAATGTGTGAAGCCCATTTCTTGTGTCCCCCGCCGTGATGTTGCTGGAATATTGCTAAAAGCGGCGTAACATCAAACTCACTCACTCACTGTTGACTGTTTGACTCTCTCTCACACCTGTAAGTCAAGTTCTACATGTCTTCTGAAAGACTCTTTGGTGCTCTCAAAATCAAAATCCACCACCTTGTTATTGGACGAGCAGACCAGTGACACATGTGTACGTCAAGTGACCAGTGACACGTCTTCTACGTCGTTCTGCGTCAACAACGGAGGCTCCACGCCTGATGCTTTCACATACATGTATATCAAACATGCAAACGGTGCCGCGATCCAGAGACATCTAATCAAATGAAAGAGTACATTATCGCTAATTGTATAAAATAATAGTGACAAATCACTTTCCATTTTCATAAGAAATCTCTGCCACCGATTGTACAATTCCGACTATATCATGAGCAAGTGTTTATGAATCACTATCAAATAGTGATGACACAGGTGTAGGGAAAGATGAGAGCGTATCCTGCCCCACAGGCGTCACCGGTGGTTCAAGATCGTATTGTGTAGCAAAATCATTCATAGTAACGCAGTATGGCGTCATCAGCTGTGAAGACACTATTCAATGCATGTGTGATATGTGCAACTAAAATGTGAATACAAATATTGCTGCTTTTGTCATTACAATGTATACAAAATTACACGATGTTGCACGTGCATTTGATTACTAGTAATGTGGAAATATTAATTTTCGAATTCTGCAATCGACACTGCTTTTGGCAGAGATTTCCGTTGGCTATGGATAGAGTCTTGTCGCTTTTGTTCGTATCTAATCTAATACCCAACATGCTCTTCTAGTTTACACACCAAATATGAACTCTTCATGATTTTAGCATTTGTGAGTGCGCCTTTATTCTCTCCTTACTTATATCAAGAATACAGAATTTATACATTTGCATTATGTTTTTATCTTGAAATAATTTACTTGTTTTAAAGTTTTTCGTTTTTGTGTTATTCTTTGACTATTGTACAGATAGTTTCAGTGCACAATCTCTACTGTGTTTCCGTGCTCGTGTATTAAATATACCATATAAAAATGTAATTTTCCACTTTATCACTATTGTTATGCCATCTTACTTTTACGTGTGAGTGAGTGAGTTAAGATTTAACGTCACATCGGCAGTATTTCAGCCATATCGTGACGATACTTTTACATGAGAACGAATGTGTCTACTTAATTGTAGTCCCAGCACACCACAACATGTTGTTTGTAATTGTTCTGTAAATTTGATTGTTAGTCAACAAAGGATTTGCTTTAACCCAAATACAATGGTTTTAATGAATATCATGAATATAGAAAACAAAACAGCATTGAAATTAATGAGGAAGTTACTGAACGATTTGTCCAACCCAGCTAGTCAGATAATATGTGTTTATTATACAGGAAGTACCTCGTGTCTTTTTGTTTAACAACGGAATTCGAGGTTTCGAAGCTGTGAATATTTTGTTATAATACTAACCTCCTTTTCAGAATGACAGTTTTACTAATACAGTCTTGTCTTATGTCATCGATTAGTCGATAAGTTATAAGTAGTATACTGACTGAAAAAAGTAACTGTGCTTCATGTAAAGTTCAACAAAAATAATTTTATTCTGAAATCAAATGATGCATATTTCAATGTATATTCATTAGAAGACATTTCCTCGACTTTAAGTTCGTGATTCACAGTTTGCACGTGCATGTTCATGCAATGCGCACACATTTTGGTTTTGTGTGTGAACAACACACAATGACATAGGTAATGATTTAGGACCGACGTCAGCTGGGGTTTCCTAATCGGATCTATGTTAGTAATTAAACTTGATGTACTTTCTGACAACCCAATGTTATCTTAAATACAGTTGATTGTCATGACGAAATGTATACAGGATATATTTTGCTCATTCGATCGACAAATTAAACACAACTTTATATTTCCTGTTCAAAACCGGACAACAATGTATTGAAATAGTTGTGACTGCTCGTGACCGTGAGTATCTGACAATGTGCAACATATGAATAGAAAAAGAGTATAATTGTGTTATCAGTGTCATCACGCGTCATCACGCGGTGTTTAAATGCTAAGCAACGTGCGTCCTCTGAAACGTTCAAGCCTTCATCTCCCATCCCTAAGACCATCAACTGTATATACCCTCCACAAAAAGTAGGGAATCATGACATATATATGTTATGATCCGTCGTCAGAAAAAGACCATCTTTGAAAAATGACGAGCAGAGAACGAAAACCTAACACACCATGTGATGTCTCCTTGTGTGCGGGTAGGGGGTTATTCTCGATTTTGACACTTCATAAGCGATACTTTTTGAGGGGAGTATAAACCAATAACCTGACGTTCATAGCAATCACAGAGCAGCGTGGCCGTACATAGATTCCTTGTTGCCAGTCATCCCCAACCTTTCCGCCCAAATCTATTCGTCAAAGTGATGTCAACAAGGAAACTATGTCACTTGCGGACGTCCTCCACCTTGTACACGGACGTGTAGAGGGCGACTTTTAGTATGTTCAAAAGCATTGTTAATGACAGATGGCTTTTCTTTTATCTCTACAATGTGCTGGTTGTGCACTGACGGCTCTGATAGTTGCGTGGGCGGGACTCGTCCACAGTGTTGCAAACAGCACTACATCAGGTTGGTAAACGATCGTACATCCTCGTTCCAATTTAAAGTACTCGTAGTTCTAAAGAAAGTTATACACTGTAGAAACTAAATGAGACTTGCACTATCAGTTATGGTCAGTGTAATCGTTACTTGTCTCTGTTGGGTAGTGCGTGTGCTGACAACCAGTTGGTCTGATCCACACTCCATTTTTTACAGACCGTCGTTCTGTAGTATGAACATTGCACAAAGTCAAATTCGACGATTATGAAAGTAATATTACAAGGCACACATATTCTTAAATATTCAAACATATGTACATAGTATGTCAATTAGCAAGGATAAGTACAAGTATAATCTTATAATGTTTTTCAGTGGGTTCAGTGACACCTGTAACACATTTCTCCACAACTCCAAACCGCAATCCAGGTATACAGTTTCTTAAACGCTTGGAAAATGTCAATTTGTGTTAAGAAATCAGTAACTGGAAACATTATTCATAATAGTACACCTCCATTACATGAATGGTTATACATTACTCTATACCTGTATAATGTTTGTGCTATTAACTGATCTGATGAACAGTTCGTGTTAACTGAACGTATTCCAATCTCTACCTTTGAGGACATGGGTCTTGGAGTGTTCAAATATTGCCACATGAATCATTTGTATAATACGAGCATGTATATAGACACACATTGGAGAGAATTGTGACGAAATCAGAAGAAGTGTGCTTTGCACTAAATGCACCAATTACATGTTTAAACAAATTTTACATTCAGAAAAATATGTATTTGAGTCATCCTGTGCAACTGTCAACTGGTCCCTAGCTGAGACAGCGTGCGTGAAGAAAGGCACCGCCATATTCACCTTCTCTGATGTAGCGACATCAATTGGCAGCCTTGCCTTGAGGAAAGCTCAAGCGGAACATGGAACTATATGGGTCAATATGGACATTAATGGTAATGTCGTGTCGCAGTTTCCAAGAGGGCTTGATACATTTTATCAATCTTTATTGAACATGAATTTATCATCTCAAAGATGAAATTCAAATGCTATACATGGGTAAACCGTAAAACGAATTCAAGGTTTGGAATGTCAAGCATGTGCCATGTGTGTGGCGTATTTAAGGGAGGAGGGGGTAGGGAAGACAGGATGAATGCAGTAAACTGACTAAGATAATGACACCTTCACTTATGCAATTGTATCAGGGGATTGAGTCATCCCACAGATCACATCCTTACCTTGTCAGTTTGCTGACGGGATTAACCTCTTTGGTCATGTGGACAAGGCGTCCGACCTCGGATCAGAAGCTCCGTGGTTCGATTCCTATCACTGGACTCGGAAATTGTATGGCCGCGGCACAATTATGGTGACTTACGACATGCTTATCACAATTCAACAGGTACCTGCTACACCGCAGTGGGCGACAGCATGACCTTCAACAGCACCAGCTGCAGTGACAACAACCACTACCTTTGCACATCGCGATCGAGTACAAACAGCAGTGAGTACACAGGCAATGTTCATAATACCCCTTTGGATGTTTCTGTTTAAATACGTTATGGAGGGTTACATAATGAATACTCAACTACAGTTCTATTCTCTGTTGTGAAGGAGTAGTCTTAGTGATATTAGTAATGCCGGTACCATGACCAGTGCGTTATACGGACAATCTCACTCGAGTATCTTTTGGTGTCAAATATATCAACACAAGTCGATGTTTGAACCTCCGATTCTGCAAAGCATTGTGACGCAATTTAATTGTACCGATATCTCCAAGAAGATATCGTTTGATCTCAATCAAGCGACATCTGTGAAAACCAGTTTTGGCGATAAATTGAAAAGGTATTGGTATAATACGTTACGGTAGCAAATGCGTTTCATGTCACTGTCAGTAGCCCTGCACCATGACTGTGGAATATATTTATTTTATGAAAAGAAAAAATCGAGAAATGTATACAAAAGCAAGTCTAGCCAGCTCTAACTAGCTCTATTCCACATGATATCAGCATAGGGAAAATCATTATTTTTATTTTTAGAGTCGAGAAGGGCATTGTTGTGATTTAAGATTTCATAGACTAAATGTTAGTCTACACTGTCAGTTGATCAGTAAAATATGAAACTTGAAACAGTTTATGAAAGACATGATTCGGACAGATAAACTTTCAGGGGGTACATGAACAGATGGAATTAAGTGCATCAAAATTGCAAACATGTATGTCTGTACATTGACAGGTTCTGAGTGGTACATACCCTGTCCAAACGACTCTTCTAACAAAGGTAATCTCTGTCTTTCGTTTTTGGTCTTGATAAATGTGAATTTGCGTTTTGTTATTGTAATGCAGGTGCTTTTTTACCTTTACAATGTGAGGTGACATAGCTCTTCCAGTAAAGTGATATCGCGTTAAGACCGTGGTCAACACCATGATATTCATCAGGTTCCTTTGCACACACACACACACACACACACACACACACACACACACACACGCACGCACGCACGCACGCACGCACGCACGCACGCACGCTAGCACGCACGCACGCACGCTAGCACGCACGCTAGCACGCACACACACTCACACTCACTCACTCACTCACACAAACACACGTGGAATAGCCTATTTATTTGTACATCTAGTGTACACATTGTGCTATGTTCAGGAAACAATCGCCATTTGTGTTGTTAAACTTTGCTGCCTATTTTTAGAATGTCGACACATCTCTACCGAATAAATCAACATATACGTAGAAATACCACGCAGCTGTAAGAACACAACGACGCGGTTTCGTTTTCACTTTATTTGACACATACCCTGAAACCGCCTCGTTGATGCAGTGAAATGCGGAACAGCATGTGACAGAGAAGATACGATTCGAGGTCATAGATATGTATATCCACACTTATTATTGTCGAGATTTATTTAACTTCCTTGAGGTTCAGTTTTCTCGGGAGGATATTAAACCTATCTTGTTTGAAAATATAATTATATGTAAACATTATAAGATATATGTCAAAATATATTAATGCCTACGTTGCTTCTGTATTAAACTGGAACAACCTGTCCCTGGCATATAAAGTTGTATTAGATAGTTTTTTTTATGGATTGCAATGATGCCTGAACGCAGCCTTACAGTTTGATAAGGAAAATCATAATGACATGTTTTTGACAGATGATTGAAACCCCAATTAATATTGACGAGCCCGTGTGTGAGGTTGAATTAACATGTGAGCCTGTCACACACTTTTCATACAGTTGTACTCCCGAAATGGATGTGAAACAATTTTAATCATTTTATATATACTCTTCAAAAAGAGAAACGCAATACGGATATTTTTTGCCATAAAAGCAATATTAGCGGACCAAGAGGTGCAAAATGAAGAGGTTTAATGTGTTATAGTGTCAGTGACACATGTCCCGGATCAAAATGATCACATCAAGGACATGCAAACCATTAGTCGGGAAACACGTACGATTCGGATAAACGAACCCAGTGCATTAACAAAAAGGGCCATGGAGATGCGCGTACTGCACCTACAGCAGCACTATGAACGGTATTAAAGTGCAAGGTTTTTGATTACCTGGCATCTGCGTCAATAGAACCGTGACAGTTCAACCACATGCCTAGATTAACAGAAGTGCAAAGAAATAAAGTCATACGCCGCTTGAAAGCAGGGGAATCCCGATCAGCTGTAGCCAGTGTTTTCAATGTAGTGACCAGCACCATCACAAAGCTATGGGATCGGTTTCAACAGCATAGGTCAACACGTGATCGGCTAAGATGGGGACGACCAAAGGTAACCACCACCACCACAAGGCAACGGTTTATTCCAGCAGGACAACGCTTGACCACATACAGCACGGATCACAAGAGCCTGTCTACACAACAACAACGTTGATGTTCTTCCCTGGCCCTCCATATCCCCGGATTTGAACCCGACAGAGCACCTGTGGGATGAATTAGAGAGACGGCTACGCCGACGTCAACCACAACCCAGACGTTGCAGCAGTTGGCTTTTGCGCTGCAGGCAGAGTAGGCTACCATTCCCCAGGATGTGATTCGCTTACTCGTCTCTTCCATGGGCAGGAGATGTCAGGCCGCTATCGATTCCAAAGGGGGACATACGCGTTATTTAAGGCTGATCTTCACCTTGGACTTTTCCTATGTACCGATAACTGAGATGACTACAATCACCAAGTGTTCTCTCAACAACATTTTTGCTCAATACCTTGCACTGTTCCTCGTATAAATGTATTTTCCTACCTCACAAAAATCTAGCTTTGCGTTTCTTTTTTTGAAGAGTATATATATGTTCTACTGTCGCAGTTGCTAATACTTATAGTAATTTTTTAAATGTAATTTTCTTCCTAGTATTGAATCATGGTTGTAAACAATTGTAAGATATAGTTATAATACTACATTTTATGCACCCGATATGTTACCTAGGGTTGTGTGTTCACTATTGCATGCTATGTATCCAGGTATTACGCCAGCTATCTTCGTCGCTGTGATGTCGGCCTTCATGTTATCATAGCTCACTCTTTCACAAAACGGTACGACAGTTATTTTCGTGATTTTTTTATTCGTGGTCATGTCAACGGAAATTGATAGATTAATCGACCACTCAATCAAGTTAGAAAAACTGGTAGTTGTTCCATTACACATACAGACACTCTCGCAGCTCAGAAGCAGCGTCAAGAAACTCTGTATCACTTACCTGGAACATCTGTTTCATGAATACCTTTCCTACAGTCCTAACTACATGGGGCGGTGTGGTAGCCAAGTGGTTAAAGGCGCTCGTGTTTCGATAAAAAAACGGGTTCGAATCCCCATATAGGTACAATGTATGTATTACAAAACGGTGTGAAACCATATTCACTCTTATCTTTCAGGACGAAACGTGATGGAATTACTGGAAACGTAGAACCACCCTATGTACGCATGTTCCGTGAAAAGGACACTCAAATCCTTCACAAAATAGCGATTAACGAATTTGTTAACTGATAGTTTCGAATCATCCTGAACAGTATGTTTTCGCCGCAGTTCGCTTTGCAGAGGCGTGTATTGATCCCATCGTGTTCGAATCCACGATTACCACTTTGGAGAAACAAACAAGCTTGTTAAGTTATAGGGTATGTTCATTGGGTCTTCAAGTGTACATTTGTCAATAAACTCAATGAACAACATATAATTTGTTATTCGGTTGTTGGTGTTGTCGAATTGATTATACGTTTGATAAGAATATAACAGCAAGGTGTCAAATTGGTTGTGATCCACTCAAGTAGCCACATAGGTGGGACATGAAGGGTGGTGCATTGACTGTGAAGGGACAATTTATGGAGTATTGCAATGAGCAATTTTTAGTGAGGTACAGTAGGAGCTATTTTTATGATAGGACAGTGGCTATAATTAGCCATTTAAATGGTAGTGTTTTGACAGTAGGAGCCATTTGAAGGAAACTTCATTGGAAGGAGGAACATTTGCAGGGCAGTGTATTGACTGTAAGGAACTATGTATAGAACAGTGCATTGGTTATACCGAACTATTTATAGAACAGAGCTTAGACATGAGGAACCATATACAAGACGGTACAGAAGGAGCCATATAAGGATAGTGCATGGATAGGAGCCATGTATAGGAACGTGCTTTGACATGAGGAGCCATCTATAGGACATCGCATAGACATGAGGAGCCATTTATATGACAGGACAGTGACTATAATTAGCCATTTGAAGAAAGATTCATTGGAAGGAGGATTGGTTGGTTTGGTTGGTTTGTTGTTTAACGCCGCACTCAGCAATATTCCAGCTATATGACGGCGGTCTGTAAATAATCGAGTCTGGACCAGACAATCCAGTGATTAATATCACGAGCATCGATGCACGCAATCGGGATTGATGGCATGCATCAACCAAGTCAGCGAGCCTGACCACCCGATCCCGTTAGTCGCCTTTTACGACAAGCATAGTCGCCTTTTACGGCAAGCATGGGTTGCTGAAGACCTATTCTATCCCGGAATCTTCACGGGAAGGAGGAACATTTACAGGACACTGTATTGACTATAAGGAACCATTGATTTGGCAGTGTATTGACTGTAAGGAACCATTGATTTGGCAGTGTATTGACTGTAAGGAATCATTGATTTGGCAGTGTATTGACTGTAAGGAACCATTGACTTGGCAGTGTATTGACTCTAAGGAACCATTTATACGACAGTGCATTGGCTGTAAGGAACCATTGATTTTGCAGTGTATTGACTGTAAGGAACCATTTATACGACAGTGTATTGACTGTAAGGAACCATTGATTTGGCAGTGTATTGACTGTAAGGAACCATTCATACGACTATGTATACCGAACTAGTTATAGAACAGTGCATAGACACGAGGAGCCATGTTTAGGGTGGTACATTTACAGAATGAGCCATTTATAAGACGGGGCGGTGACTGTAATCAGCCATTTAAAGGGTAGTGTTTAGACAGGAGAAGCCATTTAAAGAAACATTCATTGGAAGGAGAAACATTTACAGGACACTGTATTGACTATAAGGAACCATTGATTTGGCAGTGTATTGACTGTAAGGAACCATTGATTTGGCAGTGTATTGATTGTAAGTAACCATGGATTTGGCAGTGTATTGATTGTAAGGAACCATTGATTTGGCAGTGTATTGACTAAAAGGAACCATTGATTTAGCAGTGTATTGATTGTAAGGAACCATTGATTTGGCAGTGTATTGACTGTAGGGGACCATTGATTTGGCAGTGTATTGACTGTAAGGAACCATTGATTTGGCAGTGTATTGACCGTAAGTTACCATTGATTTGGCAGTGTATTGATTGTAAGGAACCATTGACTTAGCAGAGTTTTGACTGTAAGGAACCATTGATTTGGCGGTGTATTGACTGTAAGGAACCATTGATTTGGCAGTGTATTGATTGTAAGGAACCATTGATTTGGCAGTGTATTGACTGTAGGGGACCATTGATTTGGCAGTGTATTGACTGTAAGGAACCATTGATTTGGCAGTGTATTGACCGTAAGTTACCATTGATTTGGCAGTGTATTGATTGTAAGGAACCACTGGGTTAGCAGAGTTTTGACTGTAAGGAACCATTGATTTGGCGGTGTATTGACTCTAAGGAACCATTGACTTGGCAGTGTATTGACTGTAAGGAACCATTGATTTGGCAGTGTATTGCTTGTAAGGAACTATTGATTTAGCAGTATATTGACTGTAAGGAACTATTGATTTGGCAGTGTATTGACTATAAGGAACCATTTATACGACAGTGCATTGGCTATACCGAACTAGTTATAGAACAGTGCAAAGACACGAGGAGCCATGTATAGGGTGGTACATTTACAGAATGAGCCATTTATAAGACGGGGCGGTGACTGTAATCAGCCATTTAAAGGGTAGTGTTTAGACAGGAGAAGCCATTTAAAGAAACATTCATTGGAAGGAGAAACATTTACAGGACACTGTATTGACTATAAGGAACCATTGATTTGTCAGTGTATTGACTGTAAGGAACCATTGATTTGGCAGTGTATTGATTGTAAGTAACCATGGATTTGGCAGTGTATTGATTGTAAGGAACCATTGATTTGGCAGTGTATTGACTGTAAGGAACCATTGATTTAGCAGTGTATTGATTGTAAGGAACCATTGATTTGGCAGTGTATTGACTGTAAGGAACCATTGATTTGGCAGTGTATTGACTGTAAGGAACCATTGATTTGGCAGTGTATTGACCGTAAGTTACCATTGATTTGGCAGTGTATTGATTGTAAGGAACCATTGACTTAGCAGAGTTTTGACTATAAGGAACCATTGATTTGGCGGTGTATTGACTGTAAGGAACCATTGATTTGGCAGTGTATTGACTGTAAGGAACCATTGATTTTCATTGTATTGACTGTAAGGAAACATTTATAGGGCAGTGCATGGGAATCACTTTCAGAAAGTGTGTACATTCGTAGTCATAAAACCACGTGGCAACTAAACAAACATATCTCTCACGAGCAAGTGGCAAGAGTTGCTTGTTGGAATGTTGCAATGTCTGAGACACTTCTATGAAATAGGTCATTTCTTTTCGAGGAAACATACCTAACTTGAAACTGAAAACTAATGCTTTAAACATTTCCTCACGACAATATGCTTTAAACTGGCAACGCCTACTTTATTGACTACATTGTTGTCATACATATAAATAAACGTAGGACGTGCCTTGAATAGTACGCCGTCCTTCATAAAACACAGTTCTCTTCGTAACAACCGTTTCTCTTCATGACATCCGTTTCTCGTCATAACACTCGTTTCCCTTTAACAAATCCGTTTCACTTCATAACTCTCGAGTCTCTTTATAATAATCGTTTCCTGTCATAACACTCATTTCTCCTCAAAATACCCGTTTCTCTTCATAGTACTGTGCAGCTTACATTAGTCTTTCTAGATAGATAAAGAGATTCACCGGTTGATTTATATCCTGGAAAAATAGAGACATACTTATTTGGATTACACTCTAGAGCTTTCACTCATGATAAAAACACCGAAACGACGTTGATTGTAAATATAGGAGATTTCGAAACAATTCTGTGTCCCTACCAGGAAGACGTGTCACCATTACACCTCTCTTACACGGAAACACACTTTTGCACGTACACGGCACATGGAGGATGGTGGGCACAGTTCTGTCTCCTGTTCACTCTGCTACCCTTGTACGCTTTGTGTTGATACTGATGATGCTGGATAGTTCTCAGCAACTGGCAGGTAGGTTGTGTACATACAACACGACTATTGTGGTTATGCTTATATTTAGATTACGGCTGTGTAGTGGCAAGAGAATTGTGTTGCAAAATAGGGCGATGCAGGTATCCGTAGTGCGATGACATATTGCGATGTAGAGGGAGCTGAAGTGTTTGACAGTGATTGACACATGCAGATCCTATTTTCTACAAATTAAACTAAATATTACTCAGCATGGTCAGTTCCCGTCATTTTGTTGTCATGGATACAGAGGAGATAACAACGTGAGAGAACATATATCACCTCCGCGTGTCAGCCGTTTTGTCAATCAATTTCAAAGGGAAAGATCATTTGTGATTGAATCTATATGTAGATGCTGGGTGACATGATACACACAGTAACGGATTGCAGTATGCCGGTAATGCAGTGCTGTCCTGATCGTAATGCTATTGTGTAAACATCACTGATCAGCTGTTGACAAGGCTGTATGGATAATCAACTGATGATACGACTGTATGGGCGATCATATGACGGCAAGGCAGTATGCGTGATCAACTGATGACAGGCTGTATGGGTGATCAACTGATGATACGACTGTATGGGCGATCAACTGATGATAAGACTGTATGGGTGATCAACTGATGATAAGACTGTATGGGCGATCAACTGATGATAAGACTGTATGGGTGATCAACTGATGATACGACTGTATGGGCGATCAACTGATGATAAGACTGTATGGGTGATCAACTGATGATAAGACTGTATGGGTGATCATATGACGGCAAGGCAGTATGCGTGATCAACTGATGACAGGCTGTATGAGTGATCAACTGATGACAGGCTGTATGCGTGATCAACTGATGATACGACTGTATGGGTGATCAACTGATGACAAGGCTGTATGGGTGATCAACTGATGATAAGAGTGTATTGTTGATCAAATGATCATACGACTGTATGGGCGATAAAATGATGGCAAGGCTGTGTGAGTGATCAACTGAGGATACGACTGTATGGGTGATCAGCTGCTGACAAGGCTGTATGGATAATCAACTGATGATACGACTGTATGGGTGATCAAATGACGGCAAGGCTATGTGGGTGATCAACTGATGATAAGAGTGTATTGTTGATCAACTAATCATACGACTGTATGGGCGATAAAATGATGGCAAGGCTGTGTGAGTGATCAACTGGGGAAACGACTGTATGGGTGATCAAATGTTGACAAGGCTGTGTGGGTAATCAACAGATGACAAGGCTGTATGGGTAATCGACTGACGATACCACTGTATGGGTGATCAACTGATGACAAGGCTGTCTGGGTAATCCACTGATGACAAGGCTGTGTATGTGATCAACTGATGACAAGGCTGTATGAATGATCAACTGATGACAAGGCTTTATGGGTGATCAACTGATGATACGACTGTATTGGTGATCAACTGATGACAAGGCGGTATGGGTGATCACCTGATGACAAAGCTGTATGAGTGAACATCTGATGATACGACTGTATTGGTGATCAACTGATGACAAGGCTATGTGGGTGATCAACTACTGACAAGGCTGCATGAGTGATCACATATGAGAAGGCTGTATGAGTGATCATCTGATAATACGTCTGCATTGGTGATCAGCTGATGACAAGACTGTGTGGGTAATCAACTGATGATACGACTGTATGGGTGATCAACTGATGACAAGGCTGTATGGGTGATCAACTTATGACAAGGCTGTATGAGTGATCATCTGATGATAAGGCTGTATGAGTGACCAACTGACAAGACGACTGTATGGGTGATCGACTGATGATAAGACTGTATGGGCGATCAACTGATGACAAGGCTGTATGGGTGATCAACTGATGGCAAGGCTGTATGGGTGATCAACTGATGACAAGGCTGTAATGGTGATCAACTGATGACAAGGCTGTATGGGTGATCAACTGATGACTAGGCTGTATGAAGGTGAACTGATGATATGACTCTATAGGTGATCCACTGATGATATGACTGTATGGGTGATCAACTGATCATACGACGTTATGGGTGATCAACTGATGACAAGGCTGTATGCGTGATCAACTGATGACTTGGCTGTATGAAGGTGAACTGATGATATGACTCTATAGGTGATCCACTGATGATATGACTGTATGGGTAATCAACTGATGACAAGGCTGTATGCTTGATCAACTGATGACTTGGCTGTATGAAGGTGAACTGATGATATGACTCTATAGGTGATCCACTGAAGTTACGACTGTATGAGTGATCAACTGATGACAAGGCTGTATGGGTGATCAACTGATGTCAAGACTGTGTGGGTGATCAACTGATGGTACGACTGTATTGGTGATCGACTGATGATAAGACTGTATGGGTTATCAACTGATGACAAGACTGTATGGGTGATCCACTGATGACAAGACTGTATGGGTGATCAACTGATGACAAGGCTGTATGCGTGATCAACTGATGACTTGGCTGTATGAAGGTGAACTGATGATATGACTCTATAGGTGATCAACTGACGATAAGACTGTATGGGTGATCAACTGATGACAAGGCTGTATCGGTGATCAACTGATGACAAGGCTGTATGTGTGATCAACTGATGGCTAGGCTGTATTAAGGTGAACTGATGATATGACTCTATAGGTGATCCACTGATGACAAGGCTGTATGTGTGATCAACTGACGATAAGACTGTATGGGTGATCAACTGATGACAAGGCTGTATCGGTGATCAACTGATGACAAGGCTGTATGGGTAATCAACTGACAATACGACTGTATAAATGATCAACTGATGACAAGACTGTAGTGGTGATCAACTGCTGACAAGGCTGTATGGGTGATCAACTGATGACAAGGCTGTATGGGTGATCAACACTACTATCACGAATGTGATGTCGTAATGAAGACGATATTCTACTGAGGTTAATACATTTATTTTCTTACTGTGGTTTTCTTAAGGGGGGAAATGTAGAATATTACATCAGTATCTGTTTGATATTTTTCAAATATTCGCCACATATTACATTCTGAAAGTGTTTACCAGGGACCGGGTGTGCCAAGCTCAGTGTATGATTCTGACATGAAGAGTATAGATGTGGAACATTTTCAATGTGCATTATATGTATTTCTTGTTTTTGTTTTATGGTGGCGAAACAAATAACTGTTCTTGTGTACCCATGCCTTACACTGCTGTACTGACCTGAACCAATTGACTTGAACCTATTGTCTCAACAATATTCCATATACCGAAAATGCGACATATATTTTATGTTGTTCATGAAATGCATATTTCATGATGTAGTAATAATGAGACGCACTTTTCGAGCTCACGAACTGTTCCGTATTATGCATCCCTATAATATCAACTGCTGTTCAGCGCTGTCTGAAAGTCGTGTGTTTCCATTGTGTTATTATAGAAAGGCCGAGTTTCCATGGGTCCTGCCTGCCTGCAAACGCAGCCATGGCCAAGAAACACTGCGAGGAGAAAAGCGGAATCATGTTCACCATTGATGATTTGAGGATGGTCTATGGTCTCCGTATCATGGAGTCAGCGATAGAGGACCTGGGAGATATATGGATGCTTAGTAATGGTACATGCTGATGAGATAGAATTCTTATTATCACATCCTTCATTTTTTATGTGTTTACTGCTTTGGATAAATAGTATCGTTGATGATAAATACAAATAAGGCTGTCAAATAATATACTCGACTGTTAAAACAACAAGATATGCCAAAAACATAAGTTTGAATAAAAATATGGATAACAAAAGGTTTGAGTTAAACCTAAACTAATGACAGTTTGACGTAATACGATACGCTGGCTGTGGTAGATTATAAATAAAAGAAATAATTCTCAAGCTACACAATTCGTTGATATTAACGCTTTGTTACCTTTTTTTTATCTGAACGTGAGAGGCACGCGTGAAACTGTTGTAAACTCTTACCGTAATTAGCCCAAGCTGCGGTTTTTTTTACAATGCTGCGGCTCTTTTACAATGCTGCGGCTCTTTTACAATGCTGCGGCTCTTTTACAATGCTGCGGGTTCTTTTACAATACTGCGGGTTCTTTTACAATGCTGCGAGTTATTTTACAATGCTGCAAGTTCTTTTACAATGCTGCAGGTTCTTTTACAATGCTGCAGGTTCTTTTACAATGCTGCAGGTTCTTTTACAATGCTGCAGGTTCTTTTACAATGCTGCAGGTTATTTTACAATGCTGCAGGTTCCTGCACTGAAGGTGACATCTACGGGAATTTACACGGATGTTGCAAGTCTGCGGGAAATGGTATGTACCCTTGGTTGGTTCATTTACATATAAATACAATGGTTGCACTATGTATCTTTTGATATACCTGTAATCCCATACTACGCCAAGTAGTGTTCTTGTAACAGTCAGTTATATACATAATTATTGTGGGGCCTTCGCTCGCTACGCACTAGACCCCGGGTTTGATACCACACGTGGGTATCCTTGCGCGAAGATCGTTTCAGATGTCACCGCCTTGATGTTGCTGTAAGATTGCCAACGGTGGCCTAGAATACTACTGGTTACTGGTTAGAATTATACATGTAAACACCCGAAACATAAAATTTGACACATGCACGTGATTTACATGGAAGCTATTGTATCTATAAGGAGAAATGGACACGAAAATTGACAAGAAAACTCCTTTGGTTTTGCTTTTACAGGTTCGAGAGGCGTTAACGCTTTCACAGCAGTCACCTGTAAGGAATTGCGTCATTATGTTTGCAGAATGAAAAGCAGTAAGTATACTTTATTTAAAGTGATAAATATACTGTGTTTGCTACTGATCCTTTAGAGTATTGTGTGTTAAGTTTGTGAGGGAGCACGAGTGGCTCCGCAATTCGTCGTGCAGAGTTGTGTCCCTTGTGTAACTTTGACTGTGGATGCGAATCCCGGCTCGGTTGTGCTTCTAGGTTTGTCCGTACTCGTGGGTTTCACCATAGTGGTAAGTTTGGGATTTCCTCCAACACTAAGCTGACACGACGTGATATGACTGGAATAAGGTTCAACCTCACTCACATCGACTTTGAAATTGTGTTAACATTCAGTGGGTACCTTATGCTGTGTGCTCTCATTTATTGATTCACGCTAGATTTGCCCCTTTTATCGGATCTATTCTACATCTGTTTCCAAGTAACGTCTTGTCAGACGATTCACGTTGGATTTGTTCGTTTGTTACACTCAGCAATATTCCAGTTATATGTCCACGACCTGCAGATATTCAAGTCCGGACCAGACGAACCAGTGATTGATACTGTGATCACAGTGCCATCGGGATACGTCTAAACGCAATGAATTAGGCCACCCAGCCTGACCACCCAGTGTAGCATGTAGGTCGCCTCGCCTGATGTGCGTTGTTGGCTGGGGATGAATTCTAACCCGGTATTCCTACGGGAATGAACTGTACCGTGGTTTAATGAACTGTACCATGGTTTAATGAACTGTACCATAGTTTAATGAACTGTACCGTGGTTGAATGAACTGTACCATGGTTTAATGAACTGTACCTTGGTTTCATGAACTGTACCATGGTTTAATGAACTGTACCGTGGTTTCATGAACTGTACCGTGGTTTAATGAACTGTACCATGGTTTAATGAACTGTACCTTGGTTTAATGAACTGTACCGTGGTTTAATTAACTGTACCATGGTTTAATGAACTGTACCGTGGTTTAATGAACTGTACCTTGGTTTAATGAACTGTACCTTGGTTTAATGAACTGTACCGTGGTTTAATTAACTGTACCTTGGTTTAATGAACCGTGTACATACATGCCCTGATTATATTGAGCACAACATCGTCATCGAACTTATGGTTTAGAACAATTAACACATTGCACTGCATTTTCAGCTGGTCAAGTGTTTCACAGAAACGGTAAGTATGGACGTAAAAGAGTTGCATATCCTCATAAACTGATCACCATGTGTTAGTCAGTTTAAGCTGCTATTCATATACAAAAAGTAATTCATAATGAACAAAAGCTTCCGTTGTAAATATGTGATATATAATCTTGCCAGTCAGCTGATGGAGCCTTTTGTGTACCATATTTACTTTGCTTTTTTTTGGTTATTATTTCCTGTTTGTTAAAGGCATAAACGAAACGTATATCCCATGCAAGAAGGACATGTCTTCACCAGGTAGGCATAATTAAACATTTGCCCGTGTCACAATGTACAAACTGTAGACTTGGCGGTCGGGTAGCCTAGTGGTTAAAGCGTTCGCTCGTCACGCCGAAAGCCCGGGTTCGATTCCCGACATGGATACAATGTGTGAAGCCCTTTTCTGGTGTCCCCCGCTGTTTTATTGCTGGAATATTGCTAAAAGCGGCGTAAAACCATACTCACTCATATACTTACGATATTTGTTTTTATTCAAACCTTTTACCTGACTCGTTTGGCAGGTTGTTGTGGTATTAATGTACAAATCGGTGCTTGTGATGTATAGTATGTGTGAGCACACGATCGAAGGGTTTGAAAGTTTATTAATTGCGATTGTATGATTCCACTGTTTCCCCAAATAAAAGCTACAAAACTCATCCCATATCTAATAGAAATATCTGCTAAAAGCAGAGTCGAATGTGCGATTCCGACTTTATCATGAACATGTGTTTATTAATCACTATCACATAGAGATGTTACCAGGTGTTAGCACCAACGGTAGCACCCGTCACAAACACATGCAAAGGCAAGTCAAGGCCAATGATGGCTTCACAGTATCACATATAGAAAACACTGATACTCTGACATAGCTTATGAGAACAACTGTCTTCTACGTGGCTATTAGTAAAGATGAGTAATCTTGTATGTTTTTTAGTCACACAATACCTGTGGTGACATTGTCACAAAGACAATGTATCATGTATAACGACTCTATACATGTATATTACCTTTACTGTTACGTCATGTAATGCCCAAACTAATATATCAGTCTTGTTGTATATTCATTTATTCTGATACCAGTATGCATATATAGATTACATACTTCGAATGAGGGGGCACGGGTGGCCGAGTCGTCTAAGCCGCCGCGTTTCGCTGTGCGGAGTTGCGTCCCATGGGTACGCCAGAAGCCTATGATTGTGGGTTCGAATGTGTTGGACCCGATTATGTTTCTAGGTTTGTCAGAACCATACCCGTGCTCGTAGGTTTCACCGAAGTGGTGAACGTCTGAGACCTGCATCACTTCGGGCTTTCCTCCCACATTAAGCTGGCACGCCGTGATATAACTGGAATACTGTTAAAAGCGGCGTTAAACCTAACTCAGTCACTCACTTAGAATGAGTATATCCTAAAAGCTGAATTATTAATACACACTGAAACTTGGTGTAAATAACAACGTGAGTGAATACTAACATGATCAGGAGACTATTTGAGATCATTGAAACATAACAATATATAGCTATTTCAGCTACTGTCGTCATCATCGTCGTGGTCGTCACGGTGGCGGTGGTGCTGGGTTTCATTCTCGGTGGATGTTGCTTATTCAAGTGGTACGGATGACATTTCTTACTGAATCACACATACACAAATCCATTTGATTTTTTAAGCAGATTATTATGTTTCTGGATTATGAAGATATTCTGATCTTTCAACTGACAAGTTGTATTTTTTACATTAGTAATTATGCAACATGTTGATGACGTGTGACACGACGTTTCTGTTACTCTGCCGCAGCGTGACGAAACCGATCAAGTATGCAGTGAGAGTTCAGAGTGCCCTGTATCACCGGCATCACCCGGAACCTGGACCAGCCGCGGACGGACCGACCCAAGCAGCTGATATGTTAGCCAAACATGTGATCAACCTCAACAAAACATGAACAAAAAACTAGCTGCACATACACGCGTTGACGTCGAGTGCAACTACAAACTGCAATGGGCGTCAGAGTCGGGCGTCAGTGTTAGGTGTTAGTGTTGGGCGTAAGTGTCGGGCTCCAGTGTTGGGTGTTAGTGTTGGGCGTTAGTGTCGGGCTCCAGTGTTAGGTGTTAGTGTTGGGCGTTAGTGTCGGGCTCCAGTGTCGAGCGTCAGAGTCGGGCGCCAGTGTCGGGCTCCAGTGTCGGGCGCCAGTGTTGGGCGTTAGTGTCAGGCTCCAGTGTCGGGCGCCAGTGTTGGGCGTTAGTGTCGGGCGCCAGTGTTGGGCGTCAGTGTTGGGTGTTAGTGTTGGGCGTCAGTGTCGGGCTCCAGTGTCGGGCGCCAGTGTTGGGCGTTAGTGTCGGGCTCCAGTGTCGGGCGCCAGTGTTGGGCGTTAGTGTCGGGCTCCAGTGTCGGGCGCCAGTGTTTGGCGTCAGTGTCGGGCTCCAGTGTTGGGCGTCACAGTCTGGCGTCAGTGTTTGGCGTCAGTGTCGGGCGCCAGTGTTCGGCGTCAGTGTCGGGCGTCAGTGTCGGGCTCCAGTGTCGGGCGTCAGTGTCGGGCGCCAGTGTTCGGCGTTAGTGTCAGGCTCCAGTGTTGGGCGTCAGTGTCGGGCGTCAGTGTCGGGCTCCAGTGTCGAGCGTCAGTGTCGGGCGTCAGTGTCGGGCTCCAGTGTCGGGCGTCAGTGTCGGGCGTCAGTGTCGGGCGTCAGTGTCGGGCGTTAGTGTCGGGCGTTAGTGTCGGGCGTCAGGGTCGGGCTCCAGTGTCGGGCGTCAGTGTCGGGCGTCAGTGTCGGGCGCCAGTGTTTGGCGTCAGTGTCAGGCTCCAGTGTTGGGCGCCCCTGTCTTACAACATAATATATATAGCAATATATGGAGAATTTCACCCGAGATTATATCAAATATATCTACACGAGTAATCTGTGTCACAAGACGGAGTGTTGATATATTTGATATCAAAAGACACAAGGTCACCAAACATCATTCTTACAACTCTTACAGTTTTAGACAGTAATAAGAAGTGTCTTAAGTGTAAAAAGTACTGCTAACAGCTTCAGTGGCAGAGCCATTAGTGATGTCATCCGATTGTGATTTCATGGTAACAATGACGTCACAATGGTCTGCAAAGCATTGTGTTGCAATTGCATTGCAGCGGCAATTACAGTGTAGATATCGATTGACCAAACCCTAGGATATATCCTAGGGGCCCAGTTTTGGATGATAAAGTAAAAGAACAATTAGTAAGACCAGGCGAGCTCCAATTCGACATCGACAACTTGCAACTAATTTACTCTATGTGTTTTCGACTGTATTAAGACCAAGTAGTAACGGATGATAATTGACAAGTCTGGTAGAATCATCAGACATACATCATATTCGTGTACACCTGTGCACTTCCATTGATATATTTAACCCGTGCATTTCAGCACAGCAAGTTGTATTGCAACTGTTTTGACTATTTCGGTCAAATATGTTGTGAAAATATTGTGAAATTGTGTTAATATCCAGATACGTCTTTACATTCATTCCTTTGTTTGTTTGATATCATCTTGATGTGATGTTATAATCTTTCTCGGGCCATTGTCTTCAGTGTTTCCTCCTTTCACGAAAGAAAACTTTCCTTTGTTTGTTTGTTGTTTAACGCCGCACTCAGCAATATGCCAGTTATATGACGGCGATCTGTAAATAACCGAGACTGGACCAGACAATTGAGTGATTGACATCATGATAATCGATCTACGCAGTTGGGGTACGATGACATGCAATCAACTATGTCAGCGAGCCTGACCACCCGATCCCGTTAGTCGCATCCTAAGACAAGCACAGTCGTCTCTCATCAAGAAAGAACTGTATGCTTTGTCACCAGGATAACATGCAAAATGACAAACACAAAGGCAGCGCTTGTCAAAATTTTCATGTTATGTTTAAGTGAGCTGAAATGGGGTTTAACATTGTTTCACTATATAGCGACGTGCATGCACATGTGCGTGCGTGCGTGCGTGCGTGCGTGCGTGCGTGTGTTTGTTAAGACTTGTCGCTTTCTAGGTATGACGCGGCCATGGCATGGAATAACCGACCACGCGGTCTCCGTGCACGCACTCTATTGACTAGACCATGCAGGTATTATCCCTTCTAGGCATTAGAGCAAGCAAGTGGTCATGTTTACATGTGCAAGGAAGGCACGTAGTACATTGTATCATCAATAATTGTAATTACGTCCGTTTGTACATTAACACTATGTTAATGTTATACAATAACCAATATATATTTAATCTCGTGTCAAAGAATTAAAGCATGTACCCATACCAGGACTTTGAGTTTTGTGTTTTACGGTTTCCATGTTATGTCATATGTTGTAGACCAAGTGATACTTTCGATAATACACTACATGTGTCGTGTACGTGGAATGTCCGTGAATGCTTTTCAATATAACATCCTTGTTTCGGTTTTACAGACGAAATCAATGTTTCAGTATTTTATCAAGGACTGTGAGCTGAAGTGTGCTTGTGTCAAAATTGTCAAATTGTAAAATCATGTAACAGCAGAAATGTGTCCTTGAAGGTGTACTTACATTTGTAAATGATTAAAATCAGTACAAGAAAGCGGTATACACACTGAAAAGAACACACACCTCCCCCCCCCCCCCCCCCCCCCCCCCCCCCCACCACCACCACCACCACCAAAAAAACACACACACACAAACACACTCTACATCCCTGCCTAATTGGAGGCACGGGTAGACTACGATTAGTCTCTGAAAGTATTTAACTTTGATAGAAACAAACAACTAGGGTGACAGTAGGGTCACAGAGAGAGAGTGAGTGAGAGTGCAATATTGCAGCAAAATCACGAAGGGGAATACCAGAAATGGGCTTCACATTCTACCCATGTGGGGAATCGAACCCAGGTTTTCCCAGGCTACCATACAGCCCTAAGCGGGAGAGGATATATTATAATTCAGGCACTGTAAGGGAGACAAACTAAAGGCACGGGTAGGCGAATCGTCTTTGGCGCCTCAATACGCTATTCAGAGTTCATATCCTTAGGCGTGTCTGAACACAACGATCGTTGGTTCGAATCCAAAATTCGGCTTTTTATGTTTCTAGGGTTGTCGGCACAGTACACGTCCTAATGGGTTTCACCAAAGTGGTACCTGTATCACATCTGGCCTTCCTCTGTTTAACAGCTGAAATATTGTTCAAAGCGGCTTTAAAGCAAACTCACATGACAATAAAATGGATCTCTGTTTCCTGAAAATGAAAGGGATCTCTGTCACATGAAGCTGTGAGTGGTCTATTTCACATGACAATGAAAGGGATCTCTATCACACAGCAATGAAATGGATATCTGTCATATGACAATGAAATGGATCTCTGTCGCATGGCAGTGAAAGGGATCTCTGTCACATGAAAATGAAAGGGATCTGTGTCACATGGCAATGTGTGTGCTCTCCGTCACATGACACACTAAGAGATATTTGTCTCTTGACAACATACTCTCTGCAAAAAAGAAACGCACAGGTACAATTGTAGTAAATTTGCTGTACCTAATAAAGTGGATATATTCATAATTAAATATCATAGATACAAATATGAAATTTTGGAGCTCGATAGTCACATGTTGTCGTTGTACAATGGCATTGAAAACTTCATTATCATGTCACATAAGGCCACAAGTTTGCGCTGAACTCAGTATCTCGTGTGACCGCCCCGGGCAGCAATCCCCGCTCTGCATCTCCTCGGCACTGACTTGATAAGTGTACGAATTCTGTCCTGTGGAATTCTGCGCCATTCTGCTTGTAACGCGTTGACCAGTTGTGGGAGTTTCTGCGGCGTACTCTGACGTTTACGTTCACGTCGACCGAGTTCATCACAGAGGTGTTCGATTGGGTTAAGATCTGGTGATCTTGACGGCCAGGGCAGGCGTTGATATTGGCATTATGAAGATAGTCTACCGTGACACAAGCTGTGTCACATTTCCCATATGGTCTCCACACCATGACACTACCGCCACCGCAATTGTCGAATTCACGTACACAATGTGGGGCAAAACGCTCATTTCAACGAAGATAAACACGTTGTCTTCGATCTCGGCGGCGAAGAAGTAATCGTGATTCATCGCCAAACAACACGCAGCTCCAGTTTCTCGAATCCCAAAGCTGTAAGGTATGGCGCCAACGCAAGCGTCGCTGTCGATGGAACTGTTGCAAAAGAGGGACGATAACTTGTCTTCTTGGTCGGATTCTGCCCTCGCGAAGATGGTTCCTGACAGTCTGGTACGATATCCTCCTCAAACCAGGTTGCGTCCTGCAGTCTCCGTAGCTGTTGCATTGCGATGACGTGGGTGGAACAGTCGAATGTAGCGATCCTGTGCAGGTGTGGTAACTCTTGGCCGGCCGGTTCTTGGACGGTGTGTATTTAACTGTGTGTGTCGGCCACAAAGGCGGCAAATGGTGCTGTGGTGGACGTTGAAGTGGCGTGAATACTGCGATTCCCCTCTTTGGATACGTCCTATGGCGATGGGGGCGGTCGGGTAGCCAAGTGGTTAAAGCGTTCGCTCGTCACGCCGAAGACCCGGGTTCGATTCCCGACATGGGTACAATGTGTGAAGCCCATTTGTGGTGTCCCCCGCCGTGATATTGCTGGAATATTGCTAAAAGCGGCGTAAAACCATACTCACTTCACTTCACTTCCTATGGCGATGTTCCTTTGGGCAGCGCTGAGTCTCGGCATTTTCGAACTTGAAAAATGTTAACAATTGAATGACAAATTATTGGCTTATATGCTTGGCTTTTTATTGCCACTACCACGATTTACGAATGCCATAACTCACACGTGCATTTTGCTTTACTGTTTTCGTCCATGACATGTTTTAACAAGTGTGAAAACAATGCCGTTTAAGACATTGCAAATCGAAAATGGCTGCTTTTGACGCACCGTTTGTCGAATATCAGGCCACCAACATTTTCCAATAACATATATCTAATCTACATACCGGATTCTTTGTGTAGTCAGGTTCAATTAAATACATACTACCTGTGCGTTTCTTTTTATTGAAGAGACCCCCTCCGTGGTCTAGTGGTAGAGCGTCCGCCCGGAGAGCGGAAGGTCCAGGGTTCGATCCCGGGCCGCGTCATACAAAAAGACGTTAAAAGATTGTACTTGTTGTTACCCTGTCTGGCGCTCGGCATTAAGGGGCTAAAACAAGGAATGGTCGGCTCGGAGTCAGTATACTGTGTCTGAGTGGGGTATTCATGTTAAACTGCGGCATGGTATCTCAGTGAGCTAGCACTATAAATCGGCATCAGTCAGGACTAGTACAAGCAGCCACACACACACATACACGTGCATGCACGTCGCTATATAAGTGCAATAATCTTGGACGCGACGTTAAACCCAATTTCACCTCACCTTTTATTGAAGAGTGTAAATGACCTGTTTTCAAACATGCTATACCAAACAGCTGCGACAACCAATGTGGTTCAGTTGTGACGTGTATTATACGAGGCTATGTTACGAAATGTAACTACGGGTTTCCTATACGAGGGACGGTTACAGTCAAGTGGACCCCCGGGTGCGACAATCGAGTAGAGACATACTTAAGAGGGAATAACTCGTACTGCTCTGCTGTCTGTGTATCCACAGACTTGCTTCTCACACAGTCCCTCTGGGGATATACTGGTGCACGTATAGCACGCGTTCATCGTTGGAGATTTGTGCCCTTTGGGGACACTAAGTCTTGTAAAACTGTATTTTTATCCCCCGGCGTATAATGCGGGGGATATAGCGATCAGCCAGTCTGTCTGTCCGTTCTTTGTCCATCTGTCTATCCGTAATCATTTCCTTTTCCGGGACAGAATTCGAAAAAGCATTTTCTTACACACCTGTGGGTGAGAAACCCATTTGAGATAACTGGTATCAAACATATGTGTGAGATCGAATTCCAGGCCCGTGATTGGCTACTCCATGGTGATGACCTGGGGTCAGATGATGACGGACTACTTTCCTGAGTGTAAGTCATTCATATGTTGCTCGTGCTTCAGTCGAATGTTCACCTACGCCTGTCGTGAACAACGGGACCGTGTAATTAATAATAAAAATAAACAAACTCGTCCTCGTCTGCGAGTTTGTTTGGTATTATTATCAGTTACATTATCTGTTGTTATGTCAACATTATCGTTTTTTTCAGAGTGTAAACCCCCTGGATGCCACAACGACACATATGTCCCTCCTCTTCAACCCTCACTTCGAAATGGAATAAAATTCAAAATACATCACGCAGACTAATACACTTCATGTGCACAGTTTTGAATTCCCCCTTCTGTTTATCATTTACTGTCATTTTAGGCAATTCAAAATAACTGAAAGTGACTTCTGAAAATTAGATACATTGTAAACCTCGCCAAATCACAATTCACGGCGTTATATAAATATTTATTGTGTGTTTAGAAATCTAAATATCGGATATTTACTCGAATAATTAAAGAAGAAAAATAGCATATTAGCGATCATGGGTATCAAATCACTAATGATAATTCTGAAACGTCGCTGATAAGCCTAGAATCGTCTAGAATGTTTTGGTATATACGTTCCGCCATATTGGATTGGATTGTGTTTACAAAATGCCGGCCATGAGACGCCTATTCAATCAGGTATTTTTCAAACTCAGCTGCTATACATGCATCCCTGAATTCCTCATACAATTTCGAAACAATGGATAAATGGTCTTTGTCACCAATGCAAATTATCTAGATGAAATCATGCGAAACAAATTGGAGTCCAGGTATGGAAACGAAAACTGTGCTCGGAAAACTGTACTTGCTGAAATGTAAACACAGCAAAATTCAGAATTTACACTGTAGCATTTTTAGAGTTACTTTCGTCAAATTGTTGCATACATTGGCTCGATCACGCGTTTGAGAATATTCATGGGAAGAGTATCGTTGCACTAAATATGGAATTACACATATATACATTATAATGATGTGGTAAATTCAACAGAAGCCGTAAAAGTTTCCGTCCTGTGTGACGCCATGACTGACGCTAAATCACGCACAACGATGACGGTAGTTATCTGCATTTCTGACTAATTCTCTTTGTTACATTGGAAAACATGGTAAACAAATAACAGTACGCAGATTGTCAGAATGTTTCTGATTACTTACGTGAAACATTTATGTGTATACGATCCCTCAATCAACGAAAATCCTCCTCTGGAAATCCAACGTACTGTTGTCAGTGAACACGCCATTTTGTAAAAGTCGGTCTCCGGTAGTGATGTCATACGGAAGTAAACATTGTTGTCCATATTTGGTCATTTCTTTGAGGTGTAAACTTTTAACTTGGCACCCAGCGTGTTCTTTGTTTTTGTCTACTTTGCATTTTCATCATCGCCTTGATAATCCAGATATGACGGAAAACTTTTGTGTAGGGTCACATTATTTATGAGAAGTAAGCAGCACATAGGATGACGTCACTTGTGACTGTGGTGTTATGTATTAATGCGCTACTGCAATCATGAGAATAGACAAAATTCATCGGTTCGATGCTAAAAAGTGGCGATTTTAGGGTGGGTAAGAAACAGATTACTGCACTCGTGCCTGTCAGATATCATTGATCTTACAACTCGTTGTTACAAAGCGTATCTAATTCGCTCGTTAGATACGTTTTGAAACAACTCGTTGTAAGAACAATAGTATCTGACAGACACTCGTGTAGTAATCTCTATCAGTATGTTTGATCGATACTTGAAAGATGAATCAGTCACACGCCAAAGTGGTGCCTTTTGCTATTTTGCAATTTTCCAAAAAATTTTTTTTGCTATTTAAGAATGTTTCCGTGTATCCATGGACACAAGTTAGACTTTGCTGAAATGGAGGTAGGCACTAAAAAACTGTTCAACAGTGTTAAATCAAACTTGGAACATGAATTATTCAGGGGTTGAAGTGGTGCCTTTTGCTATTTGGGAATTTAGATATTGTTTTTCCTGTTTCCATGGCAAGAGGTTTTACTTTGACTACATCTTTAAAACTAATAGGTATTCTTCCTTGAAACTATGCACACATATGACCAGTGTGTCATCTGGTGCCTTTTGCTATTTAGGGATTGTTAGAATTTATATTTTTTTCCGTTTCCCCGGCAACAAGTTTGACTTTGACTGTTCATGTTGGGGTGTACCTGACATAGAAATACAAAGTTCCGAATCCCAATTCCACGGAATTGTTTTGATAGCTCAATAACTACTCTTGTATACTGACAGACAGAAATTCTTCATCAAGTGCACTTAACAGGCAGATAATTTGTTCTTTCGAATTTGTAGGGGCCGGAGGATTTGTCATCTTCTGATGATTCTTGTTTGTAAGTCTTTGTCGAGGTATTTCATAGCAACAAATGTTGCGTCAAACAATCAGACGAATGAGATGACCATTAAATATACCCATGTCTGTTTGTTTGTTTGTTGTTTAACGCCGCACTCGGCGATATGACGGCGGTCTGTAAATATTCGAGTCTGGAGCAGACAATCCAGTGATTGACATCATGAGCATCGATCTAGGCAAATTTTGGGATCAATGACATGCATCAATCAAGTCAGCTGGCCTGACCACCCGATCCCGTTAATCGTATCATACGACAAGCACAGTCGCCTTTTACGGCAAACATGGGTTGCTGAAGATGTATTCTAACCCGGGTCCTCATGGGTCACAACAGGTACGTAATATATATTGTTAAGACCGCGCTTGTCATGGTATTGAGCGTAGAAAAGTTATAAGCCACGTTTAATTGTGGATCTGTCATCCAATAAATGCACTGAAAAATATCATAATTACATGTGGAATTATTGCAGACATACTTTAAACATAAATAATATGTATGTGGTGTCTGTTGACTCATGTGTTGTTGTAGCATGCTACATACATGTACATGTTTATGTTGATTATATTATTGATCATACATATAACTGATCAGGTAAAGTTTTGATGTTATGTAGGCTTTGTGCATTCCTTGTCCTCTGGTGTAAAAGACTATTTTGGTAAACGCCTCTGTACAGTGTACACGCAAACGTGGCTAATCACACCCATTTAAGCTTCATTATAATATCGTGCTTCAAACTAAGCTGTACAGTAAAGTACGGTTATAACGAACTCAAAGGGACTACGGATTTTAGTTCGTTTTAACCGTAGTTCATTATAAGCATATATACAGCATAACTACAGCAAATAGTCGGGACCAAAAAAATAGTTGTTCGTTATATCCGTCAGTTCGTTATAAGCGTGTTCGTTATAACCGTAGTTTACTGTACGTGGTAAGGAGATTTCCCAACATGTTGTAATATGTGGAACAAAGTTGATCAACAGTGACAACAAGGGATTGCACCTCACCGTACATCTCCAAATAAATTTGTAAAGTTTGTATATATACCAGATATTTCTAAAAAAAACAAACCTAATATACACTGAAGAAAAGCGTGCATGTTGCGATTAACGTCACTGTGAACAGTATTCCCGTTATTTGACGGCATGACAGCGTGCGTTGTTGAGGCTTTGTGTGACGCCTTACACAACTGGGCCCCCAGAGCCCATCTATTTCGGATACAGTTCGAAAGCGAAGTTGTGGCTGTGAATAATGCTGTTTTATAAATGCGCTATGTAATTTTATTCAGTCATATTTATCCTAAGATGTGGAGAATATTTGCAGAAATTATTGGAAAACCCGTGAGCAGTTGCAGTTTTTTTACAGAATCAAACTGGAAAAAATGCTGCTGTGCATCGATTCCTGATATGAATAAATATATATAGTGGCTTAAAATACATTACCAACATGAACATTTCGGAAGATTTATTCAAATCTGTATACAAACTCTATACTGGGGTAAATACTGCTGATGACAAAGTACTGCTGCAGAATAAACACCAATGTCAAGGAAGCTCCGTTTACGATATCAGGATCACACATCACTCTGGGATATCCCGTTCGTGTAGATATGTGAGGACAGAAAGGAGCTCATCAGCAGGATATCCTTAAAGTGCCGGCGTTGCATGTCGCCCTCAGCAGACGGGTGAACTCACATTTCGGGTCATAAGCTGACATTCTAAAATTGATTCGTAGCCAACGAGTAACTTTTTTAATCCGCGGAAACATAAAAACGATACATTTTAAAACTATGTACAGTTTCAATAATAACAGGATAATAACACCACAAGCAACATACGTTTTCTGTTGTGGTTGCGGTTATCACTGCCACGTGGTTCATAGTCCCAGTGTCATCATAAAACAATCTGCTATAGAAAATCAAAGAAGAAAACCAAAACAGGATGATGATGATGATGATGATGATTATTATTATATATTTCTTTTTCATTCTCTTTCAGATAAAGTTTTGTATATTCTGCAACAGTTTTTATCATTAATTAGTCACTAACCTCAAATATTTGATATGTCAGAATCGTGTTGAGGACACAGTATTTGTCCGGCTGGGGAGCAAGAAACGCCATGGTTTCATTCTGTTCTCTTGTGCACAATGTCAATCTCATAAATAATGTGTGTGGTTATTAGTGGTTTAGTTTGTTATTCATACCTTATCATCCATTAACCATATGCTATGTTGTTTGTTTGTTTGTTTGTTTCTTATTTAACGCCGCACTCAGCAATATTCCAGCTATATGACGGCGGTCTGTAAATAATTGAGTCTGGACCAGACAATCCAGTGATTGACATCATGAGCATCGTTCCACGTAATTGGGATATGAGTACATGCATCAAACAAGTCAGCAAGCCTGACCACCCGATCCCGGTAGTCGCCTCTTCAGACAAGCATAGTCACATATGTTATGTACGTTATGTTATGTATGTGCATAATTTGTTTATATCTTCATATTAAACACACGCGCAAACACACTCACACACATACACCCACTGTTTCACACACACACACACTTACTCGCGCATTCACACACATTCACAAGCACGCTTACATAACACCCACTCTTTCACGCATCACACACACACTTTCACACTCACACTTCAACTCATGCTCACACACTCTCTATCACATGCTCACACTTAAACGCTTACTTACACGGTCTCCGGGTCTTCACAACACGACGTATGAACGATGGACTATGTACGCCCATCTCTTGCTGTGACAATGGGGCTGATACTGACGTTGGATACTTACAAAGTAACAAACTGTCTACATTCAGGTTTGTCACTATTTTATTACAAATATTGCCCACACTAATTCCATATATGTCTTTTCCACCTGTTCCAATATATATATTAAGAGATCCGTGAGGATCCGGGGTAGAATAGGTCTTCAGTATCCCATGATTGTCGTAAAAGGCGACTATGCTAGTCGTTAGAGGCGACTAACGGGACCGGGTGGTCAGGCTCGCTGATTCGGTTGATGCATGTCATCGTATCCCAATTGCCTAGATCGATGCTGATGTCAATCACTGGATTGTCTGGTCCAGACTCGATTATTTACAGACCTCCGTCATGTAGCTGTAATATTGCTGAGTGCGGCGTTAAACAACAAACAAAACAAACTGTATATTTAAAAAACAGTTGACTGACTGGGATAACGCTAGATGAGAGTAGACGGGGCATGTATTCACACTCCGCTCGTAGCTATATGTGAACGCAGCGGGCACAACCATGTTGAATCAGTGTTGAACACATGTCGTTCTTCAACTTTGAAAGTTGTTTTGGTTGAATTTGAAAGTGGTGATGATGTTGGAATGTCTAAGTAGAATCAGCATCAGATACAAATGTTGAAACAATGTCGTGCTTTAACATTGAAATGACAGTGAATATTGGCTGGATTTGGTGTTGTGATGACGTTGATACAACGTCTACATTTCAACTTTTAAATCCAAACAAAAGCCAGCGTCAATCTAATTTTCAAATGTACATGTATACAATGTCAACATTCAAGTATGACATCTTTTCAACTTTTGATATCTGATGTTGGTACAACGTCAACATTTCAACTTACAAGCCGAACCAAATGTCAGTGTCAATATATATTTCAAGTGTATGCAATGTCAGATTTCAATGTTGAAACAATGTCATGATTCAGCATTGAAATGACAAAGATATGTTGTTGGATCTGAAATCTTTGATGATGTTGTAATGTCGACATTGAATCAACATCAGATATCAAGGTTGCATGTTGGTTTGGATATTTGACACATACAGTTATATAACACAACATAAAACCGAAAACCAATGTTAAATCAATGTTGAAAACAACGTAAGATTTCAACATATTCTCAATAACGAAAGACTAGTGTTGAATCATTGTGGATGTAATGTCTTTCAACGTAGCAACATCATATCAACCACATTTCAACAATCAACCAATGTCAAGTGCCTGCTGGGGTATATAGGTCAATGCACTAGTCCCTTGTGTCTCTAACTAGCCATTTCAACTATTAGACAACAGGCGCAAAGTGTTCTCCTCTACATTCAAAGAACACTTAAACTACAACTACTTAATGCACGATCAAAAGGTTCATGGTGTAAGTTGAGATTTCGTTATGCTATTCTAATTTAGTTTCTTACCAACTCAATGCCATATTGAGTTCTCATTATCTCATATCAATCGAGGGACATCCAGTTTCAATGATAAACTCTTAGATCGGTATATACATACACCGTACAAATGCTTTACAAAGGCAATAATTACAGAGATAAACACTCCATAGGTTTCAAGAGGCCACCATCCGGTTCTGTAGTCCTTATAAATTACTTCTTATTTGTAGTAAATCAGTGTTTCCACGGATCGTGTTTACCTGCAAACTCAACCATGGCGGAGACCAACTGCAGACAGCAAAGTGGAGCTATTTTCACCTTTGATGACTTGAAGATGTCCTATGGTCTTGCGGTTTTGGAGTCGGCAATTCTTGACGTCGGAGCGGTATGGATTGACAACACAGGCGGTAATAGTTTTATGATATTATTATCTAATATTTGTGTTTGGAGTGAGTGAGTTGGGTTTAACGCCGCTTTTAACAGTATTCCAGTAATGTGATAATGTGGGAGGAAAGCCCGAAGTGATGCAGGTCTCTGACGTTTACCACTTCGGTGAAACCCACGAGCACGGGTATGGTGCTGACAAACCTAGAAACCTAATCGGGGCGAACCGGGATTCGAACCCACAATCATAGGTTTCTGGCATGCCTAAGGGACGCAACTCTGCACAGCGAATCGCGACGCCTTAGACGACTGTGCCACCCGTGCCCCCTTGTGTTTGGAAAACAAACCTATGTAACCGTTTATACGGTCTGTATACCGTTTAAACTTCCCATTTTATAAACGGTATGTAGTATACGTGTGTATTACAGGAATATATCAACGGAACAGATTGAATTTAGCAGTTGAGGGACGATATAATGTAACTTAGTTCTTGTGGTGATCCACACTTTAAGGACATATTTGTAAATTATAATAGATGAACGTCTCTGTGGTCTTGTGTATAGAGAATCTGCCTGGTATAGCGAATTACATTTTGTACATGCAAAGCAGGAAACACAATGCGCATTTATGCAAACCTCTCGTGTGTCTACACATTGGCAAGTGTTGATGATGCTGACGTCAAACCGGAACTTGACAGTATTGATTACTCGCGTATGTTACATTCGTTGTTTAACCCCTATGCAGCTACGTATCCACTCAATATCAGACATAACCATTCGATCCCCTAAGATGTACATTTCTACTGACATAGTCGCCAAAAGAAGTATCGCTTGTATCGCTGTAAAACGAATTTATCTGCTCGTCTTCTAACATTGTGCACAAAACATTCAATAATTCATATGCTACTGGTAGCACTAGAGAATAAGCATAATGGATTTGTATAGAATATACATTGGGCATTTGTTATAAATGTTTTAGCTTAAACATATATACACAGCTGTCATCGTATTTCACATCTGACCACATTTTAGATATAATCTGCAAATATTCCTGATACATTGAAAGATACAATGTTTTCAATGTTTCCAATACATTGTTCAAACTAACGTTACAGATGCCTGTCGAAATAACACAGCTGGAAACAAGTCGCACATTTGTTGCGTGGTTATTAGTGAGTACAGACTTCCTGCATATTACTGTAGTATGCTTACACTGCATCTGACCTTTGTCTATCACGTGTTGCACATGTAGGAAATATATGAGATCCTATAATATCTGAGAGATGTATGTTGGTCTACATGTACAACATGTTATCCGACGTTTATGGTAGACGTGCATTGTATTGTACCATTGATACATGTTTCAGTTGTACAAATGGAATCAATGAAATCGTTTAATATTTGACTTTGTTCTCATGACCATTGAGATATTTAGAACCTGCTTCTCTGTAGACATAGTAGCACACGGATTCACGACGATGTCATCATACTTCAAGCTATTGGTTGAGAATTATTGTTTGATGGAAGAAGTTCATTTCTTTTCTTGTCAGATTCGAATGGCACGAACGTATTCCAGCCCGCCAATTGTACAGACCTGTATCATTATGTTTGCAATATGAACAGTAGTAAGTACAACTGAGTTCATTTGTAATTTAATACTATTGTGTGTGATTTAAAATGATTCTAGTGTATACATAATGAATTATGATATGGTGGAACATCATTCAACATGCACAGGCGTTAATTAGTAACAGGAAAGTGTACACATCATATAGGATGAAAGTAGATACAACATAAGAATTTTTGTATAAACTTGGAACACGTAATAACATGATATCTTGATCCGATATTCGCAACCTGTCATATGAACGTGTATATGCCATGTCAAACATTCATATTATTCAAATGATGGTGTTATGAGGGAAGATAATTTTAACGTTTCGGAGTATATGCTTACTCCTTCAGGATGGGATGGGATGGGATGTAAAACTACCTGGAAGGCAGGACGAAATTACTACTGATTGGTAATTGGCAATGGACAATTGGCAAACGGGAGGCCAGTGGTAATTAGTAAGCATATACTCAGAAACGTTGTGTTCCTCATAATAAAGAGGATGACATCCATAAATTCTCTTTCTTATGTATATCACTTCTAAATGCCTTTCAAAGACTTGATGGTGTCATTGTATCAAATCTAGAATCCGATGTGCATCAGTGACGTCTGCTGTTAACGTCAAGATTTTCACATCTTCTTTGTAACAATGTTTACAGTGGTCTGTCCAATTATCGGATATATAATTTTCGAATTTGTCGTGTGTGTGCTAAAATTGCACATTGTTACCGACAGCTGCCCAGGAAGAGCCTGAGCGAAATGGTAAGTATACCGTAGACACGCAAAAAAAACAGCCCTGGGTGTAAACATATATTAATGCACAAACCAGCAATTATACCATTCATCTTTAAACGTTAATGTTTTTATTTTAACATATCAGTGGTTTGTGATTCAGATATGAAATAGGATAGGTTAACACATGTATGGGACATAACCTAAAATTGTTCTGTTAGTTGCATTGCTTCCGATAACACGTTGTGTTCGAGATGAGAAGGCAGTTTGAAAGTAAGATGTACATGACTATTTTCCTTCTATGTCACAGGAACACAACATCTCTACGTCCCTTGCTTGAACGAGACGTCTTCAACGAGTAAGCTGATAACTCTTTTCACAAGTCTATATATACTGCCTCATTTACTTACAAGAATGCGACATTGATACGACATGGGCGGAGACAATGGCTGGTTGTGGGTCATGCATGTAGGCACATTTCCGATACCAGTATCTGACTTAAGATGTCAGTGCTTTCCGTAAATTTAAGCTATGACTTTCACTGTTCGTCGTACCTTCTCCTCTACCAGAGATAGATCATGTTACATGTTAGGTTACTTTGTTTCAGGAATTGCTGTCATCATTGTGTGCACCTCTCTCACTATAACGATGGCCGTGGCTGGTATTACAGTCTGGTGCTATTGCAGACTGTAAGGGAATTACATTCATATACATGTATTGTGATCATATCTATTTCTTCAAACTGACATATTAAGCATCATGTTTTTGTGTTAAAGATACACGTACATTGGCTGGTTGTACATGGTTAAAGAGAACGCTGTATTCTATGTTATTTAGGAATAAGCCACCGAAGAGGTACGCTGTGAGAGTGGAGAGTGCGATATATCACCGACAACATCCTGATCCACACAACAAGGAAGAGTGCAGAGTTGCTGATACATCAGCTGCAGATAATCTCACCCCGGAATCTGATGACATCATTCAAGAACACACTAAAGGAGCAAAGGGTGATGACTATGACACCTTGTGCAGAACAGGGAGTACAGAAAGCAACGTGTTGAATCATAGGTCAGACGTCACCCCTGTGTACGGTCATTTGTGTGGACAAAATAACCTGCATGGCTGGACCACCGAAAACCATTATGACACCACCAGTGTGCCTTTGTATGACAGGAGGACTGTTGATAAGATATATGATAGAACACATGCATCTGACAGATAGTAATAAAACAGATATAAGCTATAATTTTTTATGACGCTTTAAAGTTTGAATTCTTGTACTATTGAAAATGACTTTATGATTTGGATTGAACGCCTGATTGAACACTTTGTCCGTTGTAGAACTTCAGTTTAATTTTGTGAGTAGGCCCACCTCTGAAAACAAGGGACACGGACCTGGTTGGCAACCCAGGGATCACATACTGGGCGATCAGGGATTCGAACCTACGATCAGAGAACGCAACTATACCACAGTCAACTTGGCCATCTCCGCCTCTGTTAAATGTTACAATATGTATCATACAGACTTTCTAACATATGCCATATTGCTATGTATGACATCGTCCACAAATACCTTGGACTTGGATAAGCCCACGATATGTTTCCTGGCCAGCTATATAGTTACTTTGTGTGTTTGCTTATCTATTTCATTTTGACTTCCTTATTGTCTAAATGCTTTTTACATGATTTGTTTTATTTTATTTTGTTTATACATAAAGTGCGTCTCCTAGAGTGTGCAAGTTAGCATCCTTACAATCAGCATCGAAGTTGGCATAGCAACCGTCATCTGCTGTGTATGTTTGAGATTATGTCTTGTGTTGCCAGAGGAAAAACCTAGCCACATATATTCCGTACCTGTTGTGACCCGTGAGGATCCGGGGTAAAATAGGTCTTCAGCAACCCATCCTTGCTGTAATGCTGTAAAGAGCGACTATGCTTGTCGTAAGAGGCGACTAACGGGATCGGGTGGTCAGGCTCGCTGACTTGGTTGATGCATGTCATCGAACCTGATTGCGTGGATCGATGCTTATAATATCAATTACTGGATTGTCTGGTCCAGACTCGATTATTTACAGAACGCCGCCATAAAGCTGGAATATTGCCGAGTGCGGCATAAAAAAACCAACCAACCAACCGTACCTGTTGTTTTGATGACAAGGTACTCCGCCTTCAAATCATTCCTGAGGCGGTCGGGTAGCCTAGTGGTTAAAACGTTCGCTCGTCACGCCGATGACCCGTAAAACGTCCCTGACTCACTCAAAATATTCCTAGAATGTCGACTTCCTGGTCATGTTATTCATGAAAACTGCTATTTACAACATATAGGCATCAACGTTGGCATAGCAACCGTCATCTGATGTGTGTGTTTGTTTAATATGGCACAAGCATGACTCAGACTGTTGTGTCAGACCAATCTATTCACTTATGGAAGCTGTTGTGATGCACCATCACTTCCTGAATACGTGTCTCCTCTGCTCTCGTTATTCCATTTGTGAGGGCGGTCGGGAAAAGATGTTCTGCAAAACGCGGAATTACAATTTAGTTTCAGCTTGAGTTTCGACGACATCTTCTTCAAGAACTACATGTCCATAGACCAACCTTCTATATTATTGTATGTATTATACATGAAGATTCACAATAACAAACTATAAGGAAAAGAGGGCGACGGGGTAGCCTACTGGTTAAACATTCGCTCGTCACGCTGAAGACCCGGTTTCGATTTCCGACATGGGTACAATGTGTGAAGTCCATTTCAGGTGTCCCCCGCCGCGATATTGCTGGAATATTGCTAAAAGCGGCGTAAAACCATACTCACTCACTCATCCATGTGTAGAACGGGCTGCTAGTTGAGTGCTGGGGAAATGACGTTGGACATACCGGATGTCCCTACTTCAGCATCAGCATCAGATACAGCCACTGGATGCGTAGTGTGGTAGGCAACACGCAGGACAATTGTATCCGCGGCAGATAACCTAAATAGTGGTGGAATGCTACAGTCATGCACTGGACGTTCTTGGGGAAACAAGTTATCGATTTCAGCGTTTATTCTTCATAAACATTTTAAGGTACATCGTGTCCCTTGCCTGAAGAAAACATAGAAGTTGAACTATAAATGCATATTCTGTCTCCGCATTGATAGTTAAGGGGAGGTTATTCTTAATTGGGATAATAATGTGTTTTCATAGATTGCCATTGTGTGTTGCACTATAGATAATAATCATTGGCGCTTTTCTATATACGACTGTGACGTGATATCTTTTGAGTCACAGTGAGCGATATGACGTCATAATGGTGACGTTCGATGTAGAGCGAAAGTCTGGATAATCTTGCTTTGTTTTCTTTAGGGATTCCCACCTCATGTTAGCTTACCAAGTTGCCGTGCTTATAATGCTTTCAATGCCTGTCATATGTTCGAGTGAAGTATTACGGTGTAAACAAACTGCTTGAGTATACACAGCGCCATATTTTGTTCGGTGATTCCTTAATTCAGATCGATAACCCACTCAAAACACTAGACTCAACCCATCCCGCTTCACTCAGTATATTTGCTAACACCAAAGAGTTCGCGTCTTATTTAGTCATGGAAGAGTGGAGATAAACATACTGTGTTTTCAATGTAGAGCTAGGTGACCTGTAGATTTAACGGCGCTAAATTTAACATTTGAAACCTCACGCTGCGCAATAGAAAATAAGGATCAATAAGTTCAAGTTGAATTGATATTATACAGATGTGCACATGCAATAATGCGGACAAACCCTTGAACATACACAATGAACAAGGTTCAGCTTCTAAATAAAGTGATGAAATTAAATTTGTAGTATTTTGTCTAAATATATTTCATCTGCTAAGCCAGGAGCAGGTGGCACTAGCATGGTATTGCTCTTTGTCGTTATGTTGTTGGAAGGCATTGAAACATTGGTATCAGGTTAATGGGAGGGAGCTTATTGACTGTCTGAAGCTCAAAAACAATGCATTTGAAAAGCATTTACATATTGTTGCCCCTGTAGTATTGGAATCAGATTGAATATACTTCTATAGATAATTTACCAGTAAAAGGCAAAAATAATCACTGCGAAAAAAACACGATTTCCGAAAATTACAAATTACACTCGAAGACAGGAACAACAAAGTTCGTGCTCTGGGCTGATGTTTTATTGATGATGAAGAGTCCTGTAATTATAACAAATGACATGTTATGTGGCTTGGTGGTCCGGCATGGTGTGTCCCCACACTGACCATGTAGTTGTTTTTAACTACGATATTATTGATATTCATTTCATAAACAGTAATCTACTATATTATTGATATTCATTTCAATAATTAAATAGTTATCTGGACTAATATAATTCACACATGAAGAATTAACCTATTTTAATTTAGATAAAAAAAAGATTAAAAGAGCATTCACGCAACTCATTCAACATACCTGTAATTATAACAAAATTAAATGTTATGTGGCTTGGTGGTTCGGCATGGTGTGTGCTGGGTTCCTAATACATGCAGTCTTTATAGAGGACAGTCATGTGATCTGCCTCTACATCATTTGCAGGGACTGCATGTGCCAGGGCCCAGGATGTACCTCACAGACCACAGTTAAGGTGGGCTGTTCAAACCAATATTAGATATGGAAAAGAGTTGGTGACATAATTGATTAACAGATTGGTAAAACTTAACATGCGACATTACACTCGAAGATAGGCTTCATATTGGATTAATTGCAGTAAACGTAGAATGACTACCTGATATCAGACAATGTACTTAGGCATCAACTGATGCTAATCAAACACAGGACACACCCCACGACGCCTGCCATCTTCACAGCGAGTTTCCTGACATTAAGTATACCTGCACTTATTTTGTGAAATAGACTTGTTCATTGTCATTGGAACGTATTAAAAATAACATTATAATTGGTCCTTTGTTTGATCAAGATTTTATTACAACAAATCCATTGACGTAGCCCATACCTGGTAACAGGAGACAGGACGACGTGCCCTAACCGAGCAGTGTAACATCTCAACTAACAATGCTAATATCGGCTGACCAGCATGTACGTTGAGGCACCGCTCTCAGCCACGTGGTCCAGTAGGGCCTGCTGTAAAATGCGTGGCACCATGACACCTAATGTGAAATATAGATATATTTTTTGCATAAGTGACCCAACTCTTCACACCAGTGTCACCTCATTCCCAATAAGTAAATGACAATCACGACGGTATTTGGAAATGTTACTTTACAGTTGAATGATTGGCAGTCATCCACAAGCATGCTTTTGTGACATAGCTGATTTTCAGTGATCCATTCAAATAATTTTCGCAGCTATTTTGCCTTTTACGCCCAATGTAATCTGTTTCGTTGGCCGATCGAGAACTTTTATTCTCTGACGCTGATGTTTAATAGTTTCATATCTTCGTGTATTTCCTTTCGTGACACGCCCTTTTGATGCATCTACTTAATCAAATATGCTGTTGTAATACCGAAGTTTCGAATAAAACAACTTTACACTGCCGTCGAAGGGAAATCTTGTCCCTTCATTCACATGATAAAGAGGCAAGAAGAAGCCCCGACACGTCATTGTAGAGAATACAGAGTTTTATATCTATATACCTGGTGTCTCAACGTCTCAATAGATATGTTAAAACCTTGTTTATGCTATTATATCTTAGTGAGGGAGTGAGTAAGCGAGTTGGGTTTTGCGCCTCTTTTAACAATATTCCAGTGATATCACGGCGTGTCAGCTTAATGTGGAAATAAAAGTGATGCAGTGAATATTTCTTTCCTATAACGACTTGCATACACGCGCGTTTGTGTGTGTGGCTGCTTGTATTAGTCTGGTCTTATGCCGGTACTATTGTGCTAGCCCGCTGATCATGAGATGCTATGCCGCTGTGTAGAATGGATACCCCACTAAGGCAGGTTTTGCTGATTTCGGGTCGACCAGTCCTTGTTTTAGCCCATCAATGGCGAGCGGGTGTGTAACATAACCGTCTTTTGGTATAAAGTAGCCAGGGAATCGAACCATCGACCTTCCGTTCTCCTGGCAGATGCTCTATCCACTCGACCATGGAGGCGGACTCATTTGAATTGACTAACGCCAACTGTCTACGCATGCATATTATGACATTGACAGTTTCTAAGATGACTGATGCAACCGATTAATTCCGATATTTTTGTGTATGAATCAGTGGTGATCGTCTCAATTGAGTTACAACTGATGAATCAAATATAATATCACTTACAACGACGGCCAGCTAACGTAAATTCGTTTAATAATGTCGTTATCACATGAAATGGATTGCAAGGTAAACACGCAAATTGTTCATCTCTGAGGGAGGTAACTCTTGTCACCCATAACAGTATCGCGTCCTCAGATGGAGGAATTAGTTGTTTAAACGTACCTTTGGTTCTGTACTATATGTGTAACTATATGAATCATGTACCATATACATATTAGTATAAAGCGTTATACATAATAACACACTATCGAAAAGGGAATTGGTTGGGGGAGGGATTAGAGTCAGTACGTGGTAGTTAGAACATTATGAGGTATAAGCCTTCATAATGTCTCATTTCACTTGCTTATTAAGCAATTCTTTTGTCCAAATCTGTTTGATCATGAAATATATACATCCATGTGCGCAACAAGTTCCTGCCTTTTAGATAAAACATTTTTCTCCACTTGTACTGCGAACGTTAGCCCAGGAATGTTTGCAGTCTTAGCGAGTCACGCAATCGCTACAAGGCAGGCAGGAAACTGAGACGCATTGTCTGTACGGGACACGCGAGTATAAAGGTCAGTATTCATAAAGCGTCCTGTGTGGAAGATGGCTTCATCAACCAACGCCTCTGTAAAACCTGGTAGCTTTGTATTGATGGTTGTGATACTGACGAACGCGAGGCACACACACTGTACTACCAGCAATACTCCTACAGGTGAGAACACCTTTATAGTTTGAGGTATTAATGTTGTGTGTTGTGGCGCTTTGTGTATGAATGGAGGCGTGTTGTTCATGTACAGATGCACGTGCATTTATTAAATTTCCTTTTTATATAATAGCACATTTATGTTTGTTGCACGGGGGGTCAAGTTGACTTCAATTCACGCTGTATTACGAAAGTTATATACTTCACAGTTTGAATATGCACACTGACCTGATTGGATACCAAATGAACCTATTGAGATTGCTGGCTTCAGTTTCACGCATCCTGCTCTGTTAAACCTAGTACATTAGAATATGTATCGCGGGGGCACCTACAGGTACCTGTTTCTACAACTTGCACGCATGAATATTTATGTCAATTATTGGTAACTGTGTAGATCAATAACACTTTTTTTAATAAGACGCGTAGGTTATTAATACTATCTTTTGATTTTATTAGGAACACATTAGCTACTTTAAACATTTTGCAACGCAATGCTACACATCGTATTAGACTTTTGCCAGAGTCAACTGTACAACTCTGACTACAATATTAACATTACTATGTGTTTATGAATCACTATCAAAAAGTGATGATACCAGGTGTTCGCTAATAGGTGAGCGTACCCTGTCCCACCCGTAGCACCCGTCACAAACACATCCGAAGGAAAGTCAACAGTTCACCCGAATAAAACCCACGGTAACATATGGTACAAGTCAAAATAGGTAATTGCATCGGACATCATGTGTGTCACTGATGGGTCAAATTTAGAAATGTTTTTAGCATGTCTACCATAAAACGTTTTGGAAGCTTTACTAGGGTCCTGTAAGTTGTAACATTGATGAGAGAACCTTTGAGCAAGAGTTCTTTGACGCTCTTTTAAATATACTCTGTGAAGACTACTGGTACAACCCGTCTGGATATGTACATAAGTTCAGATCATTACTTTGATCGCACAATGTATTTTTCTGTACAAACGTCAAAAACTGACATGTGTATAAGATAAGAAACAAAACAAAAAGTACCGGGTAGACATAACTGTTAGGAGTTTTATCCAGATAAGATGACATGAGAGTGGGACAAGAGTAGACATGTGCGTTAGTGTGAAATGTTCTGGAGAACGGATGGAGAACGAATTCATTCCCTGGTAATATTTTCGGATTCCCATGTTCCGGCAAGCGCTGGAACTATAGAAATGGCTTTATGAAGTTTACGTCAAGGTAGACATATCATCGTCATACAGATGTAAGCATGTTCTATTTCATATTTCAAAGTCTTTATAAAACTGTATAACATCCAACACTGCATCTTCTAATAAAAACGCGGGTACACGCATCCCATATCTTATCGTAAGACAATTTGAAAGGGAATACCAACACGAAGGACCAGTTTTGCTATGCATGCCCAGTAAAAAAAATTATCTAGATCTTGAAATTCTGCAACTGATAAATCCTTGATGGTAGCAAAGATACATTTTAGCTTTGTGTTACTCTCATCACGAAAGGAGGTCAATATTATGTGTTTGTTTCTGTCTGTAGAGAAAGTAAATCAGGCATAATTCTGAACATTCCATACCATGCGTTTCTGGAAAGTTAACAACTAGGTCATTCTACTTAATTGAAAAGAAAGTAAAAAGGTATAAACAAAGCGTTAGAAATAACAAAACAATTCATTGTCCATTAATAATATATTTTTCAAAACAAGTATACTTGTCATAAGGATACCAATTTCAAAATCCAGAATCCACAATAACAATATAAAAATACTATTGAAATACAGACTGTTTCAAATTATGTTTTTAAATGTCCTGCACAGTATGAACTACAAATTGGACTAATTGTAAATGATTGTTTCCCCTCAGACAACTTAACGTTTGAATCTTCCTGTGCTGCTCGCAGTTGGTCGGCAGCAGTGACAGACTGCATCAACAAGGGCGCCGCAATATTCACCATTGAAGATTTACGTACAGCCATCGGGGGCCCAGTGTTAAAGAAGGCTGAGAATGAACATACCAAGATATGGATACACAATAATGGTAATGTTGTACACGTTGATCAATCGTTATTATTACTCTAACTGAACCTCACTTTCCATAAAATAAAGCTTGTGACATAAGACACAGTTCTACAATGTTGATTCATGTGCCTCACGCAGAGAACAGCGAAACTAAAGGTTAGCCATTGTTAAAAACACACACAATATTCCAGCAGCTCCAGCCTTTGGTGTATACATTTCACGACGTTTTAGTAACAATCGAGCGTTTTCATTTCATGTGGATTCTAAAGAGCATGCTTACTGTCGTGGGTGTATATTAAGAATTGACTTTCAATTTGTGTGAGTTCCTTGGTGAATTGACTTTCATAGAATGAGGGTCGAACTGTACGAACGCCGGCGCTTTTTATATCACTATTTTTTACTTCGAATGACACAGGTCAGAGGCCTAGATCTGTACACAATCTTATGTAGAACGTGTGACTGCATGTTTACACTGACAATCATTGAACAACCAGATGTGGAAGGAATTAAATATTTAATCTAAAAGAGAGGTGTCGTGAGAGTATGTATGCTCTACAGGGACATATGTTGTAGTATGTTTACAATAAATGTATTCAAACAATATCATCATTGGATGAGAAAAGTCTGTAAAGAACGACCTCAGTAAGTCAGTCACAATGACAGCGCGTCGTCAAATGGGCAACACGATAAACGTGACGGGAGAGATTCCCGAAGTTACAGGTGTTGGTCATCATTGATCATTTGGCCGATCATTGGAAGGTGATTATAAAGATGTGCCAAATAGACACTATCGTAAATTCATAGATTGCTGCAGACTGTCACTGTCATTCTATACACGAATCGAGTCCATATTACGATAGTTTGGATGTGCATTTCTTCGTTTTGTTCGCTAGGATGGGTCGTAGCGAGGATATTCGTGAACGAACATGCAGTGAAACCCTCTGACGTTTCTCAACGTATGCTAAAACAGTGCGTTCAAGATTAAAATGTCTAAATGATCAGAAAAAAACGCTTCTATATTTATCTGTTCTAGGGAATTCCTAGGGGTTTCCCAAGGAATGAGGGAGAAGTCCGTCTGTGTTTACGTCATATCAAGAGTACAATCTCATGAAAAACGTATGAACGTTAAATTGTGTCGTTCATACACTTACGAACGTTAATTTCGCGGTTACGTGACCGACCGCTCGTCCAACCGAAAAGCCGTATATTGTGTGAACTTCAAATTAATAAAAAATATATTGTGTACTTTATCCAACAGGTACATGCTGGGCAGCGTTCAATGATACGTTCCAAGCGGCTGTCTGTAGTGACACCAACTATTATGTCTGCACATCAAGGACAAGTACCAGTAAGTATCTGTTACAGAAAGTACCTTGTGACATTTGGTCATACATGTACACATGTATCTTCAGGACAATGAATCTTGACAGTTGTGAGAATAGGCTGCTATTGTACTCCCCTTCTTGTGGATCAGTTTCTTTATGCATATGAATTGGGATTTCTGCTCTGATTGGCAAGGTCAAAACAAGGCAAGTTTGCCAAGTAGTTCAACTTAAGCTTCAAGAATATCGATGATCAGATATCGTTCATTCTTTCGTGACGAAGATTTCAAAAAGCGTCGTACGACTCTTGTTCAAAAGTTGTTTCATCAAGGTTACAACTTTCAAGGCCTTAGTAAAAGTTTGAAATAGTTTCACATTTGACGCATCTGTGACACAAATGATGTCCGATGCAATGCCCTCCTTTTGACTTTTACCATATGTTCCCGTGTTTTCATTCGGTTGAACTGATGACTTTTCCTTTCTACGTAATTGTGACGGATGCTATCTTTGGGGTAGGATACGCTAACCTTTTCGCGAACACCTGGTATTATAATTACTTGGTTGTGATTCATAAACACATGCTCGTCCTTCAATGGAATCTGCTTTTAGCTGAGATTTCTTGTGGGTATTGACAGGGTTTCGTCTCTTTTGTTTAACTTTATGTGTTCGCATATGAAATACAAAACTACACGCTGATGTGACGAGGTTAACCTAGGCATCAACTCTCAGGACAAATACTTACAATTTGACACGACCAGTGACATATCCATCTTTGTCAAATGCGAAAGATGTCACAACACGGCTGCCACATTGTAGGCTGTCGGAACTCGATTTGACGAGTGCCGCATGTAAAATTGGAAACACTTCTGTTATAATTAAATGGAAATATTACAACAAACAATCACGTTTTCCTTCACAGTTTAAATTATCTTACATTGCCAGGTTCTAATTGGTATGTGCATTGTCCAAACAGATATACGGACACGCCCACGCAAGGTACGTATACAGTAGTACCTTAGTATTCGACCAGTGTTACGTCTTCTATTTGAGACATGTACATTGATAAGCAGAACGAATCTTAATTGGCGATTATTTTTGGATCATGTATACATGTATTAACATATACGCCTTAATTTCATAAAACAGTATTCAATTGCGTAAATCAAGATCTAATAATATGCATCACGAAGTTATCAACTTTTACCTTAGTAAGTACAGATCTATATCCTTGTTGATGCTACAGAGACATACGATATACATATATAGCTTTCCCTTTATGAATTCTTTAAACACGAATGTCGACGCTAGCATTCGGCCCTTCATTTACCAAATGAATGGACAAGAAGTACCTCGGAAACGTCACATAGAGAGAATACAAACGTCGATATCCATATGATCGTGTGTCTCTTTATAGCTATCAAGAGCTTGTCCTCGCTCACATGAACGGACTGTGGCAGCATATATATTTGTATATCTGCTGGTATCACACAGGGTCTACGGGATCTACAGTATCATCAGGATCTGCAGGATCAACAGTGTCGACATCACGGAATCACACCACAAGCCCAGAAGCATACACAACAGGTATTATTTAAGACTTAAAACTGTTTGATGCTACATTGTCCGTAGTCCATCTTGTAGTCGGAGTTTAGGTCGTGTGATTTATTGAGACAATTATTTCATTGATTATAATAAACAATATTTGTATGAAAAAATGTTTGAATCAAATTTCCTGTGTGTTGAATGATATAGTTTGAGCTGCAAATATCTCTTTGCTCATATTTTCCCCCAAAGTAAGTTCTGTTTTTATTTACACGTTGATTGAAATTTAATATCATGATAATCACATGAACATTCAGCATCCTATTTTCAAATGTTTTGTTTTGTTTTTTTCTCAGTTACAATTATCACCACTGTGACATGTGTGATAGTGGCTCTTGTTGCAGTTCTCATAATCACAGTCTGCTATATCATCAATCGGTGAGATTTCAAATATTGATCACATCAATTTACTTAATAATTATGTTAATATGAATGGGTATGTAACGCGGCTTTTAACAGTATTCCAGTTATATCACCGCGTGTCAGCTTAATGTGGGAGGAAAGCCCGAAGTGATGCAGGTCTGGAATGTTTACCACCTTGGTGAAACCCACGAGCACGGGTTTGGTGCTAACAAACCTAGAAATATAATCGGGGCGAACCGGGATTCGAACCCATGACCATAGGTTTCTGGTGTCCCAAGGGACGGAACTCTGCACAGCGAATTGCGGCACCATACACGACTGGGCCACCCGTGACCCCGGGTATCGATTAGAAAAAAATAACATTATAATCTCTTTCACCCAGGATCTCTTACACTTATGCTCAGCCCATTTTTTTTTCTTTATTCAGCAAAAAGAAACCAATCAAGTACGCAGTGAGAGCTGAGAGTGCTATGTATCACAGACAGCACCCGGATCCTGGGAAAGTAGAAGAACCGCAACTGGCAGATGTGCAGTTGATATGTCCTACAGAAGCTGACGGTGGAAACAGTGGCATGAATGTCTCGTTATGAACTCTGTGTGATTTAAGGAAGATAATTCATGGATGTCAACTTCTTTATTATGAGGAACAACGTTTGGGGGTATATGCTTACTGCTCCATAATAAAGAAATTGACATCCACAAATTCTCGTCCTTAGAAACGAGAAAACTGTCAGTTATTTTGCTCCTTTCTATATACGTCGTATTCTACGTGTATACAAATTTTTAAACCTGAGGAAGCGTGGAGACGAAACGATTTAAAAGTATTTACAGTTTCAATGGCAATTAGTTTATGGTATTAACGCCATAAGCAACAACAATTATATGGTCTCATTTTATCACAAAACAATCTGCAATAGAAAATCATAGAAGAAAACTCAAACAGGATTATTTCTTTATAATTTGTCCTTGTCTCTCAGATATGATTTGTACAGTGTCTAATAAGACCACCAACGTCAAATACCACTTCTACTATAATATATGGTGCTATCTTTTTCCTATTCAATATTTCAGAATCGTGTTGATGCCACAGTATGTTGTCCGGTTCTAGCTGGAAAAACGCGTTAGTTTCCTTTCCTTTCTCATGTGCACAATATCAATCACATTCATAATGTTTGTGGATATTAAAGTCGAGTTTGTCATTTACACTTTAACAGTCGGTATATCATTTGAACGTTAGTGGTGAATATATACTGAACACCAAAAGAAACGCAAATCAAGAAGGTATAGGAAACATGATGTATTTTGTTTCAGCTGGTATAAACATAATAATGATGGATACAACACAATTCATTAGCAATAAGAAAGAGTCAGTTCTCTGGACATCAGACATCTTCTGTATCCATCAACACAACACCACGTGACCATGCTGAAGTCAACTGAAGTATGGGTACAACTCAATACCTGGTATACCTGGTATTTTCATTCACAAGCGCGACACACCGTCTGTGCATGGAGTGAATAAGACGGTTGATAGTGTTCATGGGGATGTGACGCCACACCTGCAGGATGGTAACCTCGAGCTGTGCAGCTGTCCTTGGCCTCGGACGCGCCATGTTCAAACGTCTCTGCACTTCATCCCACAAGTGTTCAATAGGGTTGAGATCAGGACTAAGAGCCGACTAGGGCATAGTGTTGATATTGTGCTGTTGCAAGAAGGCTTGAGTAATCCTGGCGGTGTGGGGACGAGCGTTATCCTGTTGAAATTGGAAGTTGCCATGTCTTGCAAAAAACGGTACAACCTGGGGACCTCAACACCTCAACACGCTGAGCAGTGACACCATTGCCCCTACCAGCTCAAACGTTCTGAAAGATTACAAGGTCAGTTCTCTGATTTAACCCTATTCCACCCCAAACCATGACACTAGGACCACCCCACGAGTTCCGTTCAAGGACACACTGGTCATGATAGCGCTCATCGCGACGTCGCCATACTCTAACACGTCCATCGGCACGATAAACATAATACCGACTTTCATCAGAGAACAGAACTCTTCTCCACTGCTGATGACGCCAATTCAAGCGTGCTTGGGCCCACTGTAGTCTCAGGAGACGGTGACGTTGAGTGAGAACAGGACCTTGTGATGGTCGCCTACACTGAAGCCCTCTGTCACGAAGTCGGCGTCTTACTGTGTTGGAACTTACAGCCCTCCCGTGGTTTCCAACGACGTTCCTAGCAGTTTCACTGGCCGACAGGAAACGTCCTTGCAAATGTGACCTGTGAATGTGACGGTCCTGACGTTGTGTTGGTACGATGCCTGTCTCTGGTGCTGTCTGGGTTCTTTCCTGCAGACTGTAGATGGTGGAAACGTGGACGTTAAAGGTGTTTGCAACTCGCTGAACACTCTCACCAGCTTGAAGTTGCCCAATAGCTCTCTCTCGATCGATATGTGACAGTGGTGGCATTGTCACTGACGTTCATGAGTGAATGATTCACAGTGACACTTTCGTGGCTTTTAAAGACAACATCTTCACGGACAGTTTTTGCGGCATAAGCAGCACGTGCATTTCGTGCGTATCCATCCCACACTGACTTCAACATCGGTGCGTTTGAGATCTGTGGATTAAGAGTTCACTGCCCTTAACTCTGGTTAGGGTCATTTTGAAACAATTAAAGCCCATTACAATGGAGCCATAGCAGCCAACCGTTTTCACAACCATTTTCCAATATTAAATAGGAACTTGAAGACTTTGCGTTTCTTTTGGTGTTCAGTATATTATTAGCTTACATTTTCATATTAAACGCACATACACTCATACATACGCCCTCATGCCAAATCACACTCATACACACTCTACAGTCACACACACACACACACTCTCTCTCTCACTCACACTCAAACGTAAACACAAACACGCACACATACATACACACACTTAAACAAAAACACACATAAACACACAAGCCCCGAGTCATCTCCTCATTCGATAAAACCCTGAAACCAGTGTTGATTTCAATAACCCGTCCTGTGTCATTCGGCTACTCGGAAGCTGAGTAAGCACTCTCAGGCTCTGTCGGCATGAACACGACACAGCAACGATTGTTTGTGTACGTCCTTCTCTTGCAACGATAATGTTACTGACACTGACCTGGATGATGCTAAAGTAACACAGTCAGCATTCAAGTTCGACATAATTTTCAAATATTGCTCACACTTAATTGCTAATTTCCTTTATGTCTTCTCTATCCGCGTCAATACCCATAGCAAACCGGTCACAGGGGACTTAACAAGGGAACGGCAATGAGAACCATAAGCTTCGCCTGACTGTATGTGTGTACACAGAAGATGACCATAAATGTTAATAACATGCATATATCTATTATATCACAGGATATACATGTATATTTAAAAAAGACAGTTGACTTCCTGGAATAAACCTTTGTGAATGTAAATATGACATGACTCTCCGCTCGTAGATACTCTTAGAAAAATAGGGGATCGTGATTATATATATATATAGTTTAATATATATATATATTTGTTAATATTTAAGTATTAGAATAAAGATTAATGTTGTCGACCAACATATTATACAAGAACATTTATGATTAACATATATACACCAAAACACATCCTATAGTCTGCACGTGTCGCACGCAATAGCGCCATGCTGGTGCGTAGGGTGTCATTCCTGATTGTTACACTTTCGAGGAAGGTCGGTTAATCTCTGTGGACCATTATTTCTGTCAATCTTATTGATTCTGCTTTTTGTGATTTACTTGATTTCAGTCATTGTTTGTTCGCGAACACCTGATATTATCACTATTTCATAGTGACTCATAAACACATGATCATGATTGCGACGTCTGCAATGCCCGGAGCGTCTTCGGGGTATTGGCATCCTGGAAACTGACAGACGTCAGGTGGCATTGCTTTTTTACACACACTGTTTCACAGTCTGTGATTAATTGACGTTGGAACAGGTATCAGCAAACCTGCAATGTTGACGATCAACCCCGTTCAAGGTGTCCCAGGTCAACGACAAGAGTACAGGATCGACTGATCCAAAAACCAGGCTCTACGAAATCGAGTCCAAACGGCGAATCAAATTGCTGCAGACTTCCATCAAGCTGCTGGAGTGCCCGTTACGGGTCAGACGAAATAGTCTTCATGCACCTCATCTCCATGCTCGAAGGGCACGTGCTTCGGTGCGGACTTCGCGGGTTGAACTCCCGCTGGTGACATTCGTTTTACGTGATGATAGAAAAAACAAGTTGCATCGCGAAATGGTGTTTAACAAAGATACAGTAAGTTAATGCGGGGTCATATCAAAATTATGTCACGCTGCTCTTATTTATTTGTTTACTATCTCAATACTAAAAAGACATTTCATCATCTCATATCAACCTAACAGATATAATTTCAGTGATAGACGATATACTCAAATATCGGTATTTTAACATGCATATATGCTTTACAAAGGTATGAATTACAAATCATGCCAAAGGCGCCATCCTGACACGCCATTCAGTATTGAAGTCCTTCCATGAAAAAAAGTTTCCATGGATCATATTTACCTGCACACTCACCCATGGCAGAGACCAACTGCAGACAGAAAAGTGGAACCATATTCACCCATGATGATTTGAAGGTGGCCTATGGTCTTGTCGTTTTGGAGTCGGGAATTCTTGACGTGGAAGTGATATGGATTAACAACACAGGCAGTAATAGTCTTAAAATGTTAATATCTCAATTCGTAATTGAACAGCAAACCTATGTAACCGTTTACACAGTCTGGATAACTATACTGTGACATGCTATAAGTCTATATAATATGAATTTTACTCAAGGATGCAAAATATATTTTTGGTACTTTAAGGACAATTTAATGTGATTTAGTTCTTATCAACACGTACGGCTTTGTTAATCGATGTATTCGTCCGTGGTCTCGTGGATAGAGCGTCTGTCCGGTGAGGAAGATCAGTGGCTCGATCCCTGACCGAGTCACGCTAAAATACGTTAAAAGTTGGTACCTGTAGTTACCCTGCTGGCGCTCGGCACGAAGGGGGTAAAACATGGACTACTCGGCTCGGAGTTACTATACTGTGCCCGAGTGGGGTATCCGTGATAAACTGTGGCATTGTAACTAAGTGGGCTAGCACTATAAAATAGGCACTAATCCTGACCAGCACTGACCAGTACAAGCATCCATACACACAAAGCAGTATCGTGATGCTAGATTTTCTGGTTTATCGACCATTTGATTGTCTGGTTTGTTTACAGGCAGCCGTCGCATGGCAGGAGTTCTGCAGCGCGGCGTCAGTCGATACATACTTACTTTTAATGCAAATTGTGTGAATGATAGGTGCTACTGGTAGGGCAGGACTTGTTTACGCCTTTTGCGAACACCTGGTGTCATCACTGATTTCAGTGTTCCATTCATATAATTTCGCAGCTATTTTGCCCTTCACGCCAAATTTCAGTTGCTTCGGCGGATAATGTAAACTGTTTTTTCTCTTGCATTGGCAATATATATTCACCTCACCTCTCCATAAATACAGACACATACAATTCAGACTGAAAGCCTCTCAATGTATACGATGTTTGTTGTATAAGAAAAACATGCATCCAAAAAACACACAGCGCTTCTCGTGTCAGAAAAGGTCCCAAAGGTCCTTGCCCATTTTCCTTACCAATGACAAACACTTGTATGGATGGACTTGGTTGGTCCAAGATGACAAATACCTTCCTCCCGTTTGTATGCTAACTTGTGCCGGTCATCAACCTTAACAACCACTCTGCATCCCTTTTCAAACACAGCTGCTCTTGCTTCTCTGGTGCCAGGACTGAGATTTCTTGCCTGTGGCGGATGCTGTGTCATAAGCTTGGGTGAGACGATCTTTGAATTCTTTGGTATAAGAGCCCATTGTATGTCAGTTTATTTTATTGTTAAACAATGACTGTGACTGTGCTACATTGTTTCTGTTGAGATTCGATAGAAGCTCATTGCACTGTATTTGGACAAAGATTAGTTTTCAGGAATGTAGTGATGTTTAATGTAAGCAGTGGTGTGGAAGTTACTATATTTAAATGTTTGTGTCGAGTGTAAACATCCTGAATACCGTGGACTGAGACAGAGCGTTACAGAAACACGTGAAATATCCTGTGATGTGACGGCGCTGTGTGGACATTTCCAGAAGCATGTTAGACTGTATATAAGGGGCCAACAGCGCGCCTCTCGTATCTCTCAAACACTTTGTCACACATTTTATCTGACATTATCAAGACCAGTTTTCGTGAGAAGATCACTCATCACCCCTTAATCCTTCGCTTTGGCCTTCCTCGGAACCAATATAACTGTCGCCGCTGGGTGAATATATTATGTAGGCATAACAAAAGGGAATTGTGTCTTGTACTCGATTTTTACTTCTTCATTTTGTTTACACCGCAGTGTTTTGT